TAACTTTCGGATACTGACTTGTTTGATTCCTTAAATTGTAAGTCGATTCTTTCTTCTTGGGTAATAGTCCCCTTAGAGGGTGTCGGTCTATGCCAGATACCTTACAAAATACTTTTCTATCCTGCTTTTCTAGAAGGTGCTTGATAGAAAAAGATTTAGATGTATATTTACGTTTGTAACATCTATCTAGAAAACACTGCATTGCTGTCAGCTCCGCCTCAGAAGCACCATATACCGGCAACCCATAAGTACTGCTAGGAAGCACAATACTTGAAAACAAGTATGGAGATCTTGAATTATTTGACATAACTTGGCAAGGGCTTTAATAAATGTACATCGGCACGACTTGAAATAAGATTTAGCTGTCCACCATTGTTAGGATTTTGTAGATGACAGCATAATTGCGTAGGTGCTGGTTCCGATTGGTTTCGAATTTCAAGGCGAATTAATATATTTTTATTAAAATTCGTTTGCTTTGCTTTAGGGGTAATATACGTTTCCCTTCACTTTCTTCATTGCTACAGTCCGGTGATGCACATTAAAAATAATACATGTTCACGTTACAAGGTGACCGTGATTGTAGTTTGGAAATTGCACGTGATGACTTTTAATAACGAGTTATCGTAAATTAAGTTTAATCTCAGAGCGTGCGTTATTTACCTTATTACAAAATTTCAGTTGTGAGTTTCCAAAATTGAAGGTTTTATGTAAGACTTTAGTGTGTACTTAGTTCTGAGGAAGAGGTTACCACAGCCAAAGTTTATGTTTAAGGCGTATGTCTGTGTGTGAATAAGTTTCGGTAAAAAGTTGCTGCGACTGTGAACTTTGTTTTCATTTAAGCTGCAATCTGTCGGGAAAACTGAACTTTTTTAAACGGCAATTTCCGCGACGGATTTACGCAGTAATTTTCACTGCAGATTCCCAACAGAATATCCATGTTCCATCTTGTTTTTGGTTGGTATATCAATAATGGTTAGTCACGAGGATCGGTCCTCATCTGATCTCTCCTCTTTGATAAGTAGAGGCAAGACAACATGGCGGCCAGTTTTCCTGCTGATTTGTCCTTCCAAGTTTAATGGAAGCGCTTCAGCGAATGAATAGGGATGATCTGCGTCATTTTTTTCAAAAATGAACGTGTAACTGCTGTATTTATTTGTGGAAATGTTGCCTGGCATCACTTTCTCTGGTTTTTGCGAAAAGTGGAACAGATATTTATCCTCCGATGCATGCGCGTGTTAATTGTGTTACCCCGTCCATAGCCAGTGCGTCATACAAATACATGCAACCTTGATATAACTGATCTTTTTACTAACTTATTTCTAACAGCGACAGCTGGTGTAAGCAATATGGAGAGGGGAAATTCGCGTCAAATATTTGCAAAATGTAGGAGTAAAAGCAATAGTAAAAAAATCATCCGTGACAGAGCACATGAGCTGCAGATTTGTCATGAAGACAGGTGGCAATCTTTATTTTTATCCCTGAACAGATGCAAGGCTGTGGGAAGCTATTATATACGAGAGCCTTCTTTTACGTAATTTTTTTTCAAGCGTTGAAAAATATATAAAAAAAATCAGGAGCCCATGAAAATTATATAGTTAGAAGAATTACTTTGAACCACGACTGAACAACATTTTGGCTGGTACAAAAACGGGCTATATATCTCCGAAAAATGGGCTGTTTCAAGTGCTGTATAGCATGCATAAGCAATTGCACTCTTCTCATGGGTCACCTTCAATAAGTTTGGTGAAGGATACTTTTTAAAAAGAGTATAAGGGCAGAAATGGAGATTTTCTAATAATGAAAGATGTCAAGCATTTGGTTGGAGCGTGGGACTAAAAAAAAATATCAGTATAAGTCTGTATGGGCAGTGTGCTTACTTGTAAACTACAAGGTTTTTTGATAGATTTAGCAATTCCCTCGCGCCTTACGTATCATAATGCTATTAATGTCGAAAACATCTTTTGTGAAGTAGAACTTTGTTATAATTAACCTCTGATTCTGAAATATACTTCGCTTTTTCAAAACTCTCTTATTTTATAGCAAAAACACTTTTCTTTTGTAAATAAACTTGAACAAACGAAAAACGTCATTTCTATATTGAATCTCTAATGAAATGCGTCAGAACGGCGTAATCAGATCTGGCTTTTACGCGTGCTGTAAAATACAAAGCGGACCATTTCGCGAGAAATTTTAAAAAGTATATTAAAGTTATTAATTGACGATCATTTTTTCATTTTCTCATGAATACAGTTAGACTTAATTTATACGGTACTTCGCGAGAGGAACAGCGTTTTGCAATTCACAGAATATTCATTCTTGCAAAGTCGCAAGCATTTGTTCATCGAATTCAAAGAAACTGGTGTCTGCGCGGTAAATAAAACGCCTTCTTTAGTACAATTAGAATAATACACCTCCCTGTCTTCATTGTCGAGATAAATTTATTTCTTTTGGGTTGTAATCCGGAACGCCAAAGTAAAGTAAAACAAAGCTGGCTTAATGTTTACTTTCCTTTCAGTTGAAAGTCAAAGCTTTGAGTCTGATTGGCACGATTGACATCTCCCTTGTTCATGTTGACATAGAAAAACCATCGTTGGGTGTATATAGATTTTTAACTTAACTTCAAATTATCAGTAAAACTGCGACAAGGCTCAATATCAGGCACAATATTTTAATGGGAACATACTGGCAAGCTCCCCAAGCCTCTAAAACTCGAAGTAATATTCTCCGGAAACGCAAGGCGATCAAGCAATTTTACAAACAGTTTTTAAATGGAGGTATTTAATACTTCTTGCTCTAATCAAGATTTTCGTGAGTACCAGTTTATACGCAAATCGCCTCGTCATTGGTACGTGTTCTTGTGCATTGCAAATGTAGTTTTTTCTATTTCTGCGATTGTTGGAAATTCGATAATTTTACTCGCCCTCTTCCAGTGCCGCACGATCTACTCGTCGTCCAAAGCTCTTTTTTACAGCTTAGCTCTGTCTGATTTTGGAGTTGGTATGGTCGCTCAACCGTTACAAGTTGCCACAGGTTTGGGTGCTCTCCATGGTAATCTTGGATTGTTTTGTACAATTCAGCCGTTTTATGCTGCCGTGGCCTACTTCTTCTGTGCCGTGTCTTTTACGACCACGACAGTAATAAGCATTGAAAGATATCTGGCGTTGAGACTCGGAATACGACACAGACTGATTATAACCGTGAAAAAAGTCACTCTGGTTGTAGCACTTCTGTGGATTTGCAGCTCTATCTGGGCGGTCTCCCGAATGTGGAATATCCAAATCAATAAAATCAGTGCCATAATTCTTGGCTTTTCCTGCATTGTCATAACGTCTTCGTGCTATTTTAGAATACATCGAACTCTGAGGGCTCTAAAGACAAGAATAACAAACGAGGCTTCCACAAGGCAACCTCGAAGGACTTTGAACATGATGCTGTACCGTAGATCTGTAAACAGTATGCTAGCAGTTTTCGGTTTTCTTGTAGCATGTTACACTCCTTATTTCTGTGCCATAATCGCGGTAGCATTGTTTGGATATAGCTCCCCAGTTGTGTTATCAACAAACCTAACATCTGTTGTGATTTTTCTTAATTCTTCGATAAATCCTTTCGTCTACTGTTGGCGAATTAGAGAAATTCGTTCTAAAGTGATGTTAATTGTGCGGAAATTGCCTTTACCTTAAACGCCAGCCTTAAAAATAATTTGTCAGCCAGAGTAATGATCAATTTTTTGTCCTGGCTGACAGCTTATTCACTTCTCAGTTCTAAAACAGAAAAAGGTGTATTTATTTGGCAAAGCTGATTTTCCGGTAAAATTCCATACGGGAGAATTCTTCATAATGTTTCAGTATTCTCAGCTTAGCAAGGAAAGATTTCTTACACTGGACTCAATGAACGTGTGCTATTATATATTTTATCAAATTTCCGGTTAACACTTGTACTGCCTCATTTGTTAATATTATTTTATAGCAGTTAATAAGCAGGCCCCGGTAGCAATTTACGCGGTCGCATGCTGCTTGCGTGGGAATCAAACAGATTGTGAAAACAAAAACTGACCAAGGTGTATCTTTCAATGTTTTAATTTCTAACCGCCGATTGGGTTGTACTGCGTTGGACAAGGGTTTCCTTTGTGTGTTAAAATTAAAATTAGGTCTCAATTTCTCTGAAAAAAGGATGTAGGCTTAGCTTTCGATCTTAATTACTCTTCTGAAGACATTGGTCCTTAAAACGGACGGATACTACCGGACTGATTGAAAGCCATTTGATTGTTTCGAGAGTTTTCATTTGAGATGTTAATACACGACTTGTTTTAGGGCGAAGAGTATTTTGACTGTCTGCTTCTATAAAGATCTAAAGGACATTTCAATTTTCGATTTTTGCCAACCGCTTTTAATACAATGCATGGATAACACTCAACTCGAAAGAACGTTTTAAGGCGAAATTTATATTTTGAGATTTTGCTGCAATGACGGACATTTTGTTCACAATCTTCGCCCTTACCAGCAACTGATACGGATAAAAAGACAATAGCACATTTCGTGGTTTTTTTTTCAATAAATCTATTATATCGTGCGCTGACTTTGAACAGACTTCATCTAAGATCTCTCTCTTGCGGTAGGCTTTCCATATAAATGACTAATTGAAAGGAAATAATGGAAAATGAGGAGGATGTGCAACTTATATCTCTATTTTCATCTCTTTTTCATCCCGTATCTGCTTTGTGTTGTTTGCTCACAAGTTTTCTGAATGACGTGTTTTTAATTTACCAAATAACAAGAAAAAAAATGATGTGTAACTTGACATCTCAGCTGCACAAAGCTCTATAACTAGTTGTCATTAAAAGAAAGCATAAAAAACTACCTCCCTCGCCGTCAGTTACCTATTTGTTTAATTAAAAAGGAAGATTACTTCGTCAAAATTAAAATCTTTTTATATATGCCGAGTTCACCCTAAAGTATCTACGCGGTAACCGAGTGGGACTGGTAACTGGATCCAAATAAAAAATGGCGGCGAAGGAGGACGAGAATTCTGTGTCATACAGCTTGGATCATTTTACCGAACTCAAAGAAGTAACATCATTGATCGAATCAATAGGAACCATATGTCATGATAATATTTTACTCGAGGCTGCAGAGGAGCGGTTAATTCGTAAGTGTAGCATGTTTTCTAATCTCCTAGTTTTGTTTCATTTACTTGTTTGTGAGTATGTTATTAATTAAGAGCTCAGGCTTCCATCCAAAATTTCCTTTTATCATGCCCACTACCGTGTATAAAAATGGTTAATTTGCAGTTATATTGAATAAGTATCAGGAACAGCCACATTTATTGGATCCGCATTTAGGTAAGTAGTGTAAAGAATTTTCATAGTTATCGATTTGTATGTACTGTGTTTTACAATATTGTAGAATGTTTACATATTCTCTTAAATTGCCATTTTTTATCCTTAAGAAATAAGGACGAGATCTTTACTCAAGCGTTGCTTGGACTACTTTCTCAAATAGGAAACCCGTCTTATAGTAGAGTGGTAAACTTTACCTGTATAAACAATGTGTGAATGAACAGATTACATTAAGCTACTTATCAGTAGGTACTGCAGAGTATAGTTTTAAGCTGTCGGCAGAAGTTACCAAATAATACTGAAAATAATAAAAAAAAAACTCTCAGTATTCATTTTTCTTTCTCTGTTGAAATTTTGTTAAATATAGAACTGGGCAATTCACATTTGTGGTTTATTTTCTCACTTTCAGAAAGCCTTGTACAGAAATTGCAACATATAGTCTGTGATGCATCAAACCCAGCTAAAGTGATTCAGCAGGGATTCAAATATTTATATTTAATCACCAAGGTCTGTTTCCAATTGATCATGCATTTAGATACCATTTTGACACAATGAATTGTTTGTCCTCCCATGCTGTTGGAGCTGTATATGATAAGAAGTGAAACATCACGTACATGTATCACACACACAACCCACAATTCGTCTATTCGCTGTGATGAATGGCCAATTTGCATGAACAACTCAGCTGATGAAACCCCATCCCCTCACCCTCCCCCCTCTTCAGAAACGTTCCCCCTTATATACAGTTCTGCATGATAACAACTGGCAAGGTTGACTAGAGCAATTGGGTTGCCATATAAAACAATTAGTATTGGACTTTAAATAAGTACTTTCTGAGGACACAAAGAATGTGGTTGTAAATTATCAATTAATACTTTAACTGTTTGGTAATCTTATAGATTTGAGACCCTATAATTGTAATCAAACCTTCAGACTGATACTTTAGTCACAGAGAGTGATCAAGGGGCTAGCAACCCTTGTTGCTTATAAGAATGTTGTCATACTTTAAAAAGAATTTTAAGTATAGGTAATAACTTGATTTCAAGTGCAATTTGTTGTTAATTAGCACAAATGAATATTCAAAGACAACAAAATTACACAAGTGCAATTTATAATCTTTGAAAAATTTACATGAATTTTCTTAAAAGCATCACAGAAAGTCAAGACAGATGAAATTTTGATAGCAAAAGTGTGCACACTATTTTTAATTTGAACTTGTGTTACAACTTTGCACTTGTGTTCATGAAAAATGCACAAGTTTTCATCCAATCAGATGCATATAATTTTTTCATGTATATTATTAAATGGAATAAACCAGTTGAATTTGTTTTTTACAGTATTGAGGGCTGAAGCCTATAATCATTTTGAATGGTTCTTATTTATGATTTATCGAAGGACAGACACATAGGTGACATCATCATTAACAACATGTACTTTCCTGTTTATTTTTCTCACTCAAACTTGATCAGGTCAGGGGACCAAAATATGTGGTACGGCTGTTTTCTCATGAAGTTACCGACGTGGAACCAGTTCTTGGAATGCTGTATCAGCAAAATCCTCAAGATCATGAGGTGTGTCATCTTTGTAGTTTTTATTTCTAGTTAATGATGTTACTACCTTATCTATAATTGCTAATGTGACACATATAATTTAGGGAATATGATAATGTTTGAAAAGAATTCAGGTCAAAATGATTTCAACTACAATTTTGATTTGCATTTTTATATGTTCCTGCAAATTATCTTTTCTTAAGCAAAGAAAATGCAAATCAAGCCAGTTCTAAATGTCTTTAGCCCTAAATCCAATTTAACTTACAACATACTCATTAATGTACTGTACATTTTCATCAACATAAGTAGCAGTAACAAACCTTTATTTAACTAGGGTAATCCCTTCAGAATACTTAAAAGTATATCTGTTATCAATAGGAGCCCTATGACCCACTGTGACTTGCAATTGTAGGAAAATGTTATTAAATCGCAGCTTTCTAAAATCTCTCATTTTCATCTTAGTTTCTCTTTTTTGTCAACCATGATGTATTATCCTTTGGTCAAAATAATTGTGATGTTTTTTATTAACCTCAGACCTGGGAGACACGATATGTTCTTCTCCTGTGGTTGTCTATTGTTTGCATGATACCCTTTGACATGGCTCGCTTTGATGGACGGAGAGATGCCAATAGTGGAACACAGGAGAGACGCAGGCCTGTGGTGGAGAGAATTCTTGAAACTGCAAAGGTAGGTGGGATAGACTTAAAAGCTGTTAGTATTGTGTAGCAGGTCATTTTTTTGTTCACGGTGTCTAATAGTGGCTAACTTTAAAATTCTCCATTAATTTTCCTTGTTGCAGATGTATCTTTCAGTTCCAGACAAATCAAGAGATGCTGCTGCATTAGTTATCTCAAAGTATGTTTGGTAGATCTTTGTAACAAGTTAGTCTGTATTGTTGGTTAATAGTAAATTTTATATACATATTGCACCCTCCACTTGTCTATAGGTTTGTTACAAGACCGGATGTGAAGAAAGAAAAGCTGGCAGAATTTCTGGACTGGTGTTTGATGAGGATGGAGAGAGCAAATGGTTTGTATTTAGATGCAAAGTTATAACAATCATGCACAATTTAAACCACTTATTGCAAAGCTTATTGGGCCTCTTCATCCAATGCTCACAAATCCCAGCCTTTCCATGAAAAATCAGAAGCAAGCACACTCTGGAAGGGCCGTCAGACATTCAAATCGAAATATGACCTCTTAATTGCCATGTTGTTCCTCCTCTGGACTCTTTCCAGATTAGATCATTTTTTAAAAAGACTCTCGTTTGTGTTTCTATCTTACCAGGAGAGACAATGGATGGAATGCTGCTGTTGACAGGGATCTTGACAACATTGGTCAGTTAAAAATTTCATAGTCTATAGAGTGTTCATTAGACAGTTGAACTCAGAGAATTCTGTGGCTTCTATGCAGAATTCTCTACCTAAATTTTGTTGGTTGCCACTACTTTTTATTTAGACATGTAGTATAAATTCCTGTTACTTTACACTTTTCCTTCTACTATGTTTTTCAATGAAAACCTTGAGTATGTCTTGAAGAAGCTCACAATTAAAATCCTATTCACCCAAGTTTTGGTGTTTTCATATAATTCAATATCTGGCAATATTACATAAATTAATTCAAATTTGAGAGCCAATAAATATGTTTGAGGTATGAAGATCAATAATTAAGGTCAAACCTTACCTGAGAAAAATCTGCAGGAGTTAAGGCCCATGCATACCTTCCCAGCATTTCATGTTGCCTTTCCACATCTTCCGCTGACTCCTTGAATGACTGATTGATTAATTGTTACCATAACACCATATCAGACACCATCTCATTTTGGCTCTGTCATTTACTCCCCGACTTTTCAAGGCTCTGCTTTTCAAGCATGGAAAGAGAGATGACTTAATACCATATGGTGAGTAAACTTCTCTTTAGTGTGACAGTGTACATTATGCAAGGCTTACAATAACTTTTTCCATAAGCAGCAGCCAATGATTTTATAGGCAGCTGTACCTTAAGGAGACACCCAAACAGGAAAGCTTGCTTCCAGGCTAAACAGACAGTAGTAAGAGTTCATATAGGGGGCAGCAGATTGTTGGTATCTGGCTTTTACTGAAACTCTGAATATGAATTGTATGTCAACATTCAACTTTGCAAAACTTTGACAAATTGAATCAAGGTTTTTAAGATTATTGAACAGAGTTATACAATACAGTCTAGTTTACTCATTATTTTTTATATCTGTCAATATTGATGCTAATCTGCAATAATTTTTTTATAAATTCTTAGCTCCTATAGTTTTGAAGCAAATAGGGGTGCGCGAGATTTCAAAGATCAATAACACGCTGCTTAGGAAACTGAATATTAAACTTACACAGGTAATTATACATGCATTGATACATTTGAAAGTGTGTTTGAAACACAATAATCTACATGAAAAAATTATATGCGTCTGATGAGCTGAAAACAAGTGCATTTTTCATGCAACGTGTATGCAAAGTTGTGCCACAAGTGAAAATTACAAATAGCAAGCCCACTGCTAAAATTTCTTCTGTCTTGAATTTCTTTGATGCATTTTTCATGTTAATTATTATCTAGTAAAGCATTATTTCTTACACAATTTGGTGTAAATAAGCACTTATAAATTTTTCAAAGCCTACAAATTGCACCTGCCTCTTCAGGCGTGTGCAATTTTGCTATCTTTGATTTAATTTAGATTACTTGATGATGATGATGATCGTTTATTCAGCCTTCTTGCAGTAGAAACTGAATTACAAGGCGGGTCATAATTTACAAATACTTCTACATTATGCATACATAGAACTATTTTAGATATCACTTAAATATAAATATTAAATATTGTGTAAACATTAAATACTATAAGTAATAAGATAAATTGCAGTTAAGTATATTACACGTGATTCTGATATTTAATAGTACAAAAATTTCCAAATCTAATAGATCTTGAGGAGGTAGGTACAGACACAGTTCTTCCTGCCCTAAGGGCATATGGTCTTGAAAATAATTATTGACATTGCAGTACTAAATTTCGTAGTAGGTCAGAAGAGTAGTAACTCCGCTGTAACTTAAGTAACTTGTGCTTATTAACACCAAATTGCACTCAAAATCATGTTGTTACCTATACCTAATAAATGAGTATATAGTGACCACTCAGAACTGAGGGTGTGACAGGTTTGTACCAGCTCTGTACATTTCATAATGAATACTTCTTTCCATACATTTCTTGTAGCGTCTTGGTTTGACATTTCTGAAGCCAAGAATAGCAGCCTGGAGGTTAGATCTACTTAGTCAAATTGATTTCATCTTGGAAACTATTATTTTTTATCAATTTATTGTGCTGCCTTATGATGATAGTCATTGAGAAAAGTATATTTCCACTTGGTATATTTTAATTGTGACAAAGCAGGGGCTGTGAGGCATCTATATGTTCGCTGCATTCACTAAGCTGTTGTTTTTTATGTGTTTACTGGTAGATATCAGAGAGGGAGTCGATCTTTGGCTTACAACCTTGCCAATCCATTCTCTCAAGAACAGGTAGTGAAGTGACATCCAGTCTCAAATTGGCTGCTTCAAGACCTTCTTCCAAACTTACATGTATTTGTTGTTGGTTGAGATTTGGTGTTTGTGGAAGTTTTCCAATTCATCAAACCTGTAGTTTGAAAGGTTTAGAACAGTCTTTACATCAAAGTTCACCTCTCTTATAAATTTAATTGTTATTTCAGAATGAAAATAGTCACCACACAGCAGGACTAAACACAGCTGAGGTGAGGGATTTTTTTTTTATCTTGTAACTGTGCAGGCCACGTTTCACATGCATGTTTGTCTGTTTGTTTTGTTTGACTCAACTATTGATGGACTTTTTAATAACAGGTTATTATAGCGTCAATGCTGTTATTTTATCTCTTCAAGTTGATTTGGTTTTGAACCAATTTTTATTGTATTCCAGGAAGAAGATTATGATGTTCCTGAAGAACTAGAAGATATCATTGGTTGGTTTACGATCTCCTTTTCACTACAAAATACTTAAAACTTTTTGCTGAATTCAACAACGTTGAAAGACTTTTGCATCTTGCTAGTCAGTGAAAATTGTAATTGATATGTTTAATAGAATTTGATGACAGTAAATATTTATGAATGTAATAATTTGCAGAGAAACTTTTGACTGGTCTCAGAGATAAGGATACCGTAGTGCGATGGTCAGCGGCTAAAGGGTGGGTTGGAAAATTTTCAATATGGAGTTTTTCAAATCCTGAGTAAACCTTTGACGGCACGAAAGTGTAGTACATGTGACTGAACTATGAAATGTTTCTTATTAAATAAGGATTGGAAGGATAACTGGGAGACTTCCTCAAGAATTAGCCGACCAGATTGTGGAAAACGTCTTAGAATTATTCAGGTATGAAATGTTATCAATGTATCTACAATCATCTCTACGTTAATTATGTGGCTACAGTAGTTGAACTTCGTGTAGTTTAGCTTAATGCTACATTTGGAACAACATTTTGTTTTTGTTTTTGCAGTACCCGAGAATCAGATTGTGGCTGGCACGGAGGTGGGTTTTTAACTGCTTTTGTAGCATTGTTCATGTAGCTAAGCTATTTCACGGCATTTCGCGGATGTTGATTCGCTACGTGAAAAAAAGAGATTCAGTTCGCACCGATTTTAAACATCTGTGGATACTTGGCGACACTTAGATGTTGCTTAAATGTTGTAGAGTTTGTTAATCCTTGTATTTGAATTTTCTGTAGGTTGTCTAGCTCTCGCTGAACTCGGTCGTAGAGGACTTCTTTTACCCAATAGGCTCCCTGAAGGTTAGTAGCTTTGAAATCAACACAATAAATCTCCTCAGAATATCTGGCACAGAACGGCCTAAGGAAACGCACAAGTCAAAATTACATAGAAACTATACGAATCATCGACAATCAAAATTTACGCGGAGTTTCCGGATTAGACGGGCAAGCAACTTAAACAGTTTGAGCAATCATGACCTCTTCACATTTTTTAAATTCTCCCGCCTGACAGTTACAATACTTCAACAGGTATTTTTATAACAGAGAAAGACTTTCCTGGTCACATTACTTACACGAATTTAAGGGAGAATTCTTTGTGAATCGCTCTAGCAATTTAACTTCCCTAGTATCATTTTTTTTAAAATCAATTTTCGATGTGTAATTTTGTTTAATAACTGGTATGATTTAAGTTTGGTTATTTTTTCTATTTTTTAGTTGTTCCTGTTGTGCTGAAAGCCTTGTCGTATGATGAAATGAGAGGAACATACAGTGTTGGTAAGATTGGTTCCCGTACGCAACTTGACGGGATTATTCTTTCCGAACGCATGTATGATTGTTCGTTCTTTTTTATTTTTTTCTACTTCAAAGGGAGCCACGTTAGGGATGGCGCTTGTTATGTTTGTTGGTCATTCGCCAGAGCTTACGATCCACAAGAGATCCAACCGCACGTGCACGGCATATCCAGGTACGATTGATAACAAGTTCAATAACGAGCGGCTATTTAACTTCCTCTTGCGAGTTAAGGATTGAATGAAGAGTGATGTAGTCTTTTGATGGCGATCCGAAGGCTGGAGAGTTCAGAACTAACACTAACTTGCAGCAGTGTAGTTCTTTACTTTTTACTCTGATAAAGGGTCAAAAGTCGGGTTTGTCCTCCTAAGTAGGAGCTTTTTATTATTTTTTTTAATTTTTCTTGACAGTTCTCTAATAACTGCTGCTCTGTTTGACCGAGAAGTGAACTGCAGGCGGGCTGCGTCGGTAAGTTAGGAAAGACCATTTTTTTAAAGTCTACACAGTAGGATTTAGCCCATGATTTGGAGATCATTCACATTACTTATCTGCACTTTACGTCATTTCAACGACTGTTAAGCGATAGATTTTGATGTGTTTTTGTTTTCCTCGGTTTTGTGAGTTTGGTTGTTGTTTTTTGTTTGACATTTTTTCTGGTTTTGTCCTAGTTTAATGAGCATTTGCCCTAAAGTCCAGTCTCTGAACACTTAGAAAATAGTTTATGCCATAAAAGTTCTTGAGAACTTGATTGAATTTCAACTCAACTTTATATTTAAAACACAAATGGTCTTTTTTTTTTCCCTATAGGCTGCATTTCAAGAAAATGTGGGAAGACAGGTCAGTTCAAATGAGGGTATTTTGAGAAAAAATGTTAGAGTATAATAAGGTGTATTTGTCTTTCAAAGTTTCCTGCGTTACTTGACCATGTTTTTAAAAAAACTTTGTAATTTTCAATTTTTTTATAGCTTTCGTTCTCTCTCAAAACTATTTCATTATAGTGTTAAGGTAGTTTTTCTTTTTTTTTTTTAATAGATAACTTTTTTTGACGTTTTAGGGAACTTTTCCTCATGGCATCGATATTCTTACGATGGCTGACTATTTTGCGGTTGGGAACAGAGTGAATACATACTTGACTGTAAGGTAAAATCTTAGACTGGAATAATATCATTTTGTCCTTTCTTATCATTGTTAATCCTACCAGACTCCTTCGTTAAGTTCAATTAGAAATGTTCTTTTGTTTCCAGTGTATCAGTAGCGGAGTTTAAGGAATATACAAAGGCGTTGATTGACCATCTCGCAGATGTCAAGTTACAACACTGGGATAGGTACGATACACATGTACACCCTGCTGACGATCTTTTCGAGTAATCATTTCTAGGTCAGAATTCATTTTGAGGACAATTTCGAGGACAGATAGTCTAGGCACAAATTTGGACGCCATTCAGGGCTGTGATCATTACAGTACACCTCAAAATTTTTATCAATTGAAGGTTGAAATCGTTCAGGGAAAAGCTTGGGTATTATTTGAGGGTTGAATGGAATCATCTTCGATCACCTCACGGCATGTACAGGGTTTCCTTTCAGTAGATCCCTACAACACCTCGATCATCAGGAGGTAGGCCACGCACATCTTCCGGAAGACAAAAAATGTCCTTCACTGGAGCTTGCTACTTACGGGAATTATCAGGAAAATGTTGACAGAATTGAAGCTTACATGCATTATCTATTGTAAGTTTATCCTCGTTTAAGCTTGTCTTTCTTCCTTGTCAGAAACATTCGAGAACTGGCGTCTCAAGCTTTACACAATCTAACTCCTTCAGATCCCGAATACATGGCTAAGACTGGTATGTTGTCGATTATCGAGCCGTTTCAATGATCGTATCTATTTTGATAGACGTAGAAATCGTCTAGCAACGATACCTCGCCCAGCGTTAAGAATGTCGGCCGAGAGAGGCCGCCCAGAGGGGATGTATAAAAGAAACCATTCTTTTTTAGGGAAACCTGACGCCGTTAATCTCAGGTCCAAGCTTTGCTCAAAATATGCGTTTTTTCGTATCTTAACACAATCTTGTCAAAATACATTTCTTTCTTGTTTAGTTTTGATAATTCCGTGCTAGATCAAACCAATATCAGCGATATAATCGTAACGTTTTTTGAAAGAATCAGTTCAAGTGAAAAAAAAAATTTCAGGTATAGATGGAGAAGGGGGTACTCTTGCATATTAATTGTAATGAAACTGTGAGAAGAATATGAGCTCTGAAAATTGTTGTGTATCCCATTCAAATTTGTTTTTCCCAAATCTATTTAACTACAACTTAAATATGTCCTTTGTTGTGCTTGGCCAACAGATGAGAAATCTGGGCGATTGTCTCTAATGTCCTTCAGCTCTGTTCAAGCATCCTTTGAGCCACAAACACTGCTAATAGTAACGTAAAGGTACTTAGTATTATTGTATTGCTTAAAACTCTTTCTCTGTTCTTTCCTAGTTTTTCCAAAAGTGCTTTTACAAATGAACAATATCGACCTGAACACGCGCCATGGCTGCATCCTGGGTTGCTCTGAAGTTATACACGCTCTGTTTCTATACGCTAAGGAAACCGGAAGGTATTGTTACAGACATTAAAGATTTTACTTCGTTATTTTATAATTATTTTGACAAATAAATTAAAAACTGCACAGTTAAAGATGTTTCAACGATTCTTATTTTTCAGATTGCTGACAGACGTGGTTGACAAAGGTTGCTTTGAAATCGTGAAAGACTTTGTACCTCAGGTAGAGTTCTTATCTGTAGATTTAGGTACGATTTTGAAACGGGTAACTTTTCCTCTCAATTTTAATACCTCATCTTCCAAAAATATATTGTATGAAAATAGATAAACTTATTTGGTAGATAGAGTGATTTGATGAAACATCAACTTCTGTCATTCAGTTATTTTGCGTCGAAATTTATAGCATCTTGAGAGAAGAGTTACCAACAAAACCATGGTAATTGGTTTGAGATGGTGTTTTCATGTATAGTAATCTTTCGACCGCCGTTTAGACTTGTTTTGAATGACTTCTGGCAGAAGCAATATGTTGAGAGGCTGATAAATTTCATGCTCAATAATTCAGATATGACTTTCTGTTTTCTCTTAGCTCAACTCAGCAAAAAGCTTCAGGTGAGATTTTAAACAACAATATCATTCTTCAGTTACTGAGCATGTAACGAGCTTCGATTTCACCACGACGGTAACGAATTGTACTGAAGAGCTATATTTGAAAGATACAGTGACAAGAAATTACGCATGGCACTTTCTGTTGTCAACTTTATTTGGTCATTTTTTGATAACTGGAGAATCACCATCTGATTCGCAGTATGAAGTGAAACAATTGCTGCGATCTCGCGTCTAGCGCAGCGAGTTTCATGCGGGAGGATCTTGATCATAACTTGTGTTTTCATTTCTTTTTCAGAGGTCTAGGAGGGGACTACATGCGGCAGGCAGGTATGAAGTGTTATTGTAGTCACTTTTTTGTTCCTGTCATCTTTATTAGAGACCTTAAGATTCTAACAGGAGTTTGACGAAGAGTTCGAGATTCTCCTGTATTGAAACAGTGCGCGCGCTCTAACCTGCGTTACGTTGGCGGGAAGACGCCACAGCCGTGAACATATTATGACGGCTTTTTCCTGGAAAACTCACGATATCGACACGCGCAATTGTGAAGTTTTTAAATCAGGAGAGGATTCATCCCTGTTGTATTGCTGCTGTAATATGTCTGCACTCAATTATTGATCCTCTTTTTTTACTTCCAGTTTGTCATTTAATAATGAAATTGTCCTTATCGGAATTACCTTGGCATGGAGATCAGATAATTGGTGAGAGCTACAGTAATCATATTTCAGTTCCTTAAGAAATGAGGCTTTTGAAAAAGTGACAATGTTTTCTCCTGCTCAATTACTTAATGGTTCATTTCTTCTTGCGATGATTTGATATATTTGTCTTTATTTGTCTGGGTGGGTTCGCCAACATTCGTGTCATGTCTGAGTATGTTCACGTTTTTCGTTTCTTTTTCTCTTCCTTTCTTAGGCGTATTTCAAGACACTATCGATGACAACCTCTCCCACACAGAACCTGTTATACAGGTGACATTTACCCCGTGTCAATCTACAGTGGATTTTCTGCTGCCTACTAATATTAATTCTGTTCTCCTGAATATTTTAGGAAGGAGCTGTTCGAGCCCTCGGTGCTTTATGCCAGCAGTATTACGTCAAAGACGACGGTGGAGCTATTGATGGAATACAAGGTAATGGAGAAAATTATGTAGTTTCTTGCATTTCATTTCTTCTAGTGAATGAGTTGGTAATTATTGACGAAACAATGGACTACTATCTTTTTTGCAGATAGAATCATCACACATTACGTTGGGCAGTTAAAAAGCCCTTCCGAGTTCTCAAGGTGAGTAAATGCATTCATGGAGCCCGTGTGGTCATGTGACCTTTCGCTTGTTCTTTCATTCTTCCGTCTGTACACCTACTCGCTCGCTCAGTCCCTCGTTTGTTCTTTCGTTCGTTCGTTTGTTCGTCCGTTCCTTCTTTCGGTCGGTCTGTCGGTCAGTCGTTCGTTCGTTCCTTGGTTCTTTCGTCGGTTCGTTCGTTGTTTCTTTCGTTCGTTCGTTCGTTCGTCCGTTCCTTCTTTCGTTCGCTGGTTCGTTGGTTCGGTCCTTCTTTCGGTCGGTCGGTCGGCAGTCGTTCGTTCGTTCCTTTGTTCGGTCGTTTCATTCATTTTGTGTATCTGACTCTTGACTTCCTTATTAAATATTGTGGTTGTGATGATGGCATCAATTCAGGTGAAAATTTTTTTTTTTTTCTCTTTTCTATACTTTATGTCGGATGTAATTATTCCTATTTCGTGTAAGTGATACACCCTTCACTTCTTTTTTTTTTCTATTAGAGTTGGGTTCGCTCAAGCTTTAGGATTTTTGCCAAAATTCATGTTGTCATCCAGGTTAAAAGTGGTAAGTACCATTTCATTTTCCTCCACTACAAATCACACGGGATGAAAAGTGCTTGCCTCAAAACGTAATAAGAGTCATCGTTTGCGATTCACTGAGGCGTCTGGATGTGGCATTTTTTCACCGTTTTCAATGTTTTATTTTGTATGTTGTAAGTATATTTTGCTTTGAGCTAGTTTCGAAATCATGTTGGATATTGTTTCTTCAATTTAATAAAACCTGGTTTTCGTGAACTAAATCAGTTTAGTTTACTTTTCACCGTCACACACTGACATACTGACGCGAATCCATGCCAAATTCTAGATATTTTAAAGCTCTCGATTTCCTGGATTCGGAGTCTTGAGACCACCATTTTCATTTAAAATATCAAATCTCAAATTTATCGCTGTGCTTCTGTTCTAGGCATTTACAGGTTTAATCACAGCTTCACAGGTAGCGGATGATCCAGGAAAATTTGCTGAATCAAGAAGAGAGGCACTTAATTCTCTTGCAAGGTATTTCAAGAGACACAATTTGTTTCCATTGTGATGTGTCACTGCTTTAAGCGCGTCGTCAACCGTGATCATTGTTATTGTTCTAAAACTGGAATTGAAACGATTAGTCCTATGGCAATAAAAGTCAGAAAGTTGTATGATAACGTTCACTTTTCTCGTGGTTGCAGAATCGCTTGCACCGTTGGATTAAGTAGGACTGGAGACGAGGAAGAAATTGTCACAGAAAGCAGTCTTCATGAACTTTATGAGGCTTTTTTCGTTGCTATGAATGACTACACGATTGACAGCAGAGGAGACGTCGGAGCTTGGTACGATAACTTCCTTGTTGTGGGAAAAGTAACCCCAAACATATTTCTCTGTTTTACAGACGTCATTTTAAGCAAATGAAGATCATCACAGTATATACTCAACTGTTGAGTATATACTGTGGTGATGTATTCTTATCACAGACGTCATTTTATAATGTGTTTAGGTGGTGATGGCTCCCTATAAATTAACGTAACTTGTCATTTCAATTCAATCGATTGGCCAGCAGATCGGTCTATCGAGGTTGAATAAAAGTCTTGAATGTGACCCGAAACATCGGGTTTGGAGAGCTGTTAGCTGGGAAACTATATGGTAACTGTATGCTTTAATTCTGGTACAAGAAGCCAGGAAAATGTAAATTTTGATCGCATTTTGACAAATACATTTTCTCTTATTGCAGGGTGCGTGAAGCCAGCATGAGCGGGTTGGAAACCCTGACCCGATATGTTGCAGAAAACGATCCTTCTCTTTTTACACCACAGATGTAAGTAAGAACTTGGTTCTTGAAAAAAGAAAACCTTTTTGCTCCTCTTCTAATGTGTTTTCTCTAATTTTTGTGGTTTTACATCGGTCGATTGAAAACCATCTCTTCAGGTAACACTGTCGTTAGGTGCTTGGTCATATGACCCACGGGCAATCTTAGAGGGGGTCTTATTCACAGCATTGTCTCCTTCCCTAAGACCCAGTACTCCCAAGTATAGGAGAAGGACGTTAAAAATCCTATTTACAGACATATATTTAATTTTTTTTAAATGAAACTTGCTGCTCCTTTTCTTAGCTGTGAGCGGGTGATGTGCTGTCTTGCGCAGCAGTCTTCTGAGAAAATAGATCGCACGAGAGCTCATGCCGGAGAGATTTTCCTTAGACTTCTGTATATGGACAGGTGAGTCACGTGTTTAGATCATTTACATCTCGGGGAGAACAAATTCAATTGTATATCACAATTTGATATTATTTTTCGAAGCATAGTTTGCTGGTAAAAATATTGTAACAGATTTTCATGTCCATGAATTTTTTATTTAAAGGACAGTGGTTTTATATACTATATTTATGTACTTATTCTTTTATTTACTTTTTTCAGTCCTACGTTGCCGCATATACCGCACCACAAAGAACTTCTCGACATTTTTCCTAAGTAAGAGCCAAGGTTTGAATATAGTTAGCCCACAGTGGGAACTCAACCTCTCGTCGTTGTGGTCTGCCTCCTTGGATTCCTAAGTCAATGGGCCGGTTATTCAAATATAGTGAAGCCGTTGTTTATCAAAACCGATTGTAAGCTATCTTGAATGTGGCTGAATCTGTAGTCTGAGCGCTCCTTTTTGTGAACTGTGTCAAGAATTCCGAAAGCTAGCAGTGGAAGGGCATTAAATTTTATTTAATGAAAACAACCCTCCTATGCAGAATAAGTGAGGCCTAGTGCTTGCATGAAACCGCGGTTTGGGTCAGACCACGTGTAGACAACTGGCCCAATGAGTCTAATATCTTGCAACTGAACATCGATTGACACGGTTTTTCATTTTTCTCGAAGTCTTTTCGTTTTTTCTTAGGGATAAGTGCTTGGAAATGAACTGGAGCGCCTCTGCTGAATGTTTTCCACGAATAACGAAGCTCCTCGGTTTGGCGTCGTACAGAAGGTCTGTTCTTCTCGGCTTGACTGTCAGTGTGGGAGGACTAACTGAATCACTGGTAATTGTCATGTTCGTTTGTTAAATATTTGAGACACTTTTCACATCATCAGCACTCTCCGCACGCAAGAGCTACTGATCTTTTAAGAGAGCCTTAACCCTTTACATCCTAACATCAGTTTGCATATTCTCCATACTGTTCTTTATACATTTCCTAAGGCACTGACAAGGAGACTTTGTTTCAAAATCATGAGCTCCTGTACGTGATGATCATTTCCTTTATTCCCGTGACCTGGATATGTGAATCAGAGGTGATGTTGTGAGGAGAATTTAGATGCTTGTCACTTCGAGGGGTTAAAGGGTTGATGGTTGTTATCAAGTTGTAAACTGGTCCTGACTTAAGACTTCTTTTCTCTTCTCCTTTTTTAGGTGCGACATTCTCATTCATCGTTGCTAAGATTCTTGAAAGTCATAAGCAAGAGGTAGTTAGCCTGTTTTTTTCCCCAAATATTCATAAAATAAAAAGGAATAAATAAAAAGTTTAACAGCTCTGGCACTTTCTCGAGCTGGCTATTCGTCCACTGTTTCCCGGATCAAAGTTAAAATTTGGAGTATTTCTTGAGTAAAGAGAAGAACACCGGAACAACTCGAGAAAAATCTTCGGAGCAAGGACGATACAGCAACAACAAACTGCACCATTGTGTTTCCCCATTTGATCATATCTAAACCCAGTATAGTCACTATGTACAATTCTTGTTATTACAGTGAGCTTGAGATGAACGAGATTGCGGAAACCCTTTTAGATATTTTTCGGAAGAATGAAAAAAATGACAGGCAAGTGGCTTTTGTTTTTGCTTTCGAAATTATTTATTTATTTATTTATTTAATTATGCAACCTGTAAACACGCTCTGCTCCATCTTAATCAAAAATCTATTCTTGTGCAATTCCCATTTTTATAGTTTGGTGTTGTTGTTGTTGTTGTTGTTGTTGTTGTCATTTTAACTGATTCCCACTGTTTTTTGTATTTATTTTGTAGTGGTCTCTTTCCTTCCACTCGCCCCAGTCCTTAGTCTACTTCCCATCATTCTCGGTCTTAATCTCTTCTTTCCCCCCCTCCCCCCCCCCTTCTTCTTGTTTTGTTTTTTGCCTTTCTTCTGCTTTCTTTTGTTTTTGTTGTTATGCTCTCGACGTCGATTAATTTCCTAACAATCTGAAATATCTATGAACATAGAATAATAGTTCCCTTATTCAAGATGCTTGATATGCTGCTAGCCAATGGCTGCTTCGAGCTGTTCACTCAGGATGAAAGGTAAAACCAACCAAAAGATGGAAGTTTGTAATATGCAATCCGTGTTAATTCTTACCATACTTAATCTACTCGTTTCTTTTTTTCCTTTGTTCTCGACTATCATTCGGCATTCTCTGGCAAATAATCACTCTAAAGGTTCTCCTTGGGAATGAAAACACTGATTTAAAATATCGTGACACAGCTTCGCAATTTTCCTCCAACGATGTCAATGTTACGTTTTGTGGGAATGTCAATCTCATCTTTAGAAAACTGAAAGTTGAATGATCTTCATATGAAAAGGTTAAGCTTTTAATCACCTACGTTCAAAAGAATTAGACTTTTTGAGTCGTTTTCGCCATTTGATATCCTTTTTAATATTTTCATTGCAGCCATCCATTCTCTGCAGCTGTTTTGGACCTCACCAAAAAGGAAATCTTCAAAATTGGCGACGCTAGAAAGCTAATCACGAGTGTCAGCGTGTAAGAATTAAAACTCTTTTAAAGTTGTCGCTAGTTCAAGTGTCCACGGCTTTTAAGCAACATTATGTATTAGGCCTTCCTTAAATTTGTGACATTGTACAATGTCGTAAATGCTCTTGTCACTAAACCGTCATAATTTGGCGAAGACCTGATGCTATCGAAGCTGGGCTATCAAGGGACACTGTGGTAAGCTCACTGCCCAACTTAACGCCGGCCGCATAAAATCTCATTTGAAGACTGACTCAGACAAAAACTGTCGCTACACATTGCCGTAAATAGCGAGAGTCTTTTACGGGTACTTTTTACCGCTTTCGAGGACGTCTGCCCTCCTATATTTGATTTGTTTAACCAAATGCTCCTCATTTTCACGCAAGCATTAAATTCAAACAAAATCTAGCTATAGGAAGCTTTTTCTCGATTTATGATGTTGGGACAAAGCTTGGCTAATTACATGTTTCCTCTTTTTTAACAAGGTTTTGTGGCCTATTACAGTTTCCAGGGGCGACAAGAATGAAAGCTTTCCAACAGCTTTCCATATTTCTTTGTCACAGATACCCTCAGGTAAGAATTTTCATGATTAAACTGCATACAAGAACGGTGAATATCCAATGCACTCAATTGTATGTATGTGGTACATACTTACAGTATAGGGCGAAAGTCTCTCGATGATTAAGGTTTTACTTCGTAGCTGCATTGTTGTCGGCCCCACCCTTAATACGCCGGTACAATACTTCATTTATGTTCAACGTATCCCTTCTTTTGCAAGGTTCGTAAAACTACCGCTGACCACCTGTACTCAGCAGTGTTGACCTATGATGACATCATACCGGCGGAAAATTTAGATGAAGTGTTAACGATACTGACCGAAACTTCATGGTGAGAGATGCGAATTTCATGTTAGTTTTACTCGCGCTCTGACATGATCTGAAAATAGATAGGTTAGTTTTGGTAAACTTGTTCAGCTGTTTGGCCTCATACAGTTAATTACGACTTTTACTTGACATGCTTGTTTTCTCAGGGATGCGAAGATTGAAGAACTTCGTGTCATAAGAAACAGACTTTGCGACATTGTAGGCATCCCTCATCCGGTTTTAAAGGTAATGAGCCTGGTCAGTTTCTTTACGTTGTATTTACTGCCATAACAGGAGATTATTAAACGTAAAAAGTTTAACTGAGACGTATTTCCAAGCGGACGGTACAGCAACTTGGTTCCACTTATTCCTTTTTCTGCCGTTACTTTTTCCATCCCTTCGTGACACTCCTTTTCAATCCCTTATGATTTTATTATTTTCAGTTATTCTTTACCCATCTTTCCACTTATCTTTTATTTTTGTTTAATCTCAGTCTTCTACGGCGCCAACCGCCGTCAAGAAAAAGAAAGACGAATTAGACAGCTACAAAGGTAAGAACGTTATTTTCGTTTTCATGATTTTCCAGTTCTCTCGTCGGTTCTTTTTATTTTTTAAGGATTTGGAACAGATATACCTGATTTCTCTCTATTTTCAACAGACTTGGTCAGTCGTGGATATTAGAACTTTTCTGTAAATAACACCCCATGGAATTCATGAGGTAGCTGCATGTGAGTGGAAACGATGCACAGTCCACCGGTTCATCTGCTGTGAGAAGGCCGATTTTCATCGGTAAACAGACGTAAAAACAGGTGGCATACGAAATCTTGGTGGTCTCTAATTACGGCGCTTGTACGTTTGGAAAATGTTCCGACTAAAAGTATTGAAGATGGACAAGTCACTGCTCTTGTGTACAGGTCTTTTCGTAAACTGGAAAGCTTTACAGATCAGTTATTTCCGGAGTGAAGCCAAGAATTATCTTTACCAGTTTGCCAAGGAGTACTCATAATCATATCAACACGAGCTGCTTTAATTTAGGCATATCGTTCTCATGGGAACATCATTTTCTTTCTGAAGAAATTTGTTAAATATCTAATTTATTTATTTAAAGAAAAGAAGCTAACATCGTAAAATGCAAGGTAACCTGCATGTGTGCGAGTGTTTGGAATATTTCTATTTCACATGATGGTGCCCGTACATTCTTTACATGTAATGAAAACCAAAATAAAAAATATCTTGAGGTTCTCTAGAGTTCGATTTGAATTAGGGCTGAACCGCTTACGGCTAAAGTTTGTTACAAACAAACAAAAAATATTTGTTCCAAGATTTTTGATCGGAAAAAGTAAAATCGCGCGACGGTCCTGTAGTTAAAAAGCTATTCCTGGATAATTAGTAGCCCTCTCCTTAATTTTTCAATGCTTCGCCTATAATTTCTCTGATTTGATAGCAAGGGAAATCAGGGAAAGAATACAGCGCACTCTAGTTAATTGTCGTGAAGATTTTGTCCGAATTGTTAGTCACGAGTTACAGACAGAATTGGACGACACAAAGTCCGGTTACCAATTAATCAAAACTGTGATAAAATTTGTGGGAGAAACTAGACATCGGTTATACGTTTTCATAAAAAAAATTTAACTCGAAGAAATGCGAGACAACAGAGCGCGCACATGAAGCGTTCTGTCCACTTAAACAGGTATGACGTGTTAACTGTCCTATTACACTGTCCAATTACGAGCATGACGCGCGCACTGTCCTATTAGTCCTCAAATCGGGCTGGTGATAACCATTCACGTCTGAGAATTTTGTTATCGTTAATACTGAACGAGTCAGAAAATTTAATGACATTAGTTTTATTAAACTCGTCTGATACAATGAGAAGGATAAAATGAACGCAAACGAGATGCTTCTATATGCTTCTATGTACAAATAACTTCAGCATTGATGAATTTTTAGAAGTTGCACCGCTATCTTACACGCTTTATGTACATAGAGGTTACAAATTTGTGATTATATTATCAAGTTTTTGCTCCGTTTCAAGTTACTTCTGCTCGTCTTGCAGTATATGTGTGTCTTCGAATAAGTTTGTAACAGTAAATGACATTTCCTAATATTTATGTGCAAATGAAATCAAAACAGGTTCAATCAAAAAAGTGAAGAAAAAGTACCAAGAATGTCCAATTAAGCGCGTTCTCCACGAATACGTCTCGCAAGCTGAATGTCTTTGGGCATAATGGTGACTCGTTTGGCGTGAATTGCGCAAAGATTAGTGTCCTCAAACAATCCTACCAAGTAAGCCTCTGCCGCTTCTTGTAACGCCAACACGGCAGAACTCTGAAAACGCAAGTCGGTCTTGAAATCCTGCGCTATCTCACGAATCAATCTTTGGAAGGGGAGTTTGCGGATGAGAAGTTCTGTAGACTTCTGGTAGCGGCGAATTTCTCGGAGTGCGACTGTTCCTGGCCTGTAACGATGAGGTTTCTTAACACCGCCAGTGGCTGGAGCACTTTTCCTTGCTGCCTTTGTTGCGAGTTGCTTTCGTGGAGCCTTTCCTCCGGTTGATTTACGAGCGGTCTGTTTAGTGCGCGCCATTTCTTTACAGTCTCGCAAAGCTTATTGGTGAAATAGTCGTACAAAGTTGCTGTGACGCAGGATCTGGAACTTCTTGGTAGTGGAACAGAATTGCTATCCAAGTTATATACGGCCACAATGCACGTGCGAATTATACATCAAAACTATCTCACCTATCGCACGTAGAAGTCGCAAGCTTGCCATTGCTTGTTGCTTTAGATTCTAACTTCCTGGCCTCTCTAAAAAACTCTCTGATTGGTTCTCCTTTGATACATTTTTGAGCTGGCGAATCACAGTTTTGAATATATTGGCGGGAAATTGGTTAATCAGCAGCTGAGGTGACTCTGTATTGTATCTCGCCTTGAGCATTTGTTCGTGACAATAAAGCTCCATAATTTATTTTGCATGACTTTGGCACCGAAGTGCTATATTTTCGTTCATCCTTTACGTTCCAACGTGTTGATCAGGTTTATACTCATCGAGAGAGAAAAAAAAATTTACAAAGCTAAATATTACCCCCTATGATGAAAGCGGCAAGGATTGAAATCATTATATGTAGTTTAAAAGGAGGAATGCGTCGATCAATTTTTTAATTCACATGTGGCTCTACGTTCTTTGGACTTTGCTAGAAAGGAGTTTCGTGGCTCATTGTGGTCGCTGTGTTATTTTTGTCGCAATAAAAGACTCGCTTTTTATAGCATTGTAAAAAATCTTTGAAGATTCAAGCTTTATTCAACTTAATTATTTACCCAACGCATTTACTATGAATTTTTCTGCACAGAAGCAGCTGCTTTATTTTGTAAAATTTTTCGAAGATATGCATGTAATAATGATTGTTTACATACAATAGACAGTTCTGAAACTAAACGCCCTTTCAATGGGCACTTTGTTACTTTGAATTTAAATTTATTTTCTTGGTGACTCAGCGTTGCATCTTCATCTATACGTCTTCAACACATCCTGGAAAAAAGCAATTTAAATCGTGAAGATCAAAACCAATCACAATCACTTAGGGTCCTACCTAGTTTAGGAGTACAGTTATTCATTACGATTGATGAATACCTCAAATTGCCGTAGGAATGTTGCGAAGATTCCAAAAAATTCCTCCGGTTTATCACTCTCTTCGCCAAAGTACTGCACAAGGAGGCTAAAGCTCCGCTTGGCATTCCTCCGAAGCGATAACACGTCCTTAAGGTCTTCCTTTGCCGAAACAGCAAAAAGCTAACAAGTTTGTTAAGGAAAAGCTTCGTATGACTTGACTTTGAAGCTTTCTCTCACAAGTTCTTATTCCTAACTCGATAAAGGATGAGAATTACTCGCTCTCTTTGAATGATAACTTCGCACTACAAAAATATGAATGAATTATGAGGCATTTTGTGCCATCCTTAATTATGCTAAGGGTTATCATACTACCCAACCTGATCTTTCAGCTGCTTATGTCCAGCTCGATAAAGATGCTCCGGTATGCCATAAATAGTACCCCTTTATTGCAGTGACGGTAAAATACTACTTATAAAAGACTAACACAACGTTTTCGCTGAAAACTGAGTGACTATAACTCCATTTTCTTAGGAGTAGCCCTTCAGTGACTCACAGACCCTGCTAAATCTAGATCGTAATTTTCCAAATGTTTTCTTTATCGTAATTCAGATACCAGGGAAATCCTTAAATAGTCTACTTGCGCCCAGGAAAAGGCGCTCAGTTTGGGTGAGGTTCACCGTGAGATTCAGTAAGGGGATTAACCCTCCCCCCCCCCCTTTCTCCCCTGAAATTGTATGCGTATCATCCACTATTTGCATTGCGCAGCAGTCCAAGTCTGATATTCAGCTTTTAAGGATACTCCAATACTTGCACTGAAGCAGTCTTCCTCTACACTATCGTTGTTTATTTTCTCTACGTCTTCTGCAAGGACCTGTGAATTAAAATATATGAACATCCATGAATTCGAAAGTTCCAACGAGGCAGCTTCAAACGCCTTAAAATAAAAGAACCTCAAATGATAACTAGAAACTAATTGCTTTACCTCAATTTCTGCGGACAGCTCGCATATTTCCTTGTCAAGAGAATTAAATGGAACTGAAAAGTCGGGAAAACAAGGTTACAAAAGAATCATATCGCCTGGAATGTAACCTGTAGTGGAGCTTCAGAGAACAGTAACTAAGGCGTAGAACTCGTTCTCCAATTGAACATCAATGTTGTTTTTAAATCTATCAAGCTCCATTTACGCAATGTACGCGACTAATTGGGAATGAAATGCTAGCTAGTTACAAGGAAAAAACCTTACCAGTGACAGATAATCTCTTGTGTCAAATTATAGCGTGGGTTGAAAATGATTTTATATCCTCACCTTTTGATGCTTTTTCCACGTGTCTGAGATCATCTCCCAAAGCGGCGATGTGCGGACATTTTGTGATGATAACTCGGGTTAGGTAGTCTAACATAGAAGTGGCCTTGTTCAAAGATGATTTGTAATCCATCAGCTGGGAAAAAATAGTTGAAGGGAATTTTCAATTATTGTCGGAAGTGATCCGGGCTTGCATTGGTTTCGCTTTCCTTTGCTCTTTGATTAGGTCAAAAAACTCGCGTCACATTCTTAACAATCATAACTTGATCACCTCCGTTTTCCCGCGTCTTAGGTGGTTTGCCTGTTTTGCCTTTGAGTTCTGATTGGCTCTTAATGGTATTTTCCGTCCCTCTGATTGGTCTTTGTTGTTAATTTGGTTTTGGTTTTACGAGACTCCATCGAAAAATGCTCAATTTAATATACTGATGTTTAAAGCTGCTATATAAGTTGCCTGGGATGAACGCGAAGTGAAAACAGATTGTTGTGCGTGTACTAAGAGGTATGTCAGCCGGCTTTCGGTTCCTTTGTCAACTAGGGCGTATAAAAATAGATTATGAGTGAAACAAAATAAACAAACTTGCCTTTGTAACAAAAGTTATCTTAAAGGCGGAGGTTTGGCTACCATTCATGATGTTCCCCATGGTCAAGACCATCTACAATTGGCAGAATAAGTATGAATAATAGATGTGGGTAAGTGGACATCAAATTTTGTACAACAAAAGACCTTGCTTAGATATGCACATTTTACTTCAAGAAGTGTACCTCTATGAATTTTGGGAGTTTTTCACAAGCCATAAGCTCTTGGCAGGCGGTAATGACTGTTTCAAGATGCTGAAATACAAATCAAATGTGAATTTATGGCATGAATGTTCGTAGATTCAAAGTGTTTGCTACAGAAAACGAACTTCGATCTTTCATAAGCGGGAGAAATTCGTCACTGTTTCTGATCGGTCGATATTCGATTTGAATCTTTCAGGAGTAACGTAAATCAATTTGAGGTAAGGCCTTATCAAAGTGAAAGAAAGAGAAGTTATGGATCATATGAAACAAACAAAGGATAAACTTATTACTGGTTTGATTTGTGCGATCCTTTCTTGTAACTGAGCTTTGAGTAAAACAGTGCGGAGTCTTGCTTTGTAGGAAGGCACAGTCGCTGCAACCTGGGAATGACAAAAAAGACATTTAAGATACATTACCATCAAACAATGTGAGTGACGCTTTTTGCTGATATACTTTCATACTCCTGGGCCCAGTTGTTCACAAGTCGGATAACGCTATCCAGCGGATAAGAGTTACCAAAACATACTGCGCTGTCTGTAGGCTAGAGATTTATCCAGTGGATAGCGTCATCCACTCTCCCAACAACGGGGAAAGTGGATGAATTACTGTAAGTGTTTTGCCTTAGAGCATAAATTGCTTCTGTCTTGACTTGCCTTTAATCAACCAACAATAAACACTACAGAGGTGGAAGATTATTATAACGCGACCATCGAAAATGAATCCCGGCCCTGCCTTTTAATGGGTAAAAAAGTTAAATAAATCCCTATTAGCCAACAGCTTTTACCTCTCACGTTTTAACGTATTCAACTGGCTAACTATATGCTTTCTTATAATACCGTTACCTGAAGATAAAATCGCTCAGCTGGCTCAAGTGAAATCTTGTTTTCTCTCTCCATTTTCCGTAAAGCTCGGGCCTAATAAAGCGTTAACATGGTAGTTGTGAAGTAGCTCGACAGGATAATATAAATTCATTTGGATGAAGATTCAAGTTTTAGTATGAATAAAAATATTTTTAACTGTGAATCTTTGCAAAAAAGAAAAATTGCCTCAAGTTTCCATAATAAGTCACTTGTCATGAAATATTGAATCATAAACGCCCTTAACATGTCCACACAAACCAATTAGAGCTAAGAAAAATTAAGTGACCTGAATTTTTAAGAAACCAAACAGAGGGGTTTTGCATTTTCTTCCTCATTTTGGCCACTGACTAAAACATTTATACCCAATTCTTTGTGATCCGTTAAACCATTCTTGTTCAGCTAAGGCACGTGTGCGCACTCCTATCTAATCATACTTTTTTGTCACTTTTTTATGTGCATATCTCTACACAGCTGTTACCTCTTGATCATCCGGTGCAAATGCCAACACCTGTCTTAGTACTTCAGATGTAAGCTGTGTGGTCCCGGACATCAAGCATTGTTTAACGCCTTCTGCTTTAAGTTTGTAATGCGTCAAAATGATTGCTGTGATAAATCAGCAACCATATCAGTTAGCTAATTCATTTGTGAAATAGACAGTAGACCATGGTTTGAATAGCCTCCTTAGTGGCCGTTCTTGAGTAGGTCACGCGAAATCTTCCTTCCTCCCGAAAAAAAGATCTCCTGGAATTTTTTGTGTTAGTCAAATTTGTCCCATCAGTCTTGTCTGCAAATCTATCTTGGCTAACTCTTTCACAACGCACCTTAATCACAGATATTAATTGCGCACTCAAGGAACATTAAATGGCGATTCAATAAACAACATTAAGGTCCACATATATGAATTCAATTCTTCACCTTTTTTGCTTAACATGGAGTTAGTTTGCTGCTACATAATACTTTTTTTTTTCGTTAACTGAAGTACTTACAGACATTGAAAATCTTCTTTTCGTCCATTGCATTTTCTCTTTTGGTCTTTTTCAGTGAACTCCCTTTGAAATAAAATTACATAACATGCCAGTTATAGAAATAACGTTGTGGTTTTCCTGTCATTATGTTGGCAAGAAGCAAGAGAATATCAACAGTTAATTTTTTTCTTGGAAGAAGGAACACTGAAAAATAAGCACTGCACATATTATGTACTGACAAGAGTATATATTCTCTTGGCACTAATTAATAAATAGATTCTATTAGATTCCATGGTTCCGTGCGGAAAAGTTGTTGAAAGTGCCGTTATATATGCGTCAATCTTCTCATAGATCACGGGTAACAACCAATCAAAATGCGTGAAAAATTCAGCTTATCATATAACGACTTCAAGGGAAGCGAAGGTTTTTTTTAGATTATAGCTATCATCAAGCTTCTTTAACCTGTGTCACATAACTCTGTATTTGTCAATATATCAGCTGGGACAACGAGCTGGCAAGAAGTAATTATAGTCTCATATTTTGGTAATGTATGCAGGGAACTTCATATTTGTTTTGGTCAGCGCGTATAAAATCATTTGCTGTGTCAGCATGCTTTGAAAATACATGATTACACACCTGACAATGACGTGACAGAAAATTCCCTTATTATATCATCAGAGTCAAAAATACCTTCCAAAGGCAGATGTTCTTTAACCTAAATGAGGAATAAGTTCAATCAGAGAAAGGCGTTATTCTGAGTAAGTTAAACGAAGGAGATGAAATACATATGGGGATCAGTGTAAGATCTGGATTAAATTCCTGACAGCACAAATTACTTGTTTGCTTTCAGGGTAACCTAAAACGTAGACAACAGTCTCTTCATATAATGAAAAAGAAACCCCGTCTTTCCCCTTAAGGAGTCGGTGACTTTTAGAAATGTTTTTCATTTTTATTTTATTGGGGAATTAATAGTGTTTTTGAAGAAACATACAGCAAGTGTTGATCCAGAACAACAACAATTTTTACATTACCAAAGCTATACGGTATAACAGCGAATTAAAACATTTTGATATAAAACTATATGTACACAGCTGTAACAGTTTCAATTTCACCTTTTTCCAGATGGTGTCTTGCTTGAGGAGGTCTGGGCTGAGTTGCTCCCAAGACAGTTTTCTACAGTCGATTCGTTGGCCCTTATGTCCTTTTATGGTGTTAGGTGGAGGAGGGGGAGGGTAGCTTGGTGGTGGGGGTGGAGCAGGGGCTGCATTGACAACTGGATAAAATGGCGGACCTTGATTTTGCCAAAAGTCTGAAGAAAAATCGAGGTACCTATTGTTGTTTTTGCGTGTGTGTCATAAATGTACTAAATTGAAATCAATATTTGGCGTAAAATAGATCCTTCCAAAATTCTTGGGACCGGCTATTTAAACAAAGTTTAGCCGTCACCACGCTCTAAGCCTTCTTCAATTTAGCCGAACCTTTTATCTAATAATCAGTTTTTTGCGAACAGTGTCAACAGGCCGAAACCTAAAAGTAGACGGACATCTATTTAAATTAAATCAGCCCTCTTATGGAGAATCACCGAGGCCCACTGCTTGCGGAAGACCGCGGTTTGGGTTAGATCTCGTTTAAATAAGCGGCCCTTAAAATCCAAACGAAAGCAAGGCGTAAGGAAAAAAAACTGTTAACTGACTAAACTCAACGCACAAAAAAGTGAATGTTCACATCTAAACTTCTAACTCAAATTTAAGCGCTCTGAACGTGATTGGCTAAATTTAAAAACACACAAAGGGGAATGGGGAGAGAGTAATGGTTGAAAATACTACACTCAAGTAACTAAAGAAATTTCTAACAGTTGTTTTGAGTTGTTCGCATACCTTGATGTCGGAGAGCAGGAATCCAGTTTTGCACACTGAGAACTGAGCACACATAGGATGCCATGAGCACAGCAAAACCTATATAGACGATCATTGGTGAAAGAGGAATTAGCTGTTAGTCAGTCTCGCTGGACACGAGTGAAGGAAGCTCTGGGAGAGGGATTGGCTTTGATTTAGCTCTGAAGTAACTAAAAGTGCATCATGTGTGCTTGATGAAATAAAAGCAGTGCTTACTTGGAAAAACCCAGATGTTGACTGCAAAAGTGATGTCCTTTTTCGTGAAAACGGTAACAGAGAACAGTAGAATTACAGCAATAAAAGGTAAAATCACTTTCCAGTTGCTATGGAAAGAAAAGGACGATAGAGTTTGATAAACATCTTTTATAGAAATATAATGAAATGAGGAAGAAAGTAATAAATTTTATAAAATTACCATTTGAAAAACTCTGAAGTACTGTTGAAGAAGTTCCGATTGTTTTGCGTCGCACCTGAAAGTAAGAAGCAACATTACAATGGTTAGAAGTTAGGGCGAGATATCTTAAAACGAAATTATTTGCCGGAATCGCTTCAAGTGGTAGTATAATATTACTATATAATATTTTAGTTTAATACAAGGGCATAAAATGATGCCTATAGTTATTGAAAAATCAAAGTTGCTACGTTTTTACGGCCAATCAAACTTTATTCACGTTTTGATAGTGTCGCCGGGACTCACTTGGTTAGGAATGGTTTTAGTTCCCTAGGAATTCGAAGTGGTGTCAGAACTGTCTGTGTCCGCGCGAAAACGTTAAGATAAAGCGCGCTTTTACCATGTTTATTGCGAAGTTGAAAGAAAAAAAGTTTTCTCGTGAAGTTTCTCTTGACAAGTTGACAATGATCAAATCAAATTTGGTTTCGGGGATTACTGATGAGACCTCTGTTTAAATGAATATTAGGAATCATTTTGTGGTGAAGTGGAACGAAATTACGAGTTGTTTTCTGTGGATTTGTCATAAACGGTTTCTAATAAGGACAAACATCATTGAAAATCGATCAAAACCGGTACACTTATGCCTGCAGCAAACACTCAGCTACTTCTTCCTAGCTGCTGGCGATTCAATATAAGCTTTGTCGGCTCGATCCATTAGATTTCCAAAGTAAACAACGTCGCTATAAATAAGATGATATGCCGATCTGTTAGAGTGGAAATGCTAAATTAACTGTTTCAAACTTGTAAGTGCTTCCGATGGGCATCGCAGGATGCGCTGTAATCAAATGCTTCGTTTTTAAGTTTATAATGAAAAATTGAAATAAGTACATCTTGTTTCCGTGCTAGCTCGATCATACACAAGCATTAGAGTTGCACCGGTTTCTTTTCAAGTGACCATTGAATCAATTATTCTGTTTTATTAGTTTACCTAAGATAAGTGTTTGCTTTGTTTTAAGTCATGAACAATTTTCACCTTTTTGTACAACTTGGTAAAACGTAGCTATTTCCTTGATCTCGTCTGGAAGAGTTCCCAAAGTTTTCGTTCGTTCAATTTTAAGACAACGAAAAATATATCTCTGTAAACAAAATCTCGGAGAATCTCACTGACTCGAGCGTAAGACCTTCCATAAATGGGATATTAACACCATCCAGCGAAAAGTTTATGGTTATTACTGCGGATATGTTAGGCACATACCTTCTGTGACAGTGCTTGAATCCTTTTCCGATTCTGTCATGGCAAAAATAGTTCATCCACCGCCCACATTCTTTTCTTAAGATAAATTCTCATTGTTGATTAAAAACTTCGATCTTTTAGGCTGTCTAGATTTACTCAAGTATCTACATTAGGAAGCTGTTTGCCGAGTAGCTCTGTAAGTGCAAACACCTCACTGGTTGCTTTGTAAAAGAGCGGTCTTCATGACGTCATAATAGATTTTGACGTTTTCTTAATACCATCACGACAACAAGCCTGCCCGCGCGCACAACCTGCTTTACTATGCGCGCCCGCGAAGATGAAAATGTAGTGAAAAAGATTGTTAACCTCATCACAGTTTTGTATAGCATATAAGCAGCTTTTAGTTTTCTTTCATGGGGACATTAGAGTGTTGAAGTATTGAACGACGGATTAGATAATCGAAAACAAAATCGCTTTTCGTTTCAAGAAACTGACAATCAAGAAATTTGCATCATGAAAAGGAACTACCGTGGGTCAGGTTTGTTCTTCAAGAAAATTGCCCCTATTTTTTTTTTTAGCAAAAAATCCGTGTAATGGGATCTAGACCATCCTCAAAGCCTTCTTTAATCTCTTTCGGTTTATTCTTGTCTCCTGTCTGTTTAGTGACAAAGCTCATTAAAAATTTAATTTTGTCACTTGAAATCGCGTGGCCACTTTAATCATTTAGCCTTCTCACTTAAATAAAATTTTTCCGATTAGAAATCAGCAATTTACGATGGCAATAGGAATTCTGGCCATCCTCAGATAGGAAAACAAAGATTTTAAGACTGGTGATTAGCTATGAATAATGGGCCAAAATTAAGGCATGATTTCGTTATAATACAAATTCTTCTCTAGCACTGGAACTCGTGAGCGACACATATAGTTAAACGTTAGTAAGTAGTCTAAAGCTGGTCCCTGTCAACTGAAATGGCTTTTGGCGCAATAGACACTGAGAGGACGGCAAAAGACCAAGATAACTTTTATCGCAAGATAATTTAAACAGTGACTCATAAACAATTTTATGTTTTGAATTGCGTCCAGTAACGATTAGAATTGGTCTCACGAGGAAGTATGCTGCACACCTCCCACTGTGCGCTACTGTTTTTATAAAGAAAAAATATTTTTGCTAACACTTTCAGCAGACGTGCAGGTTGGCATGAGCGTAATAGATGCAAATGATTTATCATTGTTCATGTTAATGACAATCCTTCTTTTTTTTCCTTCTTGATCTCTAAAGAAATCGTTATAGTATCATGGATGACGGGTGTAAAAGTGTTCTAAACTGCAATGAAAAAAAATCAAATGTAGTAGTGGAAAAAGGCCTTCCGACATTAAAAAAAGAAGAGGCCAGACTTTGTGATAAATGCGTAATGAGGGGGTCACGCGAGATAACATGCTTAAAGTTGACCTCTTACCACGGAGAAATTATTTAAGCTAATCTGGGTTTTCCTCTGCTTTGAACATGGCACGTACAAAAAAAAAAACAGTGCTGAGAGGAAATTAAACTTCGTTGAATCTGAGATGAACTGATGCAAACATGGAGAAACAATTCAGTCGATCGTTATTGTATTCCTCTGTTTCTCTGTTAACAACAAGAAATTTTTCTCAGCAAAGGATCAGCAGGTCAAGTGAAATCTCGCCTTCCGACAAACTGATGATTAGACTTAAATAGGGTGGCGGTTGTTTCCAATTGACAGTTAACTCGTTGAGAAAAAGAACCTCAGAGCCGCAAACTGTGACGTCAACATTCCCGATGACGTCATTTACAATACCGTGACTTTTTCATAGTTTCGAAATCTTTTGTGAACTGACATCCGATGGTTTGAGGTGTTAATGATTTTACGCTCGAAATTTTTGGTGATGATGTTTCTCCTAATTGACCTAAGATTATCAGGTAAATTTTCCATTCACAAGTGAACGCATATCATTTTTTTTTTTGACAACATAAGCTGGCAAGCCAGGTCAGATATTTATAATTAAATATTTAACTCGATTAATGATCGATTATATTTGGATCGCGGGTGTCCCATTTCTCTAACATAGGCCAATCGTGTAGTTTTTTCTTCGTTAAGTAAACGTATCGAGCACATAGCAAAACAAGATCGCTGAATAAATATTATGAGAACTATGAAGACAGCCAAAATCTACATTCGCAGAAAACTCGTTTGGTTCCGTCACGGTTGAAGAGCTGGATCCAAGCGCGTAGAATGAGAAATTCGTTCCTTTTGCCACTCTAGGGGCTCTTTAGTAATTCATTTCTTCCATTTCTTCTCGGATGAAGAGTTTGCGTTACAACGCTTTGTCTCCAGATTATGACGTAAGGTCAAGGGTGGCTATCAAGGAATGTTTATTTTGCCCATGACAAAATTCTTTCAAACACTCTGAAGGACTCTTTAGAAAAATACCCAAGATTCTTTTTGTGCGTAGCTTGTTATGAACAGAGTGAGCTTCGGTTCGGCAGTCTACAGCTTCGGAATCTTCTCTCTGTCGACGATGACTACGTTGGATTTCAGAATTTTAAAGATATGCAAATTTGGTCGGGATGTGCTGAAGTCGTCATGCCATTAGCATGAATAATTGTGGTGATTTGGCTGGGCGAACAACAGCGTAATTGGAAGTAGAGAATTGTTTTAACTTAATACCGCGCAGGGAATGGATTAAACAATCACGTCTCCGTTTTTGAACTAACAACGTGGATTCATTCTTCAATTTTGCAGCGTGAGTTAAGTATCAAATCCAAGGAAACATTGTTTTTGAGAAAGAAATTTTACGGTTTTGTCGACATTTCGTTGCTACAGTGAAACCTATACGCTGTTGCGGGTCTGGTTGCCTGGTTTCATATTTAGCGTCGCCGACCCTGTCAATCCGCGTTAAGCTACTCTTCGAAAACGTGTCTCTATCTCCACTTGCTTTTATTGTCATCAACTTGTCGTGGATCTAAACAGCAAGGATTCCAAGATAACAAATTAATCGCTGAAGCGAAAGGCGTTCTCAAAACGGAAAACTTTATGGAAAGTTTGTTATAACTTTGGCACCCTGGTTTAGATGTTTGTGCTATTAATGGATGGCTTAATCGAGAGAAGGATCAGTTTTTGATAAACAAACGACTTTGTGGTGGAAAGAAAACATCAAGGAAAATTCTCGAGTTTTTTTTCAAGCTTCAAATTTGAGCTGATACTTCTGTTGTCATCATGAGAACGAACGAAAAATGGCCCGAAGCTTTCGGTTTTACCGTCGGCGGACGAGCTCCTGTTGTCATCCTGTCTGTTGACGAAAATTCAGTCGCTCAAAGAGCGGGACTTCAACCCGGCGATCAAATACTCGAAGTCAATGGGGAAAACGTTCAAGGATTAAGCAAGGAAGAAATAATTCTATTGGCAAAACGATCGCGAACTGTCCCTCCAGCGCTCGCTGTAATTTCACGAATTCGAACGTTTGATCTGCGTCGGAGAAGAGGACGGTTTGGTTTTGCAGTTCGCGGAAAGGGTCCTGTCTTCATTGCGGATGTAGAGCAGGGAAGCCCGGCTCAGAACGTTGGCATTCGTCGTGGAGATCTAATTCTCCGTTTAAACGGTGTTAACCTCAGACATATGAACGAGAATCAAGTTGGAGAAATGATAGATACTTGTGGACCTACAATTTCTATAGTCCTCATTGCCGGAGCTGCAGATATCGGAATTACAGATAAAAAAGAAGGAAAGAGTTCGTCTTCGCGATACAAGAGAGCTAAAGATTTCTTTGTGCAGGTCAGTTCTACACCGCTGTTTTGCAGAGTTTATTTATTATTGATCCACGTTCTTGTCTTTGTATGGACATCAAACACATAAGTTTACACTTGGGTAGCGAAATAAGGATAATTAGATATTGGTCAAGTTGTATGACATTTCTGTTAAAGCGATTACAAACCCCAATGTTGTTGCGAATGGCGTCCATTTGTCAAAATGATACGTTTTCCGTTGGATTGTTGTATTCTTGACACATTCCAAGACAAAGAAAGATGAACACGCATTTTGTTCGATTCAACTTCAATTGTTCATGCATATTATTATAATTCCGTACTTTTAATTTCGTAGATTTTACATTGTTTTTCAATTACATTACATGGGCTGTATTGCTCGCTCAGCCTTTTGACTTATCATTAACTTGTTTGATTTGTCAACAAATGGGAAGGAAGAAAAATGTTTAACATTTTCAAGACCATAAAAGCAATCAGTGGGTTTTTTCTTTCAATCCAAGATAACACAATGGTTGTAAGTTTATGACAAGTTAATTGTTGTACAAAATTCCCGGAATGATGTAGAGATAAACTCAAGATTCAAATGCTTGCTAGAAAACATGACTAAAGATTTGACTACCATATTTGATAGCAGGCTATAGTGTATCAAATTCTTTTGGCTGATACATAAATCTTTATTTTGGACAATTGAAACTGAAAGAACAGACAATATTTACTTCCCGCTTTTAATTAAATTCCAGTTAAATAACAACTGACTTTTGAGTGGCATAAGTGGTGAAGTTTGTGACATAAAATTGCTATTTTAAAAATATAAGAAAAAAAAAGCACAATTATCGTACATAAAAAGTATATTGATCATTGTGTACCAAAGATGAAGTGAAATATTTTATATAACATATTTAACCACTGACAGCCGTCAATTGTATGGGGAGCTGATTTCAGAATTATTGATAGTAATGTAGTTGACTTTTGCTGTTTTCTCTTAAAGATGAATTATTACTTAGCTGGCAATGAAAGCATTAAGAAGGAGCTTGTCAAGGCCCTCAATCAATATGCACGAGACAGATCTGTTGAGCAACTGGCACAGAATCTCAAAAGAATACTTAAAACTCCAGTGGAAAGAAAACTGCTGCGAGATATCAGGTATTGTATTTAAAAATAGATCAATCTCATCAACACTTCTGTCATGCCATGCTTCTCTGATTTTCTTATCAAGAGAAAACTTTGCTCCACTTTTCTTTTTCAAATAGGAAAATTATGAATCAAAGGTAAATGACTTCAAATTTACTGATATAACATAGAAATATAGAGGAAAAGTAGAAATTTCATATTTCCCTCTCCTCCTGCAGTCATGTAGATTTTCTTGACATGATGGGTTGGGTAATTATTTTTGCTCATATTTAATCTTATTATTATAACAAACTGGGGTGGTCTATCTAGTTTTATTCCCAAGTAATTACCTAGTTTACTAGACAGTCACACCATTGCACCAAAACTGTGAAGTCATTAGCATTACTCTAGGAGCTGTTTCCTCATTTTGCTGTACATTATACTTCCTGTTCTTATTCATAATTCATCAATTGCTCTGTTTATTTCTTTTTTGAAATTATTTATTTGTCTTTAATAAGTATAGATTTTAATGAACTTAGAAATGTTGTTAGGTTGATAAGTTTTTTCAACATTACTATCTGTTTTTAATTTAATTTTTTTTTATCTTTTAGGAGTTTCATCCCCAAACGGGAAAAGCCACTGTTTGACATCTTGGTTGGAATGAATGGTGAAATAACGCATTCCGAGAAACAATCTGTTGATGAAGACCTCCTCCCAGATTTCTCCAGCGGCACTGACTTAGAGTTTCCAGAATATAATAGCAGTAACACTCCTGCTCTTGGCAGGTTTGGGTAAGTTGCTCACAATTGCATGTTTTGTTTGCTTCCTAAGGGAAAACACTAAACAGTTTAAAGGCAATCTTGAAATTTTGTTGGCTAAGGTTCTTGGTTGAAACTCCCTTATTCTTTGTATACTTATAGAGAACCATGATAGATTTACAGCTCTTCTTTCCTTTAGTGTAAACAGTATTGTCAGTAGGGAATCTGATGGGCTTCCTTTAGCTTTTCTCCCAACCTTGCCTTAATGCTGAAATCTTTCTCTTAGAACATGGTCAGTCGGAACAACTCACGCCAATCAGTTCAGGGAGAATTTAGCAAGACGGCAAGCAAGAGAGAATATGGCTGCTCCACCAAGGCAAGTATCATTGTTTTTTGGGTTTGAGGTGTTCAGCCACTAAAATGTGTGCCCAGGATAAAATTGAACCTCATTGCAATCAGTTATGGGTACTGTTCAAAGTGTAATCAGTATAACATTAAATATAGCAATTCTTAGTGATGAGAATTCATAAAAACTTCAATTAACCTTTCACTCCCAAGATCTCATTGGGAATTCTCCTTACTGTCTGCTATACAATTCTCATGATGTTAATAAGGAGAAATTGGTATTGGATCAACTAAAAATCCCCTAATTGATATTATTCAATATTCTCATCACTTGCCTGCTCATTTTTGTATTGAAATTGCAAAGAGAAATTCTGTCTTGGTCACTTATGGGAGTTAAAGGGTAAAAACATTACTGCCTGCATATAGTTATGCACATTTAAATGTTTTTTGAAAAGTAAGTATACACATGCATTTGTACCAAAATACTCCCTGCATTGCTTACATGTAATCCTGCTTTTGATTAGAAAAATTACTTCCTGGTCATGCCAAGAAGTGAAAGGGTTAATTTAGTATTTTAATGGGACAAGTTTTACTGATTTGAAGATTTCACTGTTTGTGATGCACAGGACTGTAAGAATAATAAGAGAGGGACCTGGGTCAGGGTTTGGATTTACACTCAGTGGGGATTCTCCTGTGTTTGTTAAATCTGTTGACAGAGGTAAGTGTTTGTTCAAAGTGTTTGTAAGTCTTGTTTGTATTAGGAGATAAATTTAGTAAGGAAAACTTGTATGTGTCAAGTTCTTTCTAGCCACTTAGAGGCTGACATACATGCAGGGTATGCTTTTGGCTGGTAGTTACAGTAAGTGCAAAAGGAGATATCATCTTTCACACAATTTCCAGGCATATTGTACCTGCATGGACAATCAGATTAGATGGCAGTTAGGACTAGGCAGAGAACAGATAACTTACATGGAAGGTGTGATTATTTAGAAAGGTTGTGAAAATGTGAGGCTAACAAAGAAAATTGATTTATATTAACTGAAATTACTTCAAAGTTAGCCCATTTCACACAGTTTTTATGAGTAAATCTGGGCTGACCCATAGCTCTTATTCTGTAGCAAAATTTGTTTTGTGCTAGTCATGGTGGGGGATACATGTGAGACAGCCAAAAAAATTCCAAGGTGGTTCTGATTGTAATCCTCTCACTGGCCAATGACTTTCTTTTTTGTAGGAGGAGCAGCTTCTCAGGCTGGGATTAAAGGTGGTGACCATATACTTGAGATAAATGGACTAAATGTCAGGTGCAGTAAAAGTTTCATTTGTGAACTATCCTACACTGTACTTGCTTGTACATACCATATACTTAACCATAGGTATCACATACAAACTGTGATTATTACTTCATCAAACCTTCATAGAAGGATAAATAAATGCTTCTTTTTTTACTCATTAATCTAGTAAAAAACATTGATGGTCAGAGTAAATTTAGATTCTTCCTCTTGAAACTTCTGCCCTAATATAAATAATTTTTTGTCCAATTTTGCCACAAACAGTACTAACCAAAATATGTACTTTGAACTAAACAAAAATGTAGATTTTTTTTCTGTAAGGTGAGGTAGTCATTCAAATCAGCTGACAGAAGGTTGCATCAACTAAAGTCATCTAAATATGCATTAATTTGTTTTCTGCAGAGGAAAGTCACATCAACATGTAGTGCAGCTGTTAAAAGGAAGTGGTTCAAAACCAAGCTTGTTAATTCAATGGCGCCCCATGAGTGCATTAAAGCATCAGTCGTCTCTCTCATCCCTGCCGTCATCCAGCAAGTCTTCACAGCTTTCTGTGACATTTGAAAATGAGAGACCTGCAACTGTGTCAAGGTGTTCTTCAAGAGCATCCAAGGCTTTCTTCCTCAGAGATGATCTCTTCATAAATGGAACTGGGTATAACAGAAGTGACTTGCAAACACTTTCCCGCCAGTTCAAAATACAGGTACTTTACTGAACAATTTTCATGGGATTTCTTTAATTATATTCTCCAGAACTGCTCATTTGTGTCAACACTTCAGGCATCATATGGGCAGAACATTATTTACTTTTGACTTTTGGTAATTATGATTATAACAAAGCTTCATTTTGATTCACCAACCTACAGATGAGTCGTTTACTTACCCGTGGAGAGCAACTTGTTGTAAAACAGAGCCTTGATCAGTACAGTAGAGACAGGTAACTAATGAGAAAACTTGCCCATCATTTTATAATAAGTTTTATTTGCCTTTAATTTATAACCAATGGTTAGGTAGATACAGGATTACTGTCAGAAAGGGGTCTGAGAGCATTCTCTGGATGTAGAGAGGATTAATATCTAATGGTCTGTTTCTTATCTTTAGAAATGTACAGAGACTAATCAATGCACTGGAACCTGTCCTTGATGATGGAGCTAAACTGCAGATGTTACATTACCTAAGTGAACTTCTACCGGAGGCTGAACAACAAGCATTTGACAGAGCTGCAGCAAGAATGATCTCCAGGAAGATGGACAGTATGTGAAAAGTCTTTGCTTTGCATTTATAACTTACCTGTACATTTATAAAACACAACTGGCTTTACAAGTGGAAAGGCATCTTGATTTCAAGGCCTTCAAAGGTTCCCTGCCAGTGCATTCTATTTTGAAAGTGAAATCATCGAGAAGATTCTTTTGTTTTTTATTTTTATTTTTATATTCAAGTTGTCCTGATGTTGCCTTCATGTTTTGGTTTGGTTGCTTACTATATAAAATGAGATTAATTATTTTCTTCCTTGTTTTAGAGAAGATCTTCTGAGACATTTAGCTACAGGGAGTCTAATTTGTACATTTTTAAAATCAATTTCATACTTTTTTTAGAGCTGCCTACATTTATGAAATATATATATTTTGGAATAACTAGGCAAACTTTCCTCTGCAAAAGATGCTAAAGAACTTACTTTGAAAATCTTCGTATTGTTTTAGCTGGTGTTGTACCGAGTCTGAACACTAACAATGATGAAGTTGTGGATGTACTGTACAGAGTGCAAGCAAGACGGCTTGTAGACGCACCAAGAGCTCGTACAACAACGCCAGGAGCAGGTACAGAAAACACCCCTGTCCCTTCCCAACAATCATCAAAATTTTCCTTGTGACTGCCAGAATCCTTTAATTAATTTTTACTAATATTGAATTGTATGGCTTTATACTGGTTTTCCCTCCATAAATACTGGTTCATAACAGTTTCTTTTCCACGAGCCTGTTTTCCCTTCATTTCGTCAAATTTTGAGCATGCTTTTATAACAATTTTGCATCTTTAGTTGTAATAAGATAGCTTTTGGCTTTGCTCTTACTGAGCTAATCCGTTCATGTTGCTCTTGTTAGTTCGATCAGAGGCGCCGTATGGTGAATGGCCTTCATCTGGTGCAGTCAGAGGCCGACATAGCCCAGGATTTGGCTATGGTTAGTGGAAACTTCTCCAGTGACTTTACCATTTTTACACTTCGTATGTACATTGCTACAGAAATTTTCACTCTGTTTGGTGTAAACTGCAACTTCGAGCATTATTTAGTAATTTTTAGTCTTTGAGATAAAGTATAACAGTTTCTACAGTAGAAATTTACAGAAATGGCTTGCTGCCGAGGACTTTCAAAACCTTAGGATACAATTAATTGTTGATATTTCACAGGGTCAGATTTGGATACTGTGCCTGTGAGGGATGTTAGATCCAGAAATGGCACTCCTGATTCCGGATGGGGTGATGATGACGACGAGGAACTGGATCTCGGAGGACTTGGTAAGATTCAATAACTTTAATATTAGATGAAGATTATGGTACAAGCTATGATACAATGAAGGTCTACGGGGCAGGAGAGTTCTTTTCGTGGGTTGGCCATTGGATGTTTAATTTGTCGAGTGCAAAAGCTTTTTCTGTTTAGAAAAACGTTCATGTTGGATATTTCGTGAGTAATTCGTAGCAGGCTAGTAAATGGACCGGGCCTCATTGCACTAAACAAGTGAACAGAGGTACCAGGTATATCTAACAAGAGTGTAATTGGGTCGATGTAGCGAGGCCCCGGTTCCTCAACACTATTCAAGGGATAAATCGCCATCCAGCGGATGAGTGTTTACAAAACATATTGCGTAATCCATCGGATAAAGATTTACCAAGTGGATAGCGTTATCCACCCTTCGAAGAACCAGGGCTAGGAAATCCGTTTTTAACTATGGCTAAAGCCATGTTGCGCAGTGTTGATTACTTTCTTGAATATCTCCTGTTATTGACAGAGGAGTTAGCCGACGCGCTATTGGCAGATGAAATAAGGAAGTCGAGTGTAACCAGCCTGACGACGCAAGCACAGGTCCACGCTCCTTTCACTGGCACCTCACCCGAACCAGGAGCCCCAGGAAACCGTGGGCAGGGAATTGTTACCTCAACCCCGCTTTCAGCGTCTTCAGGTGGTAGTGGAGACAGTGGTATTGTTGTTGGAGCAGGAGAAACGTCTGGAGAAGCTGTGGAGAAAATCCAACATCAACTGGCGATTACTACACAGGAATTAATGGAGACAAAAGAGGCGCTTGATGAAAGCGAGAAGAAGAGGAAAGAACTAGAAGAGCTTGGAGGTACAGTCAGCCCGAACAGAATTATTTATATGTTTATCTCTCCCATTAAATGAATGAATATCACTTTTAACGAGAATTTTCGAAGTCGCCATTGCGCTCAAGTCCCAGCCTCAGTGTGCAGGACATTAAGTGAGCCAAGGCACCGGCGTGTCGATAGTCACGGGTTCCGCTCGCCATGAAATACTGATTCTTTCCCTTTTTCGCCGCTCTTTTTCAAACTTTTCTCCTTCTTTCTTTTTCAGATCCCGGTAGTAGACCCAGCTCTCCCAACGCTGTAGAGAATCCCCTAGATGCTGCGGTTAAAGCTCGGCGGAAAGACCAAGATGGGAAAGAAACAGAAGGTAAATTCGCTAAACTATAATTAACATTTTATAGAGAATCCTTACAGTGCGTGATTGAAACGGTGTTACGATCGAGGTTCCGATGTTGTTTACTCACTTACCATGCATGTTATCTACTAATAATTCATGTCTTTGCAGTCTCTCAAAGTCTCAGATACCTGTATGCTAGATTTTCTGTGTGTGAGTTTATAGTCTAATTCAAAATCGTTTGCTTTTACCAAGGAACCCAAGATGTCGCAAGTACAAGCGCCGCTCCTCCTCCACCTCCTCCCCCCATGGGAGCACCACCACCTCCACCGCCACCGCCTCCTCCCCCACCGTCTGTCCCTCCTCCTCCCCCTGTTGGGGGTGCTGGAAACGTTCTTGCACCAATGCAATTGAAGAGAGTGAACTGGGAGAAACTGAGTATCGCTGGTTTAGAAGACACTGTTTGGGCTAAGGTAAGGATTGTTGTTATTAACGATCTTGTAAAAGTATCCGTTTTTTTGCCTTAAAGTTTCATTTTAAAACACATAATTAAGAGGTTAGTTCGTTTATCGAAGTAAATTAAAAATGGCGCGATTTGAAATGTAAAATAGGACGCTTACCTGTAATTCGCTCTCCCCGCCCAACACAAGCATCACACAAAAGGAAAACAGAACGCTGATTACGACTTTGTTGCTTGAGTTTGCCTACGTTGTCACGTTTTATACACATACAATTGCGAATATGGTAATAGGAAGACCTACCCTTTGACATCCCTAACTGTCTCTTTGGCGCACTCCAATCAACTTATTCGACATGTACCCGTCAAAAAGAGCGACGAATGGAATGCGATCTGAAGCAGCGGATTTGAAGTAGAAGCGGCAAACTCACACGATTCTGGCACTTCTCGGATTCACAGGCCATATCTCGTAAAATTGTTTGTCTTCATTTGGTTCGTTTATTTTCAAGTAAAGCGATTTGAATCAGGTGCTCTACCATTGCCATGTCAAATTTGTCTGAAACGACCCTTAGCAAAGTAAACCTCTGCAGCTTTCCACCACTGACCAATCTTTCTCTTTGTTCGTATTACAGCTGGGACAAAACGAGCCGTCAGAAGAAGTCATCGAGTTCATTCAACTCGAGCAAAGTTTCAGTGCCATACAGAAAGTATCAAGTGAGTTTGATTTCTCATAAAGTTGAGTTTGTAGCTGTTTTGCAAACCAAATTGTAATAATTTTTATCCTTTTTAGGTAAAGAGGAGAAAAAGCCTGCGAAACCACAAGTAATGAATCCGAAGAAAACCTACAACATAGGTACGTAATAAGAATGCTAATTTCCTTTCTGCGGTCAAAATGTTTCGCATGTGAGACGTTTTGGCTGTTTTACGCGCAAAATTTGTAGCATCATTTAGCCCGCTTAGCCTGCGAGCAAGCTTTCCTTTTTGAATTGGCGAGAGACGCGTCGCGAACTCCTTTTCTTACGAGCTCAACGGCTCTGGCGGTTCTCACGATATGCTTTGCTGAAGCTTAACACCTCACTACTGTGAGTGTTTGGCTTCGGATACAAAGGTCTGGGCAAAGCGATGAGTTTTTTGATCACGATACATCACTCTTGAAGAGCTTTTCTCCTCCTGCTCTCCTCCTAAGATGACGAACAGGTTACGATAAACAGATGATATGCTGCGAGGAACCTCGGACAAACTAGCTTCTCTTCGAGGAGCACTTCTTGTCACTCAGTGCTGCGGAAACTGGGATGTGTTCGTACCGTGAGAGTCACGCGGTCCACAGTCAGTAAAATTTACCATTTAATGGCGTTCTTTGTTTCATTTTGCAGCAATTTTGTTGGGTCACTTGAAAATGCCATTTGAAGATATAAAACAAGCACTCCTGTCGATGGACGATGAGAAGTTCAGCGAGGCTCATTTGAAACAGCTTCTCCTCTATGCACCGGACAGCAAAGAGGTAAGGACAGCAGCTACGTTAGGTGAGACATTCTGTGACGTTACTTTCATTGTGCGCAAAAAAAACAAACTTTTTCGGGGCTGGTTCCTTTGAGTCTCAAATCGTCTTCGTTGCATAAAGTGCTTTTTTGAGTCCAAGCGTATGAATAAAAGAAGCCGAATGAGCATACAGTTACATATAGTTGTGAGTTTAATTCCTTAAGGGTCTCGTTGAGTTAACTAACATGTTTTCCGTCTCTTCCTTTCCAGCTCCAGAAGTTTAAATACTTCGCGGACGATGTTTCCAAGTTGGACAAAGCAGACAGGTTTTGTTACGAGGTACGTGTAGTTACGGTAATGGCCTGATGTAACATACGTGTATAAGTTCTTGTGCACAACACTTTTTCTCAGTTGAATATTCTTAATACATGGCAATGTAGACGGAATATGGAGATTGCGATTTTGCTGCCTGTATGTGAGGTTTCTTTATCTTTTCTGCAGATGAGTAAGGTGCCTTGGTACAAACAACGACTGAAAGCTTTGCTCTTCAAGGCTCGTTTTGCTGACAAAGTGGAAGAAATTAAACCGGTAAGGCGTTAAACATTAAGCTCTCAAAAAATAAAGAAAGAAGAGAAATTAAAACTTTGATTTAAGTTTCGCTCAGCGAAACTGACTCGAATTTATTCAATCCCGTGCTCCTTTTCTTCTACACTATTAGTTACTATTACTATCCTCATAATCATCATCATCGTTATCACTCTCATCATCATCATTACCATTTTTATATTGTTGACTGAATTATTTTTCAGGACTTAGAGTCTGTTCTTGATGCATCTGGAGAACTTAGAAATAGTACAAAGCTAAAGAGGATCCTAGAGGTATGATTTCTTACTATTATGATTACCCATTAATGAAAGCCTTTGCCGCGTTTTTGAAAGATATCTTTTGTCGAAAGTAATCTTTCAGGATAATTGAGTCGTTTTGGCGCCCACGGAGAGTTGCCTTGGCATATAATTTAAAGGGGCAGCTGAAAATGAAATTTCGCGCGCGTTACGAATCGCCAATAGAGTACGAATAAGCTACCAAGGAACAAGAGAGGTCAAGTTGGGTTAGATTTTGTTATCTACCGTGATTATCATAGACTGAGGAGATCGAATACAACTGTCTGTGTTTCTTTCTGTCAGTCTATCCGTATATCTGCCTGTCTGTCTGTGTTTCTCTGTCCGTCTGTCTGTATATCTGCCTGTCTGTTTGTGTTTCTCTGTCTGTCTGTCTGTATATCTGTCTGTCCGTCTGCCTATTCACTAGACTGATTAATTAACTGACTGTTTGATTGATTTCAGCTTGTTCTAACGATGGGTAATTACATGAACAAGGGAAATATGAGGATAGGATCAGCCGCTGCATTCAAGATTGAGTATTTGAACAAGGTACATTTACTTTTCTTACTGTGGCCCTGAAAAGTCAATGAACAAAGTACTCTTTAAAACCTCCCAAAATTTTTAAAGCCACTTTCTTACTGAAAATTATAAAGTAGTTTACATACCTAAACGCAGCCCAGGAGATCTTTGAAGTCCTTTGTAACTTGTTCTCGCCATTGTAGATGTTTTTGCTTGATATAGTAATAGTTTTTTTTTCATTCTGTACAGCTCAGTAACACCAAAACTTCAGATAACAAATCCACTTTGCTGCACTTTTTGGTTCAGTCCATCGAGTCTAAGTGCCCTGAAGTGTTAAACATCAAAGAAGAACTCGACACAGTGCCTACAGCGGCTAAAGGTACGCTTTAGAACTTATGTGAGTGATTGTTGTCGAATTTCAAAATGGCTACCACGGCTTAACACAACAGAGGAAAATACCACAAGTAACCTATGTGGAGACAGAGTGAAAACAAGCAAATTGAAGCGCAATAACGCAAGAATAACCTAACTCACGTTTGTTTAGGCTTTGAAATAATGTTTTTACTTGATGCCCTTGAATGAAATTTTACTTTTTATTTTGTTTTCCTAGTTTCGGGGCAAATGGTGGCTTGTGAAGTGGAAGAGTTGGCTGAAGGAATGAAGGTTTGTCTAGTGCTCTGTTCATTTTGTCCTGTTCGAACGAGCTCACAAATTGCAAGAAAATGTCTTAAAACGGCAAAAGAAAGAGCATTTCTATAACTTTCCGCTGTGGTACATGTTTCTACAGGAGCTTAAGTCAGACCTCGGAGCTTTCCGGTCACTGAAGTCACAGGATCCAAATGATAAGTTTTCACTTGCGGTAAAGGTAAGCCAATTTCGAATTTCGTTTTCACTATCAGCGTTCATTTAGTTTAGAGATTTTTGCGTGCATTTTCTATTAACTGCATTTACTTTCCCACATTGTACACCTTTTTTCCATAGTTTTACCAGTTTTTTCCCTTTTCATACTTATTCTCGTACCATTCCATTAAAAAAAAGCTGATTTGGACCCCGGACCGAATTTTCCCCCGCGAAAACCATTACATCGCGTTTCTTCTGAGTTGCAAGCAGGGAATGGTTTTATCGATAGATTTATATATCAAATTGGAAACTGTGTTCATCCGGGAACATGACCAAACCGAGTGCAATCGGATAAAAGAAATTCCTGTGAATGGGATGTGTTTTTACATAAGATTCCTCAGAACTTTACAGCCACACATAATTTCTGAACTGAAATTATCCAAATTTATTTGGAATAGAATTACAAATGCCGACACGTAATAGAGGCTATGGCGACGGTAATTGCGCCACTTCCTTAAATGGTTCCAGTGAGGTCTAAAATATTGTCTTTAATCTAAACCTTTAGAACATTATAGACGAAACAGAAGGAGAATTAATTGATCTGCTTAGCTTGCAAGAAAATTGCACCAAAGAATTCCGAGAAACAGTGAAGTTCTTTGGAGAAAAACCAACTTCAGCTACTACAGAAGATTTCTTTGGTATTTTTGCAGCGTTTATTATGAATTTCACGGTGAGTGATTCTATTATGTACCGTTCCGTTTTTGAACAATATTGCATGAAATTGCTGCAGAGCGCTTTTCGATTGAGTGTCGAAAAAGTATAACCATATCACAACAACCAATCAGAGGAAAGGAGAATATACCTTGCAGAGCCAATTAGAACTCAGAGTAAAAACTGCAAAGCGCTTTAAACGCGGGAAAACGCGGGCGACCAAGTTGTGTTTGCTTTTTTAGTTTTGGAACCGATTGGTTGAGAGAACGGTGCACGTTTTCTCGACCGATCACAGGGCAGAGTGAATCGAGACCAAAGCAATGTTGGATTACTTCGTCGCTCTCTTGCCTTGGGATTCGTCCAAAATGAAAATGTGCTGTCAACTCTCTCTTATTGTTTTAGTTATTATTATGATTCATAATTGTGTTTTGGTTTCCACTGTAGAGAGCACATGCAGAAAACGTATCGAGACAGAAGCAGAAGGAAGAACAAGCCAAAAGGGAGAAGCAAAGAGAAGTATGGCCTCATTGTTTCGTTTCTTTTCTTTAATGGAAATTCCTTTCCTCCAATACCCTGGGTGTCTTCCTTCCGGATTCATACTTTATCCTCTCTTTGTTCTCTTAATTCATACCTTCAGTGGTACCACACGCTATGATTGCGAAATAGGGTGTTCGTCATTATTTGTCCGATCGTACATTTATTTGATCATTTTTTAAATTCATTTTTATTACTTTTATCGTTATTTGTCTTATTCGACGCGTATGATACTTCAGTTAAAGTCAATCTATAGAATGTTTATGTATTCTTGTATATTTTTATTTTTATGCGACCATGTTTGTTTATTTGCGTTTTTTTCATTTAAATGTTTGTTTTATTAAGTCACTGTACATAGTATATACACTAGTAGGACTAGAGATTCCCGGAATAGCGAAAGGTGAAGCCCCTGTTCACCGTGTCGACTGTCCCTCGCCGTATTGTATAGTTAGTTGTTCTGTCCGTCTTAAAATAACACACACGCTGCTTTTATTTTATCTAGGAACGCACAAAACAGCTAAAAAGTTTCAAAGAGCGAAGTATGAGTGATCCTGATTTTGAACCTAAGGATGAACTTCAAGAAAGTTTCAAGAAACGCCGTATAAGCAGTGAACAAAGTAATGACAGTGTATTTGGTTCGCCTTCTTCACCTCGAGTGGCATCGTCAAACTCGCCCTCTTCCCCTCGCGTAGCATTGCCTAACTCGCCTTCTTCCCCTCAAGTAGCATCGCCTGACCCGCCTCCTTCCCCTCGAGTAGCATCGTCTGATTTGCCCTCTACCCCTCGCCTAGCATCGCCTAACTCGCCTTCTTCTCCTCGCGTTGCATTACCTAACTCAGTCGTGAAGCCTGTGGATACGCAACCGGGTGAAGAACCTCTTTGGACGGTGGTGGATGTTAGTACATCACTTCCCAACAAAGAAGCTCCAAAGGTTGTTTTAGAGCCTGCAAAAGCGCCGATGGTCACTAAACCGAAACCTGCACCTCCCCCCAAGATAAAGCCAAAGTCGCCGCAGTCGAACGCACCCCAAAGCCCTGTAAAAACATCGGCTCCAAGACCAAGTAAACCCGAGCCACATAAATCTGTTTCAAAACCGGTGAAACCGGTTCCACTAAAACCTGTTAACTATGCTGGAAAAATTAAAGAAGGCGGAGCTGACGAAAATGTTAGTAAAGTGGAACTAAAGAAGCTCGAGATAGAGAGGAATGACGGTAACGATTCAAAAACAAGTATTTCACCTAGTATGGGAGTGAAAAGTATGCTATCGGTATTTGAAGGCTCTGGACGGGAAATGCCAAGTTACGCCAAACCCGATATGACTCAGAAAAAGCCCAAGTCTTTCTTCATCAACAAGGGGAAAACTCCTAGTGCTCCTATTGTAAATGACAATCCAATCGAAGAAGAAATCCACTCTAATGAATCTCCACCTATTCCTGATCGTAATTATTCTGAGGAAGATATATCGCTAGCTACTAAGTCACCGCCCATGTCTCCACCTTCACCGGAACGCGACGGTTCCACTCAATCTTCACCCGAACTTGATGGTTTTAACTCGTCGAAATTCGACATGACTCTTGACGAAAGCACTCCGGAAGTTGTCGAGAATCCTTACGAAGTCGTTGAACCTCGAACTGTAAAACCTTTGGTCCCATCTGCTCAGGAGAACCCTTCACCTCCGCCACCGCCGCCCCATAATCGCAAAGTAAGCAGGAAAGATATGCCCCCAGCACCTCCCAGTCGTTACAAGGACAGGCGCCCATCGCCACCTTCACGTGATGCCAGTCTGCCTAAAGTGGATCCGGATTATGCAGAAGTTGGAGAACTCCGTCGCAATGAAAGTCCATATTCCGAAGTTGTGGATAGGTCTTCGACGCCCGAAGTGGAGGCGTACTTCACTAGGGATGTCGTTGCTGACTTCGTGACCCAAATGAACGATGCAAAACGTCAGGCTCCTCCCAAACCACTTCCTTACAAAACGAAAGACGTCGTGGCAGTTGAAACAAAGGTCAGGGCACCACCGCCTAAACCTGCTCCCTTCCGACCGAAAAGTATTCAAGATAGTTTTCCGAATAGCATTGTCACGTCGCAAGAAGAAAGGCTCCAATCGCCAGAGACTCCGTTTTCCCCCAAGTTCCCTGTCGTTGTGCCTGGTTCGCCCACGCTTTCGTCTGCTAAACTTCTCAATTCTTCGTCACCTCCACTAAACAGGCCGCCGCCACAATTTAAGCCACCGCCTCCTCCAAGGGTATCTTCTATAGCTGGCACTGTTAACGATGACGTCATCAAAGCATCGACTTCAGTGATTGAAGCTCGCAATCTGTATTCTGGCGTGGAAGTTAATGGTGGGTTTGACAAAAATGAAATCCCTACTCGAGATATAAACGGTACGTTACAGTCCAAGCCAGCATTGCCTTCAAAACCTCTTGTCGGCCCCAAACCATTCCAGGCAAAAGTGGACATTGGACCGCCAAACTTTAAACCTCCGCCGCCTTTATTGTCGTCATCTCTCTTCACTAGAGCTAATGGAATCACATCTGACTCGATCACGTCCGACCGTGAAACAACTGGAGCTCAGAACGGTACAGATAGCTTCAACATAGTGGCTCCTCCCCCGATGGATTACTTGTATGGCAGGTCTGAACGATCTGCTTCAAGAACAAGCCTGGATTCCTTGGATTTGAAAATCGTCCCTCCGCCACCGATGCATTTCAAAGAATTTGACAATAACAACGATACAGAAACTGTAAACTTAGACTTGAATCTGCAAGCTTTGTTTCCGCCGTCGGGCTGGGAAGAAACAACTGACAATAACAACATAAACGGTTCGTCTAACTCAAGGAAGGCACGCAAAGGGTTCAAGAGAGGATCTCAGAAAAGCAACGATTTGGCGGATTTTGATCTTGAAATTGTTCCCCCTCCCCCGCCGACTTTGCCACCCCCAACACTACCCATCTCAAGTCAGGCTGACTATGATTTAGAATTGATGCCTTCAACTCTGTCTTACGAACCAGGGGAGTTGAATATCGACGATATCCTAGGAGACTTTGAACAAAACCTGTCAATTCAGCCAGACTATGAAGATTCTTTACCTCCATCTCCCCAGTCACCTGTAGAGCGTTACATGGGAGTGCCCCCTCCCCCAGGGGATGGACTTATCAAGCCTCTAGTACCCCCGCTTAGGAAAGAAAGATAACAAAAGTAGGTGACAGAACTATATGGTATGGTCCAACTTCATGTCACGTCGAAGTTGTTCTCCTTGAGACGTCCATGTAACATTTTACTTAATTAGCCCCGTTATTTGATTAAGAGAGATTAAGAGTGACGTAATAATATATAAATATTTTCATTTGATACAAAGCAAGCGCGATACCGTAGTTGTATGCGTATTTATATGATGGGAAAAGATATGCCGCTCTCTCTTTGGCGAGAGATTGATCAATATCTTAGACCATTGCTAGAGATATATCTTTTTTAATTGTATGAAAAGTGTGAAGAGTGATCAAACCAAAAAGCTAGGCACGTGTTATTTAGGGCCTTAGTATTGATTGAGCCCATAATCTTGGTTGCACTAAATATACATATTTAGACCCGATGCTGCGCTTAATTAGTCTGTAAAATTGACGTTTTCGTCCGTCGCGGCTTAATTTTTGTAAATAATCTAGGCAGTAGTGATAAAAGGCTGAAAACCCCAAAACTGTTCTTTTACATTACAGCAAGTGTGAAATTTACCCCAGATATTAAAATTCTACTAGAAATTGATACAATCTTTTGTCTAACGAATGTTACAGATTTTAAAAGCTATGTTTTTCTACCGAACTGCGCACGTCCTACAGTTGATCGCTGTCTTCAGACTCATGGAAAAATGCAACCGGCAGAATCACCACTTCTCCTGGACCTTGTCGGTTCTCTCAACAGTTCCCTGAGACCTTTTCATTCTCCTTCGCAAGGCTTTAGCTTAAAAATACCGCGCATCAAGAGCAGATCTCTGTAGATACAATATGAATGCTAAAACAGAAATAAGAGAGGGGACATTTGTGCGATAGATTCAATGTTTTTTATTGATTACCCAGCGTTGAAACCATTTGTAGGTAAATCACTTTCGTCCACTTGATGTGAGGCATTGCCATGATTTTAAGAAGCATTTAACCCTACAACTACCAAGATCTGATATTGCTTCTCCTCTCTAGCTGCTACACATTTCAGTGTCACTTAGTCACGATAATTCGGTGTTGGATCAAGAAAGCCACTTCTACCTGATAAGTCTGAGTATTTCCATAGCAAGTTTCCTGAATAATGCATGGATATTATCGGGAGAAGTCACATGTTCATCACTTAAAGACAGTCCATATCCCTAAAATCGATCTCTGAAAAACCCACGGACCCACTTTGATTATCAATGCGATCAGGATGTCTCGTGTTTTACTGGCAATTATTATCATTCACGAATATTCTCTAAAAAAATAGTTTTACTACATGACAGATCATTGGGATACTTAAACGGTGTTGTGATATTCTATACTGCGAATGTAGTAAAGTCGGTGGGGCATGTCAACTTATTCAGAGGTACTATTGGTGCTAACAGTAATCGTAAAAAGTCCAACGATTGTTATTTATTTGCCATGCGAGTACTTGGACAAGGCCGCACGAATAACTGCAACTCCGAAGTCGACATCCTCTTTGGTTATACACATTGGGGGCTTAATACGCATTACCTAAGGCAAAAAAATATTAAAAAATGTCTTAATTTAAGCACAAGAATCTACTGAAACACCTATCAGTTGAAAACCAAATTCTTATAAAAAATAAGGAAGTCGTTTGTTTCAACCCTTGAGGCAAGTGCGTGCGTGCGTGAGGGCGGGCAACAAAATGAGCTGCGCTGTCATACAGCAGATGCCATGAATTGAAGAAGAGAAGACTGAGACAGGCACTGTGTACCAGAAATTATTTGAATTCGAATCAACGTATAACGAGAGTGATACTCGTCTAATGGGAACAAAACTAAATTATCAAAGCAACGACAAAGACAAAGGACAAGGATGATATTAATATCTCTAAAGTGAGTACTTACATTTCCATACAGTCCACCCTTTCCGACAAGAACTCCCATGTCTTTACAGTCTTCCCAGATTGGGACGAACTTCTCGGGAGGCAAAGGTGTCTTTGATTCCTAGGAAATAAAAACGATCTTCGTGTTCTTAAATGTTTAAGACCGTAGAATGATTCATATTCCCACCCAAATAATGGAGAATAAATTGAACTCTCACCTTATCTGTGACAAACTCAACGCCAATCATCAAACCCTTCCCTCTGACGTCACCGATTACATCCGGGAACTCTTTCTTAAGTTGAAGCAGTTCTTCTAAGAAGTATGTTCCCACGACCTCACAGTTCTTTTGTACACCGTCTTCATCAATAGCCTTAGGGAAGAAAAAGTTGCGCATGCATCATTAAATGGCGGGAAATCTGAGGAGCCACCAGCCGCAGCACATTTCTGACCAATCAGAATTGAAATAGGCTTTATTCAGCTAAATATTGGCCAATGAAAGTAAATCTTCCATTGAAAGTAAATTAGCTGTTAGAAATTCGAAAACACATCTTTTAGGGACAGCGAAAACAGTCTCAGTCGCAAATTGGAACACTTCCTGGGGCAGTACCTCTAATACAGCTTTTCCTACTGCTGAAGCCACAGGGTTTCCACCAAATGTGTTAAAATGAACGGCTTGGGCAAAACTGTGGGCAATTTCTGAAGAAGAGGAAGAAATTACATACGAATTTTGAGGGTATCGGGCATTCAAATTAAGCAATGAAGGGGAAAAAGATCCACCTTTCACGCTATCTGATGGTAACTAATGTAAGCAATCCTACCTGGTGTGGTGATGACAGCGGCCATTGGAAAACCGTTTCCAATACCTTTAGCCATCGTTACTAATCAAAGAAAGAGATAGAAAACAAATGTAAATCCACCGCAAAATAAGGTACTTTCCCGTCCAATTTGTACCATTCTTTCGAAAGCAAAGCATTTTATGGACGAGGTTGTAAACTTCCGGAGTTTCATTTATTATGCGGATCTCAGAAGACTTTCTGTCAAGTAGTTATAAAAAGCGGGTTCTGACTCATTTTGAAATTTCACAGGATTCAATGAAATTCAACTACATTTCACGCAACTGTCACTCTGTGAAGTTCAAAGTCATTTACGCTGGTTTTTAAAATATTTTAAAATGTCACAAGTTACATTGTGTGAAATTGAAAGTCATGCCTTTGTTTTATCACCCATCATCACGCCTGAATCAACCACTCAATCTTGTTGACTGTTTGTGTGAAGATTTTTCAAATATCAATATTGTGTCTTCTCGCAAAGAAGTCGTGGTGTGCCTTGATTTTTTCTTCTGTAAAAATTGTCTTTATAAATGAGAAGAGTATAGCAGTCTGAGTTCAGTCCTTCATGAAAACGATCTCTAACTATTTTTGTGTTATTTCCCCACACGAATTCAGATGTATTCAAAATGTATATGAATTTCACAGAGAGACCCAGTGAAATTTCAAAATGAGTCAGAACCCGCTTTGTATAACTACTTGTCAAGTCAACAAATATTTTAACGGGGAGGGAGAAGGGAAAAAACTTATAGTGAGAGAATCAATGTTTTTCTTTAAAATCTTACCGATATCTGGAACAACACCCTGGGTTTCAAAACCCCAGTAATGACTGCCAAGACGACCAAACCCAGTCTGAACCTACACATAACAAAAAACAAAAAATAAGAAAACACGTCTCTCGGAAAGTAGCGGCTAGACGAAACGTATACGTCATGAAGAAATAAAAGCTACACTGTACCTCGTCTGATATGCACACACCACCTCTTTCACGTATAAGCTCGTATGCACCCTTCAGGAAACCTTTGGGAAGCTGAACGGTACCTCCGACACCCTAACGAAGAGATCACATCAATTTCTCAAGAGGGTAAGTTTCTAAAGAAACTGTGGTGCTGCGTCGGTGGGAGAGTATAACAGGTAACTTAGAGCTAACAACTGAGTTGAAAACGTAAATTGACCACCGTAAACTTGAGTAAATCGTCGCTCAATTTAAGAACCTACATATGTTACATGCTCAAAATAAGGCCAAAATAAAGAACTACCATTGGCTGTAGTATGATTTTCGCTTCGCTTCGCAAGAAACAACCAATCAGATGGGGCGCTGGTATCCAAACACATCTACGTCATCCATACAAAATTTTTTTATGTCAAGTCGGAAAATGATCGTAACTACTACGTAAACGACTCAGAAGTTGGGAAAAGCATTCTGACCTGAATAGGCTCAGCTATGAATCCTGCAACCTTTTTTGAAGTCGAATGCACCAGGACATCTTTCAGCTGATCAACATACATCTTGGAAGCCATACACTGACCTTAATTGATACAAATGTTTTGGTTAGATGGTGTACTCGACATCACTTCATTGAAAATGAAAAAGCTCCTTACACATATCTATTGATAGAATTTTTTTCTTTTGTTTCAAGAAAGGTTTACCTGCCGCACAATTACATGTTCTGTCCGTCTGTCGATAAATGAATAAATACATTTAATAAATTAGAGATAAATTAATAAACGAGTGGATTACACAAACGAATAAAGCACGAGAAACGAAAGATTGAACGAATTAATGAATGAATTAATTGATGGTAGATGGATGAACAATGAAACAATGATAAAGTGAGTTACACCAAACGCTGCGGTAATTCCCATCAACCTGTGCTATTGAGTCACGGCAGTTAGCTCCGCCCCAGGGTCCTTGGTACACATCTGGGTTCATAGTCTGGGGAGATAAGCGTTTTAAAAACATTACAACCCAGCAGAGCAGAAGGACTTGAGAATATTGACATCGAAACAAAAACTGCAGACGTTATCAAATGACATTTACATGTAACTTCTTTTCGCCGTTTACCTGAAAATATCCAAATCCCACGGGGACATTGAGTTTCCATGTGCTGTGAGCAAGAATCCCCAGAGTGTATGGACTGGCACCATGATATGCATTTCTATTACAAATCCACAAAAGAAACCAAATGAATCCTGCTAATTTCAACACAGTTCAAATCAACATATCCACATATTGTACACATCAGGTGATTTCTTTCCTTTTTTTTACTAAGTTTGGGGTCGGTAGATGTCCCTGATGAGCTAAGAGCATGGCTGAAGACGTTGAAAGGGAAATTATCATTATCATTATTATGTTGTGAGTTTAAAAGGTCAACCATTTCTAATGCTATGTCATCTCTTTCAACCCTTCAACTCCCAAAAGTGATTAACATGTAACTTCTCCCTAGAATTTCCATACATTTTCCAGTAAATGGGTAATGAGCATACTCAAACTTATTAAGTAAAAAATGGTTTTCTTGAATTAACACCAAATTCTTGTTACTAATTTGCAAGGAAATGTGTAGCAGTTAGAGGGAAGAGTTGAAAATCAGATCTTGGGAGTTTTTATTAGTGTTTATCACTTCACAGTTTACCTGAGAGAAAGGAAATCAAAGTTTCCAGTGTGAGCTCTTGCCATCATGATGGCCATATCATTAGCTTCTGAGCCACTGTTTACAAAGTAGCACACCTGGTGAAAAAGAAAGAACATCCTGCAAATTCTAAAATAAAAACATAAAATGTACATAAAATTTGGATCCCAATTATTGTATAACTACAGCAAGACAATTAAGGTGATTCTCTTGAACTACACTATGTACATACTTCTGTGTACAAAAATTTAGGGCATTACATATTGATCCTGCCATTCTCGCAGGTTTGCTTGAACAGAAGTAGTAAATGCCATTTTTATTTGTCTTCAAGCCCAATGATAATAATCTTTCCAAGCTAGAGGATGTTGTTTGCCTTTGGTCAGTGGGCAAAACAACTCAAATAGTCAATGGTAGAAGATTTTAAATGTCAAGCAACTCAATAAAACACAATACAAGCCTTTGAAATTTTGACACAGTCATGGTCAGCATCGTTCAATGATATTATTTACCACAGTCACACACTGTCTATTTTTAAAAGGAAAAAAAGGCTCAAAGCATATTTCCCTACCTAATAACCTGACTAGCTACACTGTAGCTCAAGAGAGCTATGGATCTGCCTTGTTCAAAGTAAACAACAATATCTTCCTAGTTGTAACATCACAGGCAATTAAAGGAAGAGTCTGTCATAAAAAAATCTCAGGGTTGGATTAGATCACACTTTGTAAAATAAAAATAAACTTACAAAGACACAATCAAATAAAAATGGAATTAATGAATGAACCAAAATAGTGATTAAGGGATACACTGAAAAATAAAGTTTGGCTGCCTAAATTCCTTCTAAGTTGAATATTCAGTGTTAAATTAATTTACATTGTGAGTCTTTTCAGAGTGATCATGCATAAATGGATAATTCATTGACCAATTTCCTGACATTTAACATTTCAGGAAACCACGAAATCCTTTACAGAATTGTATCTCATTCAATGAGGGTTAAAACACTAAAATAAAATTCACTGAAGTTGAGAGAAACACTGTTAGATGTTACAAATTGTTTATTAACAGGATATCTACACTGGCTCTAATGAACCCAACTCCATTACCATCTAATACTTCTCAGAGACCCCTTTCATTTAAATACTAAGTACTGAACAACCAAAATTTTCTGAACCTATTTATTATCTAAAAACCCTAGTTTCAGTTTACCTTAAGGTTTCCAGGAAGTTTTGATGCCATAAGCTCTGCATATTCATGGAGGGTTGGATGATAATATATGTTAGTCGTATGCCACAATTTATCCAACTGGTCTTTTGCAGCTTTGGTCACATGACTGCAGAGTAACAAAGATTTTTATCAGCTATCATAAACTGAAGGGCTTCTCGACTATTCAAAGATAGAGATATACATTAAACACAAGATTTTACTACTAGAAATTATCTTAACCCTTTCTTGCCCAAGATTTAAAAGTTAATTCTCAGTACTCTCTACCACACATTTCTGTTAATTTAATTTAGATCAGAGAAATTGAATGATATTCCCTTAATGATATTTCCCTTACATACCATCATCTTTCAGTGCTTAAAAACACATGAATATCATCAGAAGAACTTCATTTTTTTGGTTGTACCTCAGGGAGTGAAAGATGTAAGCAAGCACCAGTCATGACTACTGTCTACAGTTAATTTTTTTTAGATAATTGAACAATTCACCAAAACTTACGGATGACAATGTCCTACACTGACTGTCACAATACCAGCAAATAAATCCAAGTATCTTTTTCCAGCACTGTCCCAGAGCCACTGCATGTGACCCTAAAAATCACAACATGTTAAGAAGTCTAGGGCAATTTTTATTGCAGCTGGGTATTAAATGATCTTTTATAATTAATAACAATTATTTAATTCAGTGAGTGGTGGCATTTGAAATAACCACAGTTAGGTGGGGTAATCTGCCAGGACTAGCTGTCCCTCAAAAATTATCATTTTCTGGGAGATTATTGTAAGGTGATCAACTAACCAGGTCTTAAAAGAAACTAGTTTAAGAATCATATACTTTAGGCAATAAAAGTATGTGTGACATAAATGCAAATCAGGATTCTCCTGAATAAGCTGATAAAATTTATTCCTGACCAGTATACAGGGTGTAGCTAAAAAAATTTTACAAGTGCTTGTCATCTTCTCAGAGTTTCATGAGACTTGTCATGAGAGTTTCTTTTCTAAAAAGGACCATGATTAATTAGGGTGTGGTAAGGAAACACAATAACACTGTCTTGACTTTAAGTATAACACTGTAAAAATTCATAATTGTACCTTGCAAATAAACACTGGTTCCTTGTAATATGAAAACAAAGCTGGATTCAGATAGGTTTTCCTCACTTCTTTAGCATGTTCAAATGAGATTCCCTGATAAATCAGAGAAAATAAACACACCATTATTTAATAACTTAAAGTTATATCAAAGCTATTTTCTATAATTGATTCATACTATAAATTCTCATTACATGTCTGCCTCAGAGCATATCAAAATTGAGAATTTAAGTGTTGATCACCCCTAGGAGTCAAAAATGGGTTACCCCTTTAATTTGCATGAGTGACCAAAAAAGAATTTCTCCTTACAATATCAATTCAAGGTCAAGCAGACAAGTGATGAGAATAAAGAGAAATTTTTAGTTGATCCAACTCCAAATTCTCTGAACTAACATCCTACGAATTATATGGCAGACATTAAAGAGAATTATTAATGAGATCTTAGAAATAAAAAAGTAACAGTTGAGTTCACACATACACATACATATCACTCAAACAAAGGTGATAAATGTACACAATTTAATGAAAAGACAAATAGATCCCAATGAGTTCTCTACAAATTCAAAACACTTGGAATGCTGAAAGTAAAGCCTAATTAACAAGTTTGTCTTTAATAGGGCAGAGAAGCCAAATGTTTTAACTTTTACCCCATGTAGGCTTCATAGCTTCGCTGGTTGTAGCAATCCCCACCTGGAAGGCTTATTTTAATGCCTTTTCAACACATTAAATTACTTTTTGAGACTTTAACCTAAGGCTTCTCAACTTGCTATTCAACTTTGAAGATTGATTTGCTGCTTATCCTTTGCAGGTAAAAAAAAAATTAACTCCAGATATGTCTTTGTGACTTAGAACTACAGTCTCCATTGCCATGGTGAGAGCTGAACTATACTAAGTATGGTTTAAGATTAATTTAATGTGTACCACCTGGTACTGTTCAGGTTCATAATCACATTGTGGCATTTCCAGTCCTGGATCAAGAGGTGCTGTCTTTTGCAGTAGAGGTCCTAGGAACCCAAACAAATATTTGTTACTATCATTGTGTTTACATCTCGAAATTAAACTTTCTGTGCTGTTTGATTAATTTCACATATTGTTTGACTTGCAATTTGCTTCAGTTCAGAGTCACTAGACTCACAGATAAACAAAACCTTGCATCTGCATAAATGAATCGAAATTCAAACCAATGAAAAAACAGTGCCACAATACATGACTTGTATGCATACCTGAAGGTCACTCTCTTAAATTAAAATAAGCCCATGTTGTACCAAGGAGTGACTCTTTATTGTAGCAATGAAACGGCAAGAATTACCTTAATCATTTCAAAAGTTCAAATACTGGGTACAGACATCCCTTGAATCAAGTTTATATGGACAATTGGCAAAATATAAAATAACATTTTGTGATTCCTTGAAGCTTTTAATTTGACTGAAGCAGTCCCTGCCAGCCTTAATCACTAGTAAATGTATCATGACATACCAAAATGGACTCCTCTTAGTCTGTGCCATTAGCAAATAAAGAACAATGTTTGTGTTATGGGTGTACTTGACCTTTGGGGCCATCCAACTTTGTATGATTGTATGATTACAGACTGCACTCAGTCCTGTCACCATTATTAATATAGGACCATCATGCTTGTAACTGAACATTGTAAATGGACAATATTCGCATCATGCTTCTACATATAGAATTGGACAGTACACGTCGTGTGTGAGCTGTTGCCGCTAATTTAGCCAATTGAACGGTTGTTTCATTTATGAAATAGCATGCTCGATGGCTTGTTTACATGTCAAATTTTGACATAGTTTTGATTAACTGTTGATAGGACGTCCAGTTCTGTCAATAGTCTTACTCGTGATTGATAAATCGGTCGTCTGCCGCTTCACAGTCGTCGAATGATCATTTCATATATCACAGACCGAACTAAACTCCACTAAATCATATCACCATTACTAATCTGCTTTAATTTCGCTCTCTCTCTCCCATCTGTACCGATTCGGTAGTGCAATTACGATGTTTTTCTCTAGAATCAAAGGCTTGCGAGGACCACCGATGACCGAAACCTCCTTTAAAGTAAGCGCCTAATTTTGAATTTGATTTAAGCTCTAGTGCTTTAACAACAACTGCGCATATACAAGGACTTTACCTAGCTTTCGTTGCATACGAAGTTTCTATGAGCCCAAGAGTTAGTTTTAAACTCATCTCTGTCAACAATTTTCCTCTAATACGTTCGATCTTGTAAGGAATTGTGACTGCCGAACCCCAAGAGGTCGTGCACGTTTAGCCGACCTTCAACCAGTCTGGGCAAAAAATTTGGTTCACCGGAATTGATCCGTAAAAAAAAGCATAGAACTATACCTGAAGAAGTAGCGAAGCCTCTTTGAACATTCTGAAGCCCGAAAAACGCCGCACGACAGCCTCTCTGGCTCAAAACTAGACGCTTTGAAAACATATTCCGCTCACAGATTTGTTCGAAAATAAAAAGGACGAAGAAGTGTATGTCATGTAATTTGCGTGAACAAGCCTCGTTTTCAGGGTCCTTTGAGAGGAGCTTCGATGGAGACCGTTCAGTTCATCCGCTGAAACTTTGTCTCTAGAGTCGTCTCGAGACAATTTTTGTATGAAATAATTGTGCATTCCCTCCACAGACATAGAAGTCCGATAAGATCATAAGAAAAGATACGCTTCGGAAGGCAGATGGATTTGCTTGTTTAATTCTACTACCGTTATTCAGGTCTTATCAGTCACTTCGGTAACTTTTTGTCGTTCAACTTAGTAGTGATGGGTATATGTATATCCCTTAGCTGGACCCCCCCCTCACACACACACACACACACACACACACACACGCACACGCACACACACACACACACACACCCCACACCCCACACCCCCACGCTCCTCCCTCACACGCCCCATAACACATTTTTGTCACTCACCTTGACAATTTCACAGCATGAGCATCAATTTGAGCCCTATTTTAACAAAATAGAACGACTATATGGTCAGTAGCTTTCCTAAGCCGTGTAGCACTCAATAGCCTGTAACTAGGCGCTTATTATCACCGCTTCGGCACAAGCGTTTGATCGCCCGCGGGGAATTATGAGCGGCGCTGAGCTACTCGAATCGGCGAGCGCAAGAGGTCTGCTAGAGGTCTGGCACTGAAGTTCAAGCGCAACTTCACGTGTAGTGCACAAAGAATTTTAATAGCCACACTCATTCACCTACCATTACAGTGATCTAGGAAAGCCAAGAGCTATGCTCTTCTACGTTACTTTCACTTGTGGCCCTCATCATTTATCACTCACATTAGCAAGAGAACCTCAATAAAACTCCAGAGTCAATGTAGAGTCAACAAAACCGATAATTCCTCGTAAAATGCTATCAACAGGTGACCTGATCTTCGCACAAAAGACTTCTTGCTTCATGCTTTTTGAACGTTTTAATGCTGTGAAAGATACTTACACTCTTAATAAAAGTGTAGTTTTATTTTTCATGCATGTATCCCTACTTATATCTACTGAATTTGAGTTATCTTTTTTTTTTCCGCCTTCTTTGAGTTCGGAACACGAAATGTATTTAGTAAGCACCTCGCGGTGTATTTTTCACCAGATTTTGTTTGTATGGTACAAAATTTTTACCAACGGTCCTTACCAAACAAGGCTTTTCTGTTGTTTTCTTTTTTTGTTTTGTTTTGTTTTGTTTTTTTGGTTAAAAGATTGTCTATAAAATACATTGGTTGTTTGGATAATCGACTCTTTTAAATCTCGATTAAAAATAGAGGTGGTAGCCTCAAATACGTCTAGACTAAATATGACAGAGAATGATTATTACATATGTACATTTGTATCAAACAAAGTGAAAAATACTTAAACGTTCCTAAAATGTATTTTCAACAAAAAATATCTTGCATTTCCTCACGCGCTATGTTTTCCTATTTTTGTGAAGATTGTTTATAGGTAACTGAATTTCGATTTAAAGGTTCTTTTTTGAAGTTCCGATATGAATATCAGTGTCTTCTGAAACCTCGATGCTCCGAGTCTCGCTTGGGTCGTTTAACTCTTGACTCTTCTGATTTCCGTTCAGCATCGGCAAAAGGATAACCTTTATTACCCGATCTTAGGGAATGTGTTTCCATACGTGGCGACATAACCGACCACGACCGTGGCCGTCTCTGATCTTCCTCCTCTCGACGGTATCTTTCAGATCTTGTAACTTTATCAAGTTGCTTTCTGTTACTTTGATGAAACTGTGGCGATGGGTGCCGGTGATCATCACGAGTGCTAGTTCTACCAAGATGAAGTCGCGTCTCAGTTCCAATGGCACGTTCGGTATCATTTCTATAGGCCACGCTTGACGCGTGATGTTCTCTTTTGAAATCTCCTCTTTGGGACGATTCTCTTTTTGGGCGGCGCCCCTCATGAGGTGTGTCATGCGACAACACCTGCGTTGCTTTTCCGCGATCGCGGTCGTCATACGACCTCCGCGTCGTGGGGTGGGATAAATTCCTTCGTTGTATGTTCTCATGATAGTCCGACTTTCCAGACTCCGTTGTTCTTGGCCAAGATTCTTCAAGTCGTTTACGCATATCCTTCATTCCTTCCTTTCGATCTTTATTTTGACTTTCGTCCTCCATTTTTCTTTTCTGGCCTTTGCTTTGCCGTTGATCACAAAGACTCGCAAAATAATCTTCCATCTCATTCAAGTACCAATCAGGCAAGAAAGTGCCCTGTGTGTCACGCAACGCGCTCACCGTCACGCCATTAGCAGGCGCGTTTGGATCCCACTGAAAGGTATAGACAGCCATGGTGTCCTCTTCGAACACGATGTCTTTCATCCAAGAGAGCACATCACTCAAGAACATCAAACACCCATCTTTGTCGAGATTTTCATGCCCAACCTCATCAGGTATCTCGTCAGTTCTCACGTGCTGGATACGTTTCACGTGACCATCGTAGTCTCGGATACCATACACAATAAGCGGCGTTCCTGAAATGATTGATTGACACCACCAGGGTACCAGTCTCTTTCGTTTAAACGCCCAAGTAGCCCGCACAATATTTTCGGTCGTAACTTTGAGTTCAACGTAGTCTGGAATTTGAAGCTCATCCAGAGCCTGAAAAATCAAGCGGAAGAGTAATGTTTAGTAATGTTTTCTTGTCACTTCAGATCTTCGCAAACCAGTCGAAACTTAGTCGAAACAGAAGTATACTCTCAAAGAATTTCTTTGATGAAATTTAATCGACGTGGGGCATAATTCTCTCAAGTATCTGCGCAGTTAACAATAAAACTGCTCCACCCAGAAATCAAGTGTATGTTCTGTCCATTTAAACGGGTCGAGCTCGACGTTTCATGTCCGATTTTCGTCAATCTCTGGGCCCTGCAGTGATACTGCAGGGTCCGGAGTGTCTTCTCAAGTTAGTTTGTAAAAATATCTAAAGTTTGGAAAGTGGTATAAGGCGTTCATTTCCTAATTAATCGGAACCTTTAATTATGTCAGAATCACTTACTTGCGTTTGGGCATCAATTTCAGCTCTTAGCGCAATCTTATGACCTTCCAACTGAAATCTTACGACTGAAAAGAACCCTGGGTAAGCTTTCATAGGACCATATCGTTCCTCTTTGTTTCCGCGCGAATAGCCTGGGAGCGAGTCTTCTTCTGCGGGTGCAGTGACTTCCACTTCAAACCTTTTTCCCCAGTAACAAACCCTTCGAGCAAAGGACGACATTTCATCGTCTCGATTATCTTCGATGTGGCTCAGGTAAACTGTTCCTCTGTAGCGAGTGGCCAAAAGGGTCCACTTTCGGCCTTTGCCATCTTTTCCACTCCAAATGTTAAGGATACGCGCCAGATTACCACGCGACGTGACAAAGTCCACATCCAGTCTAGAAGAAAAGATTAACTGGGGCATAAGAAAAAAGACATATTAAAAAGTCTCCCTTGCATAGTCAATGTTTCCATTGAATAATTTGGCAACTGAGAAAGAAGAAGCTTTTTCCGTCAACGACATAAATCTGCTTAAAATGTCCAGACAGGTTGAGCTGCAAAACTCGACTGGAATTAGTTCCAAGTCAGCTGTATACATATTAAAATTTTGCTGTGGTAGTTCAATTTAAACCTTTCCTCATGCCAATATTTGTCCTTAAACCCTCACTCGTTTATCTCTCCTGGTCACTCTTCGAAATCGAGGTGAAAGTTTCAGCTGCAATGAAAGATTCTGCGATTTTACTCAAATGGATGAGACCAACAATAGTGTGAAAGAAGACACTCGCATCACTTTGGCAATCCCAGCAGGCATTCTATCCGCCGTTTGGATCGTTATTCTGAGTATCTTTTTGTAATCGCAGTTGGGTAGTCAGCAAGTAAAATTATTGGTTCTGTTAATATTCGCTTGGAACTGATAAAAAGAAATGGCGATTACTGAAAGCTACCCTGCTATTGGCGTATTCAAGTCAACAACAAGAAGAACATTTTTTACGAAGTAGATAAAAGGGAAGCCTACTCCTTCATCTCCATCTCCACTCATTTCACGAGGGTCTCGCTCCTCTTCAGTTGCGCATGATAAAAAAACTGTTAACCTTCTCCCATACTCTCAGAGTGCAGGACAGTGCTTAACTATTTGTTGTATCGCTGCAGTTCAGAAATACAAGCTATTACTCTACATGAAAGTACCTGCCACCATCCTTGCTCGAGCGGAAGTCACCTGTTCTCGTCATCAATTGTTTGTTCAGTAGAATCCATTGCAGCATGGAATCAAGGTGTTGTTGGACGTTTGGGAGATCTTTCCATTGCTCAAATCCCACATTTAAATCTATATCGAGGCTATCACAGTTCTGTGGTAGCTGCAACGTCCCAAGTTTACATTTGTTTGGTAAGAAGTGCCTTTCTTCGTCAATAGAAAAGAAACCAAGTTCGCTATGACCGTATCGTACCGGTAGGTTAGAGTTGGGCCTCCAAGATGAAACAAAAAAGGGTTCCATACGATTTTCCGATCCTAAAGACGACATTTTGTATGTTATGAGCGTAGAATTCTGGGAATTTGCCTACTTTAGCATTTTTTTTTATTTCCGAGAAACAAATGACTGAGCGGGACTGAGTACGAGGAAATATGAATGTTACCCATAATACATATTGAATGTGTTGTGCGGCGAAGCTTGTGCGGAAAGTGATTGTTTATTTGTGTAGAAGGCGATGTATTTTTTGTTAGTTTGGTAGTTTGGCTTTCGTTTTAGGCGAAATATTGATGGATCCAGTCGGAAAGGATGTTAAGGAGGCCGTTTGTGGTAAGCTAAAGCTAAATTAGAGATTAATCTTTGCGGTGGCGTGTTTGTTGCGAGAGAGTAATCGTGATCATGATCGTTCACTTCCATTGAAGCAACCTATGGACTTCCGGTATATCAGACAGCATTTGAAAGTTTTCTGCGATTATGCTTTGTTACTTTGATAGTATAAATGAATGACTTCGCTGCTTCATAGTTAATGCTTATCACTTGACTTGCATACGGCAGGAATACCAACAATGAGAAGGCTGAAGCCACGAAGAGAAATATGCACTCGAAACATCCTACAAATTTCAGTATTATACATGTATAACTGCTTGGCATTGTAGCTGTGACGAATTTTTACCCAGTATACATTTAGTTCATGCGTTATAACTACATGTGCATGTGGTCATGTGCTTTTCCGTCGTAGTTTCTCCTATACATGTAGTTCAGCGAATTTCAAAGCATGCATTCATACGCGGAGGTACTGAATTGCAAGAATGCGAAACACTCGATGTATAATCTTTTATATATTTACAGGAAGCGAAAATTCCCAACTCGTGTAAATGCTGACAATATTTTGCTACGACCATCGGTCAATAGGAGTGTTAACCCTTAAACTGCCAAGATCTGATTATCAATTCTTGCCTCTGGCGGCTTCACGTTTCCTTGTGTATCAGTTATGAGAATTTGGTGTTAGATCAAGACAACAACTTCTACCTGATAAGTTTGAGTATTCTCATTACTTGTTTACTAGAAAAGATAAGGTTATCATTAAGAGAAGTTACACGTCAATCACTTGGGGGGGGTACAAGGGTTAATTGTAATAGTAAACACAAGGATGATTTAGAGTTTGTTAGTCCCAAGGAGACCAGTTTGCCTTCACTCTGCCTTGAGAATGACGTTTTTTACCTCATAAACTTAAATTTAATAACTAGTGAATGCCTGCTTTGGACTTTCAACCTTGATCTTTTTACTCTGCCCTTTTCGTTTCAGAGGCTGAAAAGTTTTTTTCTGTTACACTGGCCAAAGAAAAACTTTCTCCAGCAGCAGAGATAGAGCGTACCTTGCTAGCAGACAAGTTCAGAAAGTTGAAAACCCAACTAGGATTGCAGAATGAGTTGTCTGGTGGTGGTAAAGGACCTCCACGTCCACCAAAGGGTAAAGTTCCTGTGCCGGCACCTGTACCAGCAGCCAGTGATGACCTGGGTGGAGAGGAACTCTATGATGACGTGGCTGGTATTTATTTTCCCATTCTGTTTCTGGAAATTTAATCGTAACATGAAATGTAGCTGACAAATTTATAAACCTACCAGTTTTAAGACCAATGTATCTTTACTTTCATTTAATATGACTGCAGGGCAGTTCTTGGATGCTGTACGGGGATGTCAGTTAATTGTTACTCCTTGGAATGAGAGGGATATAGGCTGAGGCCAAGGGTTGTGCACAAAGGTGATAATTATTGAAGAAAGTAAATTGTATTCTGCAGCTGTTATAGCTCAAGATGATCAATACTATGAAATGAGCCAGGGTGTCGAGGGAAATGATGTACCAACAAGTGCGGATACGGGTGGTGAGAACTATGAGGTGATGTCAGCTGAGCAGGAAAATGAGGCTCAAGGTGGAGAGGCTGCCGGTGAAGACTACATGGCTATGGAAGATGATCCAGGCCAAGAAGATTATGTAGAACCTCAAGCAGAGAACACTGCAGATGAGAATTATGAAGTTACAGAGCAAAGTGTGAAGCCTCCAGCTCCAGCTGAGCAAGAAGAAAACTATGAGATCCCAGGTGCTGATGAAGATTATGAAGGTATTGAGGATAGTAAATACTTAGTTATTGTTATTGTCATTTAACTCATTAAGTTGATATTAACTTCTGAAGAAATGCAGTTGTAGCTGCAGTCAGTGGTTCTGAAAAGCTGAATGTTAACCATTGAATAGTGGAAAGTAGAAAGGAGATTTTTTTTTATTCTGATTCCTCTTTTGCCCTTGACTGTAACAAACTAAAATTGTAACTATCACTGGATCAAGAAAAGTGACACCCCTTGCAGTGTTCTCCTTTTTAGACAGTAACCGGTAACATTTACTGCCGTAGTACCTCTTATAACCTTTTAAAATTGCTTGGAATTCTTGAAAATTCAACAGGTAAAAGGATTGCCTTACTGATTTGAAAATATATTTTACCTGTCATACTTAAAATAAGGGAGAACACCGACCCCTTGTCTCCTTATCTGAATTGCCAGGAAATAAAAAAGAAATCCTGATCAATAAGCATCTGTTATGACACTTTTTCTGATTCTACCAAGACTACTGAAAGAAATACCATTTTTTTATGATGCTGTTAACCTTTTGGGGAGCCTCTCTACAATATTCTGCAATTTTGAATAGTTTAGAATCCAAGGCCGGTGTACAAACCCAAAGTGATTGGTATGTGTATGTGAGTAGCCATCCCCAGAACTTATTATTACTTAACTTAAAATATGCAGTCCTAATATCAGACTGGTTAGGCTCCCATTTGGATTATTCACAACACAGCTTTGTCTTCAACTACTAGTCTAGCATAATTGTCTCCCCCAATGGTCTAACTTGGGTCTAACAATGGTCTGGTATTGCACCTGAAAACAGACGGGTAAAGATGACAAGGTTGCATCTTAGACTCTACTGCCAATTTACCAGCATGTGCTTCAAGGGAGAAGAGCATTGTACATTTTAGGACGGTATATCTATAAGGACTGATGGCAACCTCCACTTACTCTTTCCCTGACTTGATTGACCAACCTAACAATGAAGGGTTTCTTGCTTGGCATAATACTACCACTGAATGACAATTGGAGTTGTGTGGTTTAGTTACAGACACGGATCATTCTGCTCCAAAGGACGCAGATGGTGAGATGTATGAAGGCATTGAAGCACCAGATAGTTTAGTAGATGGAACTGTCAACTGGGATCAACTAAAACAGAGCACAAGTCCTGAGAAAGTTCAAGGTGTCATTATAACAGGTATTGATTAGATCTCCTCACAATAATTGAAATAAGTTTGGTTGTGAGCTCAAAAAATTGGCAGTGGGTGGTAACATAACTTTGAAACCTTTGACTTTCTGATTTTATTATTACATTTACCTCTGATGCTCTTTTACAGAGCTTCATCAGATGTAAGGTAGGCAGTTTAGTAAACTAGGAAAGTATTCAGGTTTAAAGTTGTTTATGATTACTAGGCACATGTTGTTAGTTAGTGGGGGATACAGTCTCTTAATGTCAGGCTGAATAGCAGGCTTAGGGTTGAAAGTTCATTGGGTTACCTATATTGCCTCTCTCTATCCAAGGCTGGGTTGTTCAAAGCTGGGGTTTCAGATCTGAAGCTTTAAAAGAAAAGTGATTTTGATCATTTTTGTCTACAATTTGACGATTGATGTTCTGAAAAGAATAGAGAAAATTATCTGAAAGAGGCTTTTAAACAAAAGGAATGAAGAAACCAGGTTATAATTGAACACTGGGTTTGCTCTACTTGGCCTTTGAACAACCAGGCCCAGGAGCATAAATTAATTTTGATGAACTATCAAGAAAGCTTAATTGCAATGCACCAGCATCCCATCCAGGGGAGCAAGGCACAATCCTCGTTTAATTCAAAAGTTATTATCGTTGACTACAAAAGTTGGGACAAGCTTTGCTAGTGTGGGCCAATTGGCTTTAATGATGACCATGCTACATCATCTGGGTTTGATGTTAAAATTATTTTGCTCCCCTGCACCAGTATCATGTTTCCAAACTCATTCAAACTTTGAAATACAAATTATCTGAATTCCAATATCGTTTCAGAAAACTAATTTAAACCACTTTTCTTTAGTACATTCTTTAACTTCAGAGGCTCATTTTGCATGCTATTTGTTGTATGTGTAGCTGAGAGAGTTTAGCGCCATTGGGTATTATTACGTGTTCAATAGGCATCAAAGATCACAGAATTCTCCGATGCTACACAGAGATCTCCAGTTCAATTCCCATGGGCTAATGTACTGTAAGTTGACGTGCCTCGAAATTCGATCTTCGCTTGTCGGAGTTTCGAGACTTTCGAGTCGAGTTTCGAAAACTTTGAAACTTTCGAGAAGAGAAAATATTTCTCAGTGAAAACCCTAGGGCATTGGTTCACATTATTTACAAATACCATTCTTTTTCTCTTATAATTTTGACCATGTTATTTAATAATTAATTTACTAATTGTTAAAATTCTAGTTAGTAGTTTTGATCGCTAAAAATTATTTTCCTGCAGGTTTTTTGAACAAACGTCGCAAGGAAGGAAAGGTGTATTTGGGAAGTAAGTTTCAGAAGAGGTTCTGTGTAGTGCGTAACCACGCGATGTACTACTTTAAGGACAAGAAGGCCAACAAACAACAAGGGCATATCTTGCTGCCAGGTTACAAAGTACAACTAGCCAATAAGAGAGGCCGAGAGTTTCATCTCACGCATTCGGGTGGCCAGAGGACTTACCAGGTACAAGAGTCACACCCTCAATGTGCTTTTGTTAATTTTGTTAACTTTCGAAAGTGAAATTTCTAAAAATATTTCTTTCCTCTCAAATATCCTGAAATTATGGAACGATTTTTTAATCGTTTTAAGAAGCCTGAGGAAAAAAATAGACGCAGACGGAATGGACTAGGATATAAGAACTCTGGGGAAGTGACTTTTTTATGAGCTTCTCTCTTCTCGTTATTTTATACAAGTTTTTCATGGCCACAAACATGTTAGGCAAGTGTTACCATCCCAGTGTGGAACATCAGGCGACTTGGAGTATTACTACCCCATGTTGATGAACGGATTAGGGTTCCGTCGGGTTCCCTTACAGTTCATTGCCTCCTATTTAAACCGCTCGGGCAAAGTGAGGCACTATGACGGTTATATGTCTTGTTTAAGATTACAAAACAGTAATTCGGTTATGGCTCGAACCCGATGAAATTTTCCGATGTGATGTGCACTTCTTCTGATGTGTAGTGCGTTAACGACTAATTCCCATCTGGCTTTGACATACAACATGCTCCGTCGCAATCGCAGGACTGTTTTAAAATTTAAATTGAGAAAAAACTGTTGGAATGCATTTTAAACTCTACTGATTTATGTAGCTGATCTGTAGAGGGCGACATTTTTATTGTTCTCTTCTTTCTTAGTTTGAGACAAACAGTAAGGAAGAAACAGAAAAGTGGATAAAAGCCATTCAGAGGGCTTGTGATGCTCCGCTGTCTGAACATCAAAGGGCTAAATTAGAAGAAATGCGCAACAGGCACACCGCAGGAGATGATGACAGCCTTCACTATGTTGACGCGTGCCTAAAAAACGAAGCTGTGGAAGAAGAAGACGAAGTGTATGATGACACTCAAGAAGATTTATACGAAGCAGTGGAGACTGTTCAACCACCTGTTTCAAACCACCCCTCTCCAGGCCCTTCACGGGAAGTGGTTGACTACGAAGTTTCTCCCACGGCTGTCCCCTCAAAACAGGCCCCGCTTCCACTTTTCCCTGGTTAGTTAACAGATAATAGCGTCATGGCTCACTGAAAGTCGGGATGGGGCGTGTTAGAGTATTCGTTTTCATATAAAAACGTCGTAGACTATCGTGGTATTTCTCAATTGCAGACAGCAAATTTGCGCAGTGCGGGACATCTCTCATCTCATGTCGTGGCGATAAAAACCTTTCACGCCACTTAAATAGACCATCGATTTTCGTGCGCAAGTCGCATCAACAATTTGGAGGTTTATTTTTTGAGTACATGAATTTTATTTATTTATTTATTTATTTTACTTCAGGTGAAAACAAAACAGTCGAACCAATTCAAGAAGAGGAATACGAACTACCCGAGGCATCTGCACCTCCACCTCGACCCAGCAAGACAGAAACCATGCCACCCATCCCCAGCGAAGGCAATCCACCAGAGATACCACCCCCGCGACCTTCTAAAGGACAGCCATCAGCCCCTCCCGTCCCTCCTGCCCGTCCTGTACCGCAGCAAGATGACATGTATGAAGTTGCTGAACCAAACGCCCCTGACAACACCTCAGACTTACCGCCTCCCCCACCCCCTGTGTCAGTGGAAGAAAATTACGAAGTTGCCGATACTCAAGCTCCTGCCCCACCTCCGATGCGTCCACCCAAAAGACCTCAACCCCAGATTCCACAGCCGCCAGTCATTCCTCCAGTGGAGTCACGTAAGTTGATAATATGTCCATTGATTTAACTGCTCTCTCGGTATGAAGTTGGTCTGTGTGGTAAATTTCTGAGAAATTCTGTGTTTAGCTGGAGTGGGTAAATCAGGTGAAAGGGAAATCTAAAAAATTCTTATGTCTTCGTACTCGTCAGCAAAATTGCAATAAATGCGGTAGTCAACCTTTTAACTCTCGAGATCTAGTTGTTAATTCTCTCCTCTAGCTGCTTCATATTTCATTGTAAAGTAGTTACAAGAAATTTTTTTTTAGATCTAGATAACTTCTACTTGATAAGTTTGAATATTCTCGTCACCTGTTTGCTAGATGATGTATGGATATTCTAGGGGGAAGATAACTTTTGGTAGTTAACGGGTAAATATATTTTTCCTGGAACAGCTGCAGAGAAAGCTGCTTCATATTTCATTGTAAAGTAGTTACAAGAAATTTTTTTTTAGATCTAGATAACTTCTACTTGATAAGTTTGAATATTCTCGTCACCTGTTTGCTAGATGATGTATGGATATTCTAGGGGGAAGATAACTTTTGGTAGTTAACGGGTAAATATATTTTTCCTGGAACAGCTGCAGAGAAAGCTCCTGAGCGACCATCAAAGCCAGCTGCTAAGCCACAGCCTCCTGCACCTAAACCGAAAGACGAACCACCTCCGAGTCCCAAAGAAGTTCAGACGATTGAAATCAACTATGCTAACATCTATCAAGCCCTGTGGACCTGTGAAGCAGATGACAAAGATGAGCTGGCATTCCGGCGAGGTGACCTGATTTATATTTACGAAAAGCCGCATAACGATTGGTGGATCGGGTCTTTGTTCAAACCTCAAGGGTATAGTGTAGGTCTGGTGCCGAAAAAATATGTCATGGAGGCGTACGAGATGACAGCGTAAAGTTTGGCTTGTAACGCAATGTTTTTCGTCTTCTCCTTCAACCAGGCGTCTCTTGTCAGTGCAAATGATTCTTAAATCGCTTGTAGTTTAATAGAATACAATTCATAGCCCGATTGAAGAAATGACCTCAATACATTGTAAACAAGAAAACACACATCAGTGGGAACTGGTGAGTGTAACGTCTTCAAAAAAGAGAAAAGAACGTTTAGGCGGCGTTTGTTGTATAATCCATAGACTTTTTTCGATTCTGGTGTCATTTGCGCTCTCAAATCCAAGATGTAAGTTTAAGGAAAACAACATATATCACCATTTTAAATAGAAATGCTCGGATGTTATGTATTAATGACCATGGAACAGTGAATTGTTGCAATTGGGGAATTTCTTTTTAGAATGGATAGATTTCACCTAATATAGATTGTTTGAGGTTTTAGTAAACAAATATATTCTCATACACGGACATTCCAACCCTCACGATTTGATGTGTTGCTTTCCGCCCTCCCTATTTTTATCAGGTTCTCCCGATTTATCATAAAAATTCTGATAAGAAAGAAAAAATTGCTTATCTTATATGTATTTTTCGCAATCTTTTTGTGGCTCCCCACTGAATGCATTTATGCCTTGTGGACAGAAAGTTTACAAATATTCATGATCTTCCAAAGTGGCCATCGTAAAAGTAATAAAAGATGTCTTCCTTTTTGACTCTGCAATGATGGATTAACAACTGCAAAGAAAAGCTCAAAGATATCTGTGATAAGAGTAGAGACCTTATAGAATACCAAAAAATTGATGTCAAATGCAGGAAATGCCACCTGAGAGAAATTAAATTTGAACATTTTTCTGGGGGGAGGGGCATGCCCTTAGATCCCCCTAAGAGGCTCGCACCTTCGGTGCTAAAAAATATACTCCCCTCTAAAGGGGTTGGAATGTCTGCACATATATCGGAGAAGATGAAAAGTAGGAATAGTATAATTCTTAAAATTTGATTCGCCTCGCTTTCTTGTCAAGCTGTGTGAAAGCGTTAAATGCAGTAAATGCACTGCCAAAAAAAAAAAATATTCAGAGACGAATGTACTGAGCAATTATAAAGAAACTCAGTTTTGTATTTAGAGCATCATTATAAAAGTATTTTATCTCAATGAGGAAAAAATTAGGTTATTTTTCTATGAAAACAAAGTAGAGCAATGAGTCTTTAGAATTCCAATCGGCTGTCGCATTTTTTTAATTTTACCGTCAACCATTATGGAGTAGAATCCGCTTTTAATTAGTAGTTTTAGTCAACACATCTGTGTTTTCCTTGAATATTATTACATATAGTGAAGAGTACACATTATAAAATTGTGAGAACTTTTCCAGAATATGCAATAAAGAGAGCCATAGAAAAGTTTAGTTAGTTCAATCCTTCAGATATCCGTCTAACTGCACTTGGTGTTTGGTTGGCATGCGGTACTTCCGGACAGCTGAAGAAATAAAAAAGAAAGCGCCAATAGAGAGCGGACCGTACCAATAATTCATCCGAAATACTTGGACGATATCAACCAATCACACTTTAAGAAACAAAAGATATCCAAATCAATTGTGTTATTAAGTGCTAGGAACCAAAGCAAGGGAACATGAAGCTACACAACACAACACCGTGAAAGGTCGCAGTATGGTTTTGCTTTGACACCAAGACATGGAAATTTTTCAAGAACATCTTCATCTGTGGACAAATTTAAACTGATTTGAGTTGGTGCTCAGTGATACCGGCGAGCAATACACATGAAGCGGTTTGACAGAGTGGCATACCACCAGGGGTGTCTTAATGGTAACTAAAGATGGCTAAATTTAGAATCATCGTCATCGTCACTTGTAATGTCTTCGACGGCGTCATCTTTATTTCTGTCGTCGTCTCTGCCTTTATCATAGTATTTATCATTGGAACTTGCTTTAGTCTTTGTTGCTGCATTCTTGTTTTTAAGTCGTTTCGATTTCCAGATTTCATAAAATGTGCGAAAACCCTTCTGTTCAACGAAGCGGAATCTTTTGAGCTTCACCACACGGTCCGGCATGTCATTCTGAAATTATAGCAAACAGCAAAGCAAAAATGAACGTGGCAATGAAACCGGGTACCTCAACACATGCATCCTCGTTCCGACATCTCTAATTTAACTTAACTTGATTCCTAACGAATAAAAATGATCTTTTTCTTAACCCTTTGACCCCTAAAAATGACTTGCATCTAATTTCTCCTTACAATATCAGCTCTGAACCAAAAATTAAGGTCACGAGAAGAGAGAGAATGATCACCAACTAAGGACGCGCTTTATTGTTAAACAAATTATCCTTGTCAGCACTTAAGGAAACGTACAGAAAACAGTATGGACGGCATGCATGCTTGTTTTAGGGTGTAAAGGGCTAAGGAAACTTTGATGCGATGCTGATCCAACAAACAATTTTTTCTTCTACTTTTCCTTCTCGTTTTCCGCACGTTTTTTTTTTCTTTAAGTTGTGTCTTATGGCGTTTTACTCACTTCAAACCATTAACTAGTTCAAACTTCTCACTGTACCACCAAACAAGTATGAAACGAAGAGACACGGTGGGTCATGGTGTTTTGAAGACAAAAACTTCACTCGAAAACTGAGCAACAGAGTGATACAAACAAAGAGGTACATGTAAGTTTCTAAAGAGACTGTGGTGCTGCGTTGGTGGGACGTACTACAAGATAATAATTATGATTTTATCAAATGGGTTGATTAAGTTTTTAAAGCTGACGTTTCAAGCGTCGGCCCTTCCTCCGAGTTAAAGGGCTGTGATGAGGAGAGAATTTACAATGATCTGCAACAAAATAGAAAAATTTTAGTAGAGGAAAAAATTAAGCTGACTACTGCTTACCGAAATGTCGGGTTTCTCACAGGATAAGCTGTACATCCTCTCCAAGACATTTATCATCCTAGCATTGGGCTGCACATCATCCTTTGTCATTCTCTGGTGAATGTACCATAACAGTTAAAAAAATGAACCAGTTGACAGACAGCCAGGGATAGACAGGCTCAGAGACACATAACATACTGCCAGCAGATATACACACAGATAGAAAACTACAAAAGAGATCCGTTCCATGGGAAGAAAAGATCATCTTCCCAAACCGAAAGTAAACAGGATCCTTGTCTTCTGTATTATGGTGCAGTCATCTCAGCTCCAGCATTCTAACAACAATCATGTACAAGGCCCTACAAGGTTAATGTCTTAAAAATTTCCTTGACTGCTTTGCGTCTCTATGATAATTTCTGCCCCTTCCCTTCATCCTCAAGAATACAGCCAAAAAGATACTCCAAAGAACTAAGGTACATGCACACACCACAAAGACAGTCATGAATAAAGACATGTGACAGAAAGCAAAGAATACAGGCAAACCAATGGACAGTCAGACAAACAGGTGAAAATACAGGCAGACACAGGAACAGAGGGAAAGACACAGATTAGGATTACCAAATGTTTGAAAATAAGCATGAAGAGAAACCAAAATGGCCTGTTCTGCTATTTCTCATACCTAAAAGTGTTTTTGGATCCCAAATCATTTTCAATGCCCCCCTTACCAGACCAAAACAAATCCATTTGGGTTATGTAAAATACAGCTGACAATGGTTTTCTTATTGAAAATAGATTTCTGATACAAACCTTGACTAACTTGACCAAGTAAGAAAAATGCCGTAATTTAGCTGCTCCTGCAATTAGTGTTCCATATACTGACTGTCCAGCTGTGATTCCCTCAGCCTAAATGGTAAGTCAGAAGTAAAAGAAAACAATGGGTAATATTTATGTGTACTGTAGCTGAAAGATCCTTCGCCATTGTTTTTTGGTCTAGTCATCATTGCACTGTTCTACCCCCCCCCCCCAGTCCCCTCTCAAATGGCCATTGGTTGGGTAGAGAGTTTTAGGTGACAAGACTGAAACATGGCTGCAAAGGAGATTACAGACCACCCCTCATTACTGCATTTGATGTTAATAATACATTTAATAATACATTTAATGTTTGCGAAGCACAGTCGGTTAGGCACCGAACAGGCAGTCAGACGGTCTGAAAGTTCGTTTTAAACAGTGTTCTTTTTTCGCTCACTCTTTTTTCTTTTCATCTTCAACTCGGGAAAAGGCAAAGCTATTTTGAGAGTTCAAAAAAAAAGAAAAAATTGCAACATTTTCATAAGTAAGAGTGAGCGAAAAAAAGGCATTTTTTTAAAAAAATAACTTAAACCCGTCCGTCTGACTGCGAGTTCAGTGCCTAACCGACTGAGCTAGACAGTTAGCTACACAGTTCAAATTTTATCGTGAAATAAAACTGCGGTCCTTCACGTTAGCGTTCGACAGGGGCGTTTTCGTATAAACTTTTGGCGATGTCAACGTATCTAACTCTCAAAATGGCTTTGCCTTTTCCCGAGTTGAAAAAGAGAAGGAAAAAAAAGACATTTCTTCAAAAAACCTTGCCGACCGCCTGACTGCGAGTCCAGTGCCTAACCGACTTTGCTACATGAACATTCAATAACAAGACTCAACTTTTATCGTTAAATAAAACTGCGGCAGTCCTTCACGTTAGCGTTCGACAGGAGCATTTTCGTATAAACTTTTGGCTATGTCAACGTATCAAACTCTCAAAAATGGCTTACCTCTTCCCGAGTTGAAAAAGAGAAGGAAAAAAAAGGGTGAGCGAAAAAAAAGACATTTGTTAAAAAGAGAGCTGTACCAACCGTCCGACTGTGAGTCCAATGCCTAATCGACTGTGCTACGAGAACATTCGATAACACGTTATAAATTTTATCGTTAAATAAACCGGCGGCACTCCTTCGCGTAAGCGTTCGACAGGGGCGTTTTCGTATAAACTTTTGGCTATGTCAACGTATCTTTGGTTTTGTCTTCAATTCTGCCGTAGCGCGAGTTTATTCAAGGATATTTTACGTTTGCTAAACGGTGTTTTAAACTCAAAACAAAAAAGATGCTCTTTCTTTAAGCTGGTTATGAATATGCAAGTTCTCGGGGGCTGTATTGTTTTGATGAAACAAAAGGCTTCTTTTGTTTCGGCTTCATTCAATGAAAGCCGCTACGAAATTCAAGGTTTTTTGCATACGTTATTTCTCGAAAACGAAGCGCAAACCAGCGAAAAAAAAATCGAAACAGTGTATATCGAGTAAAACTAAGTCCACATGCCAAAATTCAACTACTTCTGAACACTTTCAAAAATGGCCAAAAAATCAAGGGGTCGTTCTTGCTCTGAGCCTTTCAATTGTGAACATTTAAAAATGGTTTTTGATTTGAGTATTTCCTTCTTATGCTTATTACTTGCATGCAAATGTAAAAATTGTATCCATGCTCATGCATACTAAGTAATAGTTAACAGACTTCTTAAAATATCATATAATTTATCAGAGTATAATCATATTTCAAACCTTCATGTCATCTAGTAAAGTAAGTCCTTGATTCTGATTCCTACATCCACAAGCTAATGCTTGGTAAGAAGCTTCTGATGGAGAAAACTGCAGTTTCTCCTGCAGTTGCTTCATGTAAACCTGTATTAAAATAGATGACAATTTTAAAATCTACAATTAATGAAAGCAGTAGAAAACTGTATTACTTGGATTGCAAAAATTGTTGTCTTTCAGCAATTAGGAACCCACTGCCTCACATACACATAGTAAAATAGTTATTGGGAAAATTAATTAAAGTTGTTAAATTCATTTGACAAGTCTGGATGAGAGAAAATTTGAGTGCTGGTCTTAATTAACTAATTAATTAATCAAACTGCGTAACAATCACATTCTAATTTATAACGACTCTGTATTTTAACAAGAAGGTGTCAGGGGTGTATTGGGCAAAGGCTGTTAAGGAATTCAACTCCTGACTTCAACTAATTTCCAGTCAGAAACTCTTGTACTCACATACAAGTAAATTGTGCTATATTCTAAGTTTACAATTGATGTGTACCCAATGTCCTACAAAGGAAGAGGTTAAATCTGAGGCATATGTTAAATAGGGTATTTAGAAGTATAAATATGTTTACCTTTGCCTGCTTTAGATCACCCTCTAATGCCTTTTTCTTGATTACAGAGTCAAAAAAAGTAGCGTCTGGGGTAATGTTACAACTTTTCATAAGATTCATCAAATACTCTTCTTCTGATTTTGATGATGTGAGGTGCAGCAGCATTTGAAAGGTGCGTATATCAGGATTAACATCCTCAAGAGCCATTATTTGGATAAACTTCTCCACACCAGGAAAGTAGTCATGCAAGTTTACACTCTCTTCATTCTGTTTTTCAAGTATGCTTGCTTCTTGCAAAAGATTCTCTGAGGAACTAAATTCAAAATTTATTTCACTGTCTGATGTTTCACTACCACCATCAATTTGAATCTCATGCTCAGAAGTTCTTTCCTCTTTTACAGGACCCTTTGTATCCTCAGGTAGGTGTTTAGTTTGTTCTTGGCAAGAAAGTTTAAAATCTCTCATAACTTTCAACACTGAATTGTAAATATAAATATTTGGCTGTAATCTAAACCACTTCATTTCCTCCAGTAATTGAAAAGCTAGTCTGGGGCCTTCAACTGGATCAAAGCAACAGGCTGCTAATAACGATGTGAAGGTGTATTCATCAGGAACAAACTTCTTGTTTCGCATCTCCTGATACACATCAAATGCTCCATCAGGATTACCACAAACAGCAAAGGCCTGGATGGCTGCATTGTATGTAATAAGATTCATTTCCAGTTCATCTTTGGAAACTCTTATGCCAATTTCAGTGTAAAGTTTTTCTACTTTCTCCATTGTACGTTCTGTAACTGGAGCTTGAGTACAAGCATAGAACAAGCTTGAGTAGGTGTGTGCTGTTGGCTTCAGACCCCATTTCTTAACCTAAACAAATGAAAAAAATACAGATTTTTAGAAACTCTAGCCACCTTTTTATTGCTGCAAGATGTTTCAGGGATACTAGAGTTTTGCTGTGGATACATTACGGAAGACCATCTCCTATTGTGGTGATATAGTAATATAGTAAGTATGCAGGAATCCTAATCAAAAGGTTTAGTTCTGCCCCTTGAATGGGTCTTTTTAGTGTGATTTTGGACAAGAGAGTTGCTCAAAGTTCTCCCCCATCCCTTCATGTGAGGTAAAATGCTTTGGGGTAAATATGGCCAAGCATCACATCCAGAAGAGAGAAGGAATACTTCTAACTGCTTCATGCCACTGAAACAAGGCTATCAGTGCTAGCAATATGAGCCATCTGGCTAATAAACTGACTCTATTTTACATTCTCTTGTGGAAGGCACAATCATGAAGGAGCTACTCAGTTTGGCAAAAAATCATTGGTGGTGAACATAAGAAGGAGCATCACAACAACTAACTTTGCTTAATCCCACTCTCTCTCCCAGTGAATTGATTTGTTACATTTTACTTTCTGTAGGTTGTAGGGGTAAAGCATCATTTGAAGGATACCATTATTCTCGTGAAGTAAACAATGTATTGCATTACAACTTAAGTTTATAAGGTGTTACTTGCTGCAATCTATGTACTGTTGATTTCACGACTTTGAGCAATATATTTTTCAAAGATAAATTTCTAAGTCATAAGAAATTTAGACAACATATCACTTACATCATTGAAGAGTTTGAAAGCCTTCTTGACTTGCCCAGTCTTGGCATATGCAGAAATGAAAATGTTGTAAACTTCTATCTTTGGGTTAAGTCTGTCCTTTTTCATAGAAGACAAGAGTTCAAGGGCTTCATCAACCTGGTAAAAGTTGTCTTTAGTCAATAAATTTCCATACACATCAGTCTCTAATGACATCATTGAGCTAAGAAAACTAAAAAAGCAAAAAAAAAACACATGTAATTAACGGACAAACTAAAGATAGAGTTATCTTTACATAATCTTACCTTGTTCTCGTGAGAAAGCCTCAACATTTGTCTTGCATACCAATTAACTTTTCCTTTGCGATTTATATCGGCATTTTTTCTTTCCCATAGATTCTCTTCCTCCCCTGTAGCCTCAACTTCCCTAAACATATACCGAGACGGTCGCAAATACCCCTTTCCAGATTTCTGACTTTTCAGTTTTCTATATGAAAATCTTTTCGGTTCCTCTTCGTCTTCAGTCTCCGGATCAGACTCGGGATCTTCCTCTTCTTTTGAAACCTTATCATCCTTTGAATGCGATCCTGATGTGAGATCGTCCCGAAGATGATGTGGCCTTGGAGGAGACTGCGTTTTGTCAAAACCGTGCGCATGCTGTTTCGTTCCTGTTTGATTCCACTTTTTGGCCTTAAAAGGCGAAGATGTAGAATACATCTGACAAACAGTGTGACTTAATGACCTTCTCTGTGGATACACGTGGGATAAGGAGTATCCAGATTCATTACATAGACGGACAAACTGATATAATTTGTGATACCGCAATCTGCTCATCGAGACCGCCATGTTGGATTTATCCGCTCATGAGTATTTCTGCTGGATGATTGCATATTCTCATTGATCGACGCGAAATGCCTTATGGGGTATGTTTGAGTACCAGATCTCTTCTCAATCAACATTTGTGAAGGCATGTCGTAATCACATCGGCATTCGATCGACCTGGAAGTCAAAGCTAATGGTAAGAAATTCTTTTTGTCAGTTTTTTCACCTGTAAAAAAACTTACGGTTAGGAAGGGTATTTAGGAGTTCGATGAGACAGCTGGCACTACTTAGATACGAGACTTTTACGATCACTGCGGCCATGATGGCCACATGCATGGCCACATGCACGCACAAGTACGGTCTATGATTATTTCTATTCATGGTATTGTAACCGGTAGATTTTTAAGCCTTTCAGTCCCATGATCTTGTTCAAAATTAACGGAGTCTTGGATCACTTCGATTACATTAAAACGAATCACTTCTTTTTAATTATTAATTGTGTTTCTTAAATTGTCTGTCATGACGAAACACGATGAAACAGTTGATCGTCTCTGTTTAAGAACAGGTTGACCTTGTGTCACGCACTTCCGGTCAGTAAGAGTCTCTGAATCAGTGGTGCTTACTTTAAGATATATCGGGAGATATTTCAAAAATTGAACTAAAAAATTAAGATTTTCACACTATTGTAACCTAGGATAAATTCACAAGTTTATTCAAGTGTATTTTCCACTCCTACTAGATAAAATGCCTAAATAAATATCCATCGATTGAATGTTACCCCACCCCTCCCCCCTCAGTTCTAAGACTACGTTAGAAGACTCCTAAGAGAGAATGACAATTGGAGAAACGTGTCTTTCGCAAAAAACAAAACAAAACGAAAAGAAACAAAAAAAAAATAATAATAAACATAACGATTCAGTTAGGGCTCAAACTCCTACCGCCTTTTTGTTCGAGAATTTCTTTATTGCAAAAATATTATTTTCAGTAGACCTCAAAATGAGATTAAATTTTGCCAAGATAATGTCGATACCTAATTTTTCTGATATTTATGCGTTAAATGTATATTTACAGGCGTTGGTTCTTAGAGCTCCACATCTTTTTCCACGCACCCTTTGCCCCATGTCATCTAACTAAGCATGTGATATAATTTTTCTGCATAAATTATCACGATATTGTTTCTGCATTGTTCATTAACAATGCAAAGTAAAACTACGTTCCGCCTATTTTGATTGCGGAATTGAAACCGAGAAAACCAATTCACCCTCCCTTTGCGGGAACTACACAAAATGAACAAATCACGAGTATTTTGTCTGGTAGGAAGGTGAGTTTATTTTATAGCGTCCGTTTAATCAGGTTAACATTAACTACAGAACGCGCATTTCTTAATGGCTTTAAATTTGATGACGCTGTATATGGATATAGCAATATGTTATCGAAGTCGAATGGTCTAAACGGTGAAAATTTGGTGAGAAACGGTGCAAAAAATTATCTTTATCACTATTTTTGATAAAATTTTAAGTTTGTATAGTTTGCTTAAATTTTTTCCACTCGTTATTAAACTCCGAGGCACCACAACCTCCTGCATTGAGAAGAAAGGCGTGTTAAAAAAAACCCGCAAAATTTGGTACCAGCCTGAAAGCATTACGACGGTTTTTTTTTCTTGATAAGTGGACCTCCTTTTAAGAATTAACACTTAACGTTTAGAAAATGTCTTTTCTTTTATTATTGTCACTTGATTACGCTAGTAAACAAGCAAATCACAAAGACGTATTTGCAAATTTCGAGAGGAAAGCCACAGTGGTTTGCCACCTGTTATACCACCATACTTATTTATCCACCTGGGTTTTACTTACGAAACGATTTTGTGTTCAGACCGCTATTGTTGATATGATTATGCGTTGTTTTTACAAGTAATTGGAACACTACTCATCACTAAATTAAACTATCCCATTTCATTTTCAGAGATCCGATTTCACGCATAGCAACCGCAGAAAACGTCGGAGACATTTATGAAACGACTCTTGCATCTTCCACCGCGTATGAATTGCCAAGTACGTCTGACAAACCGCGACAAAGTCCTGCCCCAATTCGTTGGAGTCAAGCATCGCAGAAACGCGATAGCTACGTCGCAGCGATAAGCACTTCGGAAATAAACCTTGAGCGCATCGCTACCGGTAAAAATCCTTCGACAATGGAGGAAATACTTTTACAAGATATGGGCGATCAAGGTCTATCGGGATCGATAAGTAAACGTGAATTGTTGAATAAGGTGGGACTCTACTTGATTTAATGTTTGTTGTGTTAGTGCATGGTGTGATACAAGACAGCAGTAGGAAACATATGTCAGAAGTAAAATCCATATTCAGTATTGTTTTAAAAATCATATTGTAAACCTAAACAATTGACACCTTTCTCCTTTCGTGTAAGCTGCAGGAAAGATGTTTACATTCAAGGTTTCCACAAGTTGATGCAGTAAATTTAGTTTTCAAATGACAATAACAGAAAGCAAACTTTGAAGTATATGAGTTTCTTTAAGATCTCATAATTATTTCTGTCTAACGTGGTTCCTTTCAATTTTATCCGAGCCTTCTTAGGTAGTGAGCAGTAATCCGATAACAATCAAAACTAATTTGATTTGACTAAATTTTATTTGTTTTCCACGTAGAAAATTGATTACGTGTTAGTTTATTCTGAACCTGAGTTGGAGAAGAGAAATGAAGAGGAAGAAAGAGAAAAAGCGGAAATGAGAGAAAAATATGAGAAGAATCTGAAAAAGCAAGGCTTGAAGATAGAACATGTAACATCTAACAAACAGGTTTGAAAATACAATACTTTAGGAATCGTTTGAGTGGTATGTTGGCAATTATACTTTTGGCCGTAATTTGACACGTTCACGGCAACATCCAGGCCCCGGTTGTTCGAAGGTCGGATAACGCTATTCACAGAATAAATCTCTATCCGGTGGATAACGCTCTACGGTTTGCTATCACTTATCCGCTGGATAGCAATTTATCCGTTGGATAGCGTTATCCGCCCTTTATACAACTGGGCCTAGATCTGTAGATATAACATTTGTAATTTAATCTTTTCTGGAAGTAGATTTATTTCTGAATGTATTGAAATCCTTTGGACTAAAAAGACATGACAGTTCTAATCCCTGAAAATGAATTTTTATTTACTTTTTTTTTTCCATCGTAGGAAAACCTTACCTTTGTTCTTGTCCACGCTCCCTGGGACGCTCTGGCCAAGTGTGCAGAGGAAATGATGATTCGGGTTCCTGTTCGGGAGCCTGAAAGGCTAATACACCTCAGGTCTTCGAAAAAGAATAAATGGCTTCAAAAGGCCAAAAATGTTCTTAATATTTTCCAACTTCAAGATCGTTCTCTCATGAAACCTGATCGTCAGGTAACCGCGGTTTTTAGTCGGGCAAAGTCAGACTGTTTCCTTATCGAAGACAAGGAAACGTTTTTTTCCGACATTGACCGAAGTCGCATGACCCATCGCTTTCTACTCTCGACGAAGTATTCGTCTGAAATGGACGACTTCGGAATCTCTCGTCTGCTGCATAAAGGGGTCTACGAATGTGCATATCCCTTGCATGAAGATCTTCGGACAGAGAGCGAAGATAATCTTCCGACAAACGAACGTCAGCGATTATGTCAAAACTGGGCGTCTTTTAGTCAGTGGTACAAGTATCAGCCCCTTAGTGCGATAAAGAATTACTTTGGGACTCGTGTAGCATTGTATTTTGCCTGGCTAGGAACATACAATTTCATGCTTGTTATTGCTGGTTTAATCGGCATGTGCTGCTTCATCGTTGGTCTTATAACAATGGAAACATTTCAACCAGTTAAGGAGATCTGCGATGAGAGAAACTCCGAGTTGTTTTACATGTGTCCGCTTTGTGACAAAGATTGCAGTTACTGGACCCTAACAAAAAGCTGTGATTACGCTACAGTATCACATCTGTTTGACCACGAAGGAACGGTGTTCTTCGCGGTTTTTATGTCTCTCTGGGCAACCGTGTTTCTGGAGATGTGGCGAAGACGCGAAATAAGCTTAGCTCACGAATGGGACATGTTGCATTTTGAAGAACAATTTGAACCACCTAGGCCAGCTTTTGTTACAAAGGCCAAAAACAAGCGACCCAACCCTGTGACAGGCAAATTGGAGCCCTACATTCCGTTTTCGTTGCGTGCGGGGAAATTCACGTGTGGTTTTATAATAGTTTCGTTCATGGTTTTACTCGTAATTGCTACTTTAGTTGGAGTTGTCATTTACAGAGCAGCTATGGTCGCTGTTTTGTCCGCCTTCCCGGACGAGGACATACAGAAGGGCGCGCGAATTATAACCTCTTTGACAGCTTCTGTTCTGAATCTTGTCGCTATTACTGTGCTGGGAGTTGTGTATGAGAAAATAGCGGTCGCGCTAACCGAGTGGGAGTCCCCCCGGACCAGAACAGAGCATCAAAATATTTTAACACTGAAGCTATTTTCTTTTCAGTTTGTAAACATGTACTCGTCGCTGTTTTACATTGCGTTCTTCAAAAGCAGTCGTATCGTGGGATATCCTGGGAACTATAATCGAATCGGCGCGGGAAGAATGGAAGGATGCGACCCATCGGGATGTTTTATTGAGTTGTGCATTCAGTTAGCTGTTATCATGGTTGGCAAGCAGTTCATCAATTCCATTTCCAAGTTTGCTATGCCGTGAGTTTTTCCAAGTTTGCTATGCCCGGCGTCTGTCTTTTTTTGTCTTTTCTTTTTCATGGTAACTTGTATTAAGTTGGAACTGAAACGGAATCAGAGCTGAAATGTCTGTATCAGGCCCCAAATGTTCAAAAGGACGATAACGCTTATCTGATGGATGCGTTTGTCTGTTTTCTGGGCATTTATCCGCTGGATAGCAAGGTTCTTTGAACAGAGTTATCCAACCCATAAAAAACAACGTGAGAACTTTGGCTGGGTCGACTGATCCAAGCAAGGGGAGGAGGGGGGGTTGAAAGGATGGTTAAAATTACTGTATTTTTGTGAGTACACTTGGAGAGAACAAACCACTCTTACTTAGTTACTTATGATGCCTTTCCCTCGTGGCTGACAGGATGTATTGCATTCTGTCACCATATCTTCTAACTTACTCCTTTCGTTCGTTAGTTTGCTCGCTTGTTCGAAATTTCTTTGGATTGTTACATAACTGCCCGCTCTTTGCTTCGTTCTTTCATTCGTAAGTTCGTTCATTTGTTTTAAAGAATGGTTCGTTTGTTTCTTTTTTCAGATCTTTTGTGCGTTGGTGGTACGGGCGTAAGGAAAAAGGATCAAATGCACATCCTGAACAGTGGGAGATAGATTATCTAATTAATAGTGAACCGGAGTTGAGAATGTTCTACGAATATCACGACATGGGTAATGTTTGGTCTTTACTTGGTTTGAAGACTCATATGCATGTTGATGGCTGTGTGTTGTTGATATATTGATGTTGTCTTCGTTGTGTACCAATTAATGATAGAAATGAACCTCATCAATGGGCTTGTAAACAGTTCCTCATTGTAAGATCGTCAAGGTAAAAAGCAAAGACTAGGATTTTCCCGCCAAAATGACGCAAATTCACGTGTATGTTAATTTCTGTAACAGGTAAATGTAATTTTCAGGTTTCTCTTTTTAATCTGGGAATTAAAAGAAGTACTTTTGTAGTGAATTTTGATATAGGTGGTTCATCTTAAGCGAATTCTAGGTCCTCCATCAGCGGAAACGAACGGAAAGGCAGGGGCGCGAAAAATTTCTTTCGCGTAACGAGCTAGAGCGTGTAGGAAAGTACCGATTCTTTGCGACCGCAACAGCAGCGCCTGCCTGCTTGCCATTTTCTCGCGCCTGCTCTTTCTCTCGTCTCCACTATCTGAGGGCCAGGCTCGAGCTAACCAAGCTTTCGTTTCATTTTATGTCTAGTAATCCAGTTTGGTTTTGTTACCATGTTCGTGGCTGCATTTCCCCTGGCACCTTTGTTTGCACTCATCAACAATATCCTGGAACTTCGCATAGATGCCATTAATTTCGTCGTTAACTTCCGCCGACCAGTAGCAGAGCGGGCTCAAGGGATTGGTGTCTGGTTCGGAATTCTCCGCACCATGAGCTGGTTTGCCGTAGTAGTGAACTCCTTTGTGATCGCCTTTACATCAGAATTTATTCCAAGGTATGTGTGCTAAAATAAACTATGTTTCATGCTTCCGGGATGTCAAATGTGATGTACAAGTTCGGTTGAGCATTGTCACTTGAAAGGGAGGCTACACTACGCCTGGTCACTTCTGTGATAAACTTGTGTAGCTGGGGCTTGCACAGAATAAAAGATATCGGGGAAGGTAGAGAGGGGGAGAACTTTGCCTTTATCCCGTTGGAGGAGGGGGTGGGGAAGTGTGGGGAAGTAGGAGAGAAGCCCTGAGGTGATAGACTAACTCCTCGCTAACAGAAGCAGATATTTTTCTGGCCGCCTTTTGTAAAGTCAACTGCACTGTACCATTCACTCTAACGAAGGGCTAACGCTCGAAACGGCAGCTTTGAAACTCTTTACGGTGGCCAATTTACATTATCAATTCCGGCGGTTGATCAAACCAAATCATCTTATTGCGTAACTGTACTATAGGTTTGAAAGTATCATATATAGGATAACAGGATTTAAGTTTTGGCCTTTGAAACCTATCATACCGCCCCGAAGTCTTCTGACCAGGAGTGGCAGTGTTTTGAGATCAAGTGTTCTATAATTCATTTTATTTACGTTTTACTTATTTTTTAGGGAAGTGTACAAATACGCATACAGCTCCGACGGAAGTTTAACTGGCTATGTCAACAACAGCTTGTCTTACTTCAACATTAAAGACTTCAGTGAGCTGTCCCTACCTCGGGATCCTTTCAAAAACTTACCTTACAACAAAACCTATTGCAGGTAATCTTAGAACTTTACAAATTCCTTTGTCATTTAACTGCATAATTGTTGGCCAAACTTACTGAGCTGATATTTGTTTCACTAGGTACAAGGAGTACTTTGACCCACAAGAGCCGTACGATTTCAACCGTCAGTATTTCTTCGTTCTCGCTGTCCGTTTAGCTTTCGTCATTATCTTCCAATACTTCGTTTTCTTCATCGTTAGTCTCTTGGATTGGCTCATTCCCGACATCCCCCGCAAACTTGAAGTGAAGATAATGCGCGAGAGTTACGTCGCTAAGCAATGCTTAACTCGAAGTGAGGCTGAAGCGTCACGTGACCTAGACGCACGTGTGTCGCACACTGAAGGTTCTACAGATTCTCTTTACATGTCTTGCGAGAATGTAAACAGATCAAGAAAGTCTAGTAGTATTGCTAATGGAAGCAGACTTGGCATCAATAGAGTATGATGACAACGTACATCATTGGAGGATGGAATGATCAAAATCTTGTCTGAGCTTTTCTCTTTGAACTTGGATTTTAATTTGGTTGAGCATGAGTCAAAACTGATTTTCTGTGTGACGTATTTTGTATATTTTATTTAGAGTCTTCCTTCTTTCTTTTGGTTTTATAAGTCTGCATTTTTTCTTGGAACAGACTCATAACAGGCATGTAGCATATGTCCTAACCAAATTGGGTTAATAAATGGAAGTGAATCGACGAACTGCGTTTGCCACGATTACTTTTTTTCACTATCACAAAGGTCAAAAGTCCGGGGCTTCCACTCTGGCTCAGGCTAACGCTACTTTCAGGCGTGTTACATCCATTTTTTTTTTCAGTTTTATCTGGTCTGTTTCTCCTTTGAATAATCGGCTGAATGCGATATAGAATTGCTGTGTTAAACCTTCCTTTTTGGGCCTTCCCATCCTCGCATTGTGAGCACTCGAAAAAACATGATGAAAAAAGTCAGCACGACAGACGCTAAATTTTTGATGAGATTTCCACCTGATGTATTGATTTTAAAGTGAGGGCCCTAAAGGGGCAAGACCATCATGAAACATAAAACATGAAAAATGTAAAGAATGTCCTCTACAAGATTGGCCAATTTCTTCTCAGTGATTGGCTTATTAACGCGCGAATTTTTCACATATTTATGATCGGTGTTCGATTTTCTCGAGTGCCTGCCACCGTGTTGGCGAGTCGCTGAATTTTTCATAAAGCAGAAGTTTGGTTTGCGAGAACTTGAGCCTTTCCCGCGCAACAAGATATTTTGAAGTAATATGGAGACCAAGAAGCTTGTGGAATGGTAAGCTGAAGTTTAAGTTTATTTTCTTGCTCCGATTTTCTGAAATTGAGGTTGTTAAGGACAACTTGCCGCGTTTGGTCGTAGAAGTTCGACACTCAAAAGCCAGAAATTACAGCTTCTCAGTCTAGGTACTCGATTGCCTTCACTAAACAATTTTCACGACTTCGTTAGATTACTTCACGACTACTTGATAAATAGCCGTACACTTATTGTCAAATGTCATCTTCTTCAATTAATTTGTTTAATTTGCCTTTTGATATTTCCATCTGTCGCGTTATGAATTAAAAATTTACTTAAGTGAGAAAGAAAGTTGTTAAATTGACTTGAATTCTTTCAAATTTTTTTAGGCTTTGGAGGCAACCATTTTGAATCCAAGCTAAAGAGGATACTATTAGAACTTTCATGGTTGAGGCCTTCAGAACGCCTTGTGTTTTTATGCTTGTTATTTTGGTTAAAATTGTTATTCATGTATTGAGTGTATCGTACATATCTGACACATCCACAGGTACGAAACCAAGTTTTTATACGGCGCTTTGGACGAGAACAAAAATATACCCAAAAAGACCCTTGAAGCTGTGTGAGTATACATCAAACGGCTGATCACAGAGTGTATCTGATCATTTCCCTGTCACTAAGCGCGCACTTTCTGTCAAATTCTTTTCTTTTAGTCAATCTAAAAAGAACGTTCATGACGAAAACATGAATTCCTTAACTTTAGCTGGAGAAACATCTCCTCCAAAGTCGAACGATAAGAGGTTAGTTCATACATATTTGTTGATGTCTGTTTTATTGCTAATAAAATCAGTGTTCGAGTCTAAACTTCTAAGCTCGTTTATTGGCTGAGAGAGCACCAATAAATCCCCAACAGAAAACAAAATGTGCAAAAAGTTAAAATTAAAAATTTGTGAAAATTACGTAAGTTTGCAATAAGGAGCAACTTATGAGAGTCGTATTCCTTCTTGTTCTCTCTGAGAAAAACTAAATATTCTCAATCTCAACATGACTGGGAGAAATATCTTTAGAAATTCTGTAGTTTGTCCTCTCTCACTGACAGATCTTTAAATATCATCTGCGCTTGGACTTACGTTTGAATACATAAAATTTATGTCGTAGGGGCTGGCCTACCCTACAGGATATTCAAAGGTCCAGTCCAATACTTGATTTTACTCTTCCATTTTTTATTTTTTCCGTAAGATGGCTGGTCACACAATCAATCAAATGCAGGCGCATAATGAGTGCGTGACACATCATAAGAAACGTGCTGTACGCGATAAAAGTAATTTGAGATTATTTGCATGCGGTGAGACAGTCAAGAGAATTCTAGTGTAAGATTAACTATTTACATATCTTTCGCTTTTGATGGCACACCCAAGTGCGAGCGGGCTGCGCTCTCGCGTTCCAGCCAACGAAAGTCCTGGTACAGGTCCCCAAGAGTCGTTCGCCGATCAAACACCACTTTTGGACGAAGAAGCTGTTTTATCAAAACATCAAATGATGGAGGAGCAGACGCTCGAGATAGAGTTGGAACACATCGAAGTCGAAAAGAGGGAGAAAGAACGGCTCCACTTTCGCGATGGCAAGCGGCTGATCGACTATGTGATCGCTTACGAGACGCCTTCGAACGAAGATGAGTTAGACGAAGAGGAAAAGGAAAAACTGAGCGAAAAAGCAGAGAAAAGAGAGAGATTTCAGCGAAATTTAAAGCAAGCTGGGCTTGAAATCGAGTACGAAGAAGAGGTTACTACAAAGGTAAGAAAGTAACTAATCTCCATGTTTATGTATTGGTGTAAGATTCGATGCAAATTCAATCGGGTGTGCTCAATTCAATAAAACAAGGAAAGAAAACAGTTTTACTTTTATCGAAATATAGATGAACATATGGCCGAAAGTAAGATAAAGGAGCACTCAAATGTTTTTTTGGGAAATTAAGCTTTGTTGTAGTGTATCTATACTAAAACAATTTCATACGACAAAATTCTCTTTGCGATATTTATTATCGTATGTTGTATAAAATTTGAATATTCTCGAGTAAACCAAGGTGCTAAAAACCTAAGGAATTGCCTTTGCGCTCAAAATAATGACTTAAATAGGGTTTTTGATTGCCCTGCTCCTCATTTTGAGTATAAAATATGTAGAGAATGAAATTTCACTTATGGAACTTGTCAGGGTAAATCTATTTATTTTTGTAATCGTTGTGGCTCGTGTTCTTTTGTTCTTAACTAGACAACGTCTGGTGTTTGCTTCCCGTTACACAGACAACAATATTTTTGTCTCGCGACGTCTAGAATGCGCTTTTCTGAAGATCGTTTAAAGGTGTATCTCTCTTTTCTTACGAGAAGTTTCGAACGATGACCCAAATATCGTAAGGATATCTACAACTTTTCACCCTTGTAGCCCACGACGTGAAAATATTTACATATCTTAACTTGTCACGTAATCTTCACACATTTGTCACGTCTAAGTCACATTATGAATAACGTTGGATCAACACGTGCGCCTTGCAACTTTTATTACGTGTGTCAGAAAAACACAATATTTGTCTAAAGAAATTTACTTTTAAGCGTCTTATTTAGTTCTGTAGCTCGTGAATTAAAACTAAATATATTTTTATCAAAAATATACGTGGATTGTGAGAAAAATTCGAAAGAACAAGTAAAAAACGCCCGCGATGTCACCGCGATACAAAAGGCAATTTGCATTTTTACTGTTTCGCAAGCTGAAGATTTAGGAGGACGTCTAATAGGGCAGCTAAGTCTTTTCTAAAACTGTGATTCAGTGTTGTTTCGATCTGAATTTGAGAGATGTTTCGAACATATTTGAAAATAGGCACAAACGCACACTAAAATGTAGGGTGGTAATTGAGATAGAGAAGGCTGAAAATACGGCATCCATTTAGGAATTTAAGAATGGTCATTCGTAGACTCTGTTAGCAACAGGACATGGGACACTAGCTGTGATCAGACGCACTGTTCGTAACATCAGGTAGCACATGTCACGCACACGTTGTAAGAGCACTGAAGTTCAAATAAACATCACTTTGGACGAAAGTGTCACTGACCAACCCCTTCTCAGTTGGTACTTGTCAGTTCTGTTTTTATAACATTTGCTTGCACATTATTGTCTCGTGGTGCTAGGTTTCCTTAGTGTTCAGAATTTAAGATCTGCACTAGCTCTTCCTGTTCACCGGTTGCTCTTTTGTGGGTCCTTTTTTTTTTGGATCCTCATGCCTAAGTACTGACGGAAAATGACCGAAAACATTTCGGCTCCTTATGCTACAATTGCGGTAATAATATTTATTAAATTTCTCAGTCATGATCGCTTAACAGTCGAGGTACTCATTACCACACTTCAATTTATAGGACGACAAAACCAAGACACACTTTTTGAAAGTTCACGCTCCATGGGAACTTTTAATCAAGACCGCAGAAGAGATGATGATGAAAATGCCCATAAAGGTAATCGATGTCATAGATTTGTGATTCATATTTCTCGATTTTTCTGTTGTTTGACGTACATTTTCTCGCACTTAAAGTATTTTTCATTTTACCCTCGCCATTAGTTTGTTTGAATATGTAGGTATTTACATTTTTCGATCTATTTTCGTTCTGGTTAAGAATATATGAAAGTCATATATTTGAACTGCGGATTCATGTCTTTATTTTCGTTCTGTTTGTTTCAGGAAAGTGATATTACAACGAAAGGCTGGTACGAGAAAAACGTAGGAGAAAACATCCGCGATATGATTGATCGTACTAATCCCTTCGAGATCCACGATGGCACCATCACCAAGTCAAGGAATTTTTTTATGGGTTACTTCAAGAGCGATCGCTTAGAAATTTATGTCGGCCATAAGAACAAAGACACTTTCTTCAGCCGAACGGACAGGAGTCGAATGGTAGAGAACATCTGTAGTCATATTCAGTTTGGTGAAGAAAAGTATGATGTTGGAATTAAAAAAATGATTCATGAAGGAAACTTCACTGCATCGTACCCTCTCCATCCTGGTCCCGAAGAATGTTCTGATGGGGAACCCCCCACGAACGATAGGCAGCGCTTGAGGCGTGACTGGGCGCGGTTCGGACGTTGGTTCAAGTTTCAGCCGTATGACGCCATCAAGGATTATTTTGGTACCGAAATTGGCCTGTACTTCTCCTGGCTGGGATTTTACACAGTCATGCTTATTCCTGCCGCTCTTTTTGGGCTCTTCGTTTTCTTGTACGGTTTCATTAACGCACGCGACTTTCAACCCGTAAAAGATATTTGCAACAAATCCAACGAACGTCAATTCTACATGTGTTCCCTGTGTGACGATCAATGCCCCTACTGGTCTCTGGTCTCAAGCTGTTATTACTACATCGCAGCCCATGCATTCGATAACGACAGCACGGTTATCTTCGCTATTTTCATGTCTGTGTGGGCGACGGTATTCCTGGAATTTTGGAAGCGACGTCAAGCTGTTCTTGCCTACCGCTGGCACATGATGCATTTTGAAGACGTCGAGGAACAGTTCCGTCCAGAGTTTGTGGCCACTGCCCCAACTTGGCGGGAAGATCCTGTCACCGGAAAGGTTGTACCTCATGTCCCAAACATGACGAAATACCAAAGGTTTGCTGGAGTTGGAAGCGCAATCTCGTTCATGATTTTCCTGGTAGTAGCGGCGGTCATTGGAGTGATAGCCTACAGGGCCTCGGTGTTTGCGGTTTTAGTGCGCAGCGAAGAAAGCAATGTGCGGAGAAATGCCAAGATTATTACAAGTGTTACAGCAGCCTTACTTAATCTGGTGAGTCCTATTGAACTTTAGATTAACCTTCTTTCCTCACCCCCTCCCCCCCCCCTTCTCCCTTCTCATTATTCTGGATTGCGATGTAGTCATTTCAGAGGGAACCACTGGGTGAAATGCAGAAAAAATACGCGATCACACGCATTTAGTTATTTTTCGGTCAATTGAGCAAATCTTTGATCAAATTATGGAAAAACATCTGAAGTAAGGGCAACCTACAGCTGTCTCGAACATTTGTCATGACTTCCCAATGCAAAACCAGAGTTTTCAAAGGAGAGCAATACTGATATGAAAAGTTTGTGAATGATTAGCCACAGGAATCGACATTCTTTAGTTCAAGTCATCATTACGATTTTTTCATTCGATTTAGGTTTTCATCAATTTGTTGAAATTCTTCTACGAGAAACTGGCAATATGGCTCACCAATTGGGAGAATCCGCGAACAGCGACTGACTACAAAGACAGCTTCACCTACAAGATGTTCCTATTCCAGTTCGTGAACACTTATTCCTCGATCTTCTACATCGCTTTCTTTAAGTTGAACCTTGTAGTTGGCACACCGGGCAACTACCGGCGACTGGGAGGTACTGGACGCTTAGATGGGTGTGGCGCTGCAGGTTGCCTCCTCGACTTGTGTATACAGCTGGCGATCATCATGGTCGGGCAACAGATTATTGGAAACATTACGGAAACTGCCATCCCGTGAGTATACCGCAGAATTCTTGAACCCCTTTGTAACTAGAGGGGTGGGGTGGGGTAGTGATGTGCACGTCACGAAAGGAAGAAATAGCTAAATCACGATTACCTCAGACAGACCAACCTTTATATAGCTTCAACTATTTTAACTTTTCTTTAGTGGCTTGATGAAATGGTGGAAACTGCGCCAAGCAAGGAAAGAAACCGATGACATCCCTCAGTGGGAAGAAGATTACAAACTGAGCCCGTTACCAGAACACAGTTTGTTTTGGGAATACCTGGAAGTTGGTAATACTCTCTTCTCGTTATATTGCATTGGAATAGTGAGAGATGAGGTTGATTATTTTTCAACACACGGCTAAATTGTTTAAATAGGGGGGGCTTACAGTTCCTATAAATTAAGACTTTTAATAAATGATTGTACTGCGGGTTTTTATGCAAAGAGTGTACTCATTGGCCGTGTATTTACTTCAAGTGTAATCTATTTTTATGAGCAGAAAGTATTTGGCGGAGCGTTGATTTGGCAGCTTAAACAATAGAGAAAAAGCGTTTTTGTTCCTTTTTTTTGTCCAGAAAGAGAGGGTGCAACTTTGGTGGGAAGGAAATGAACTACATGTTAGAGGCTGAGTGTATTTCTTTTATTTTAAAAAGATACGGTGTCAGGAATATCACCCAAGCAGTACTGATTTTTTTTTGTTTTTTTGCATTAATTTGTACGTAGTAGTTTCATTACAGCGAGTGATTACATTTCGCTGTATTCCCACCGGCCCTTATCTTTATTTTTTCAGTGTTACAATTCGGATTCGTGACGATGTTTGTGGCTGCCTTTCCTCTTGCACCACTGTTTGCTTTGCTTAACAGTGCTATAGAAGTGCGCGTAGACGCTGTCAACTATGTCTGTCAATTCCGCCGACCCATCGCCACACGCGCTCAAGATATCGGAGCCTGGTACCCAATTATGGAAGGTTTAGCAAATGTGTCAGTTTTGGTGAATGCGTTTGTCATAGCGTTTACGTCAGACTTCATACCGAGGCTCGTGTACATGTACTCCTACAGTGACGGAACTTTGGCGGGTTTCGTGGAAAGTCGTTTGGCGTACTTCAATATATCCGACTACAAAAAGTACAATTTGAGTGGAGAACCAGGAGATAAATATGCATATCAAGTGCTGAATTATACCAGCGACTACTGTAGGTAAGTCAACATGCAGCTTTACAATGAGTGATGATAGTTTCGAGTGTATTAGAGCGCTTTTACGAGAAAAAAGTTAATAAGAAGAAAGAAAAAATAAGTTTTAGTAAGAATCAATTAGGACTCAAAGTAAAAACAAGCAAACTGCTTAAAGCGCGGGAAAACGCGGGTCACCAAGCTTTTATTGGTTTTAGGATTGCATCTGATTGGTTGGGAAAGTGGTGCGAGTTTTCCGGACCAATCACAGAGAAAAGTAAAGTAGAACCAGAGCAATCTCTGATCACTTTCGACACTTAATTGAAAATGACGCCATTGGTTTTGTCTTTTACTTGGGAGGTGGATACGTGGAGCTGAATCAGTCGCGGATAGCTTAACTGTACGTGAGGCGTTAAAAAGTACCGGCTTGAATGAGTTGCATGGAAGAACATTTTCAGAAAATGTCCTAGTCGTTTTGTTAATAAATATACTTTTTATGACGTTAGAATGTTTTTTCTTTTTAGCAAAGTAAAAATTGTTCGATTTAACTTTTCCCCCTTTGATGATAATGCAGGTACCCAGGTTATAACGAGCGTGCATATCCTTATGCCTACACTAAACAGCACTGGCATGTGATTGCTGCGAAGCTGGCGTTTGTATTTGTGTTCCAATACGTCGTTTATTCAATCAGAAAGTTTTTGGCCTGGTTGGTTCCTGATCAGCCAAAGTTGCTGGCGCTGAAAATTAAACGGGAAGAATTCCTGGCCAAGGAAGCCCTTCGAGAAAAAGAGACCGAAGAGGTCGATGTAAACACTGAAGCAGTTGCTTAGTGAGGTTGGTAGATGAGTTTCTAAAGCATTGTGACGAACAGAGCTATTGTGTGGGAAATTTGTATCTGTTGAGGAAATCCTTGTTAAAGCTGCTGGGCGCTGCTGTTGTTTGGCAACGTTTTTTATATTGTGCAATGTGTACTCAAGTACAATTCTTTATATGCAACATTGATATGTGCCCATTCAAATGACAGTAACTAAACATTTCTTCTGTGTGTTGTTGTTTATTTCCCGTTTTTGCTGGGTCTAACTTCGTAATGCTATTTTTGCACCTTAAAAGATGACTCAACAAATAAGTTAGGATAAAACCGTGATGTTTGTCCATACAAATTAAATTCTGAATTTCCATTCTATGTCATTGTCTGATCGTGGTACGAGGCTTGGGTAAAATCACCAAATTTCGTAAGGCGCTGATCGGTTTCCTTTCTATATTTGCAGCAACTGATCGTGAGCGATTGAAACTGGCGACTGGACTCTTCATTTAACAAACGTGGAAAAACTAACCCAAGAGAAATTATCCAAGATTTTCTAATGCCACTCTTGAGTATATAATGTAACTAGATTAACTCGTTCTCCTGATCAAAGTGTTCGAACGGTTTTGTATGTAAAGTTTTTTTTTCGCATTAGAGTGTTACTTAGAGGATTAGTTGTTTCCAGACTAGTCTTTGTTCATCAAAATGTTACGTTATCGTGCAAACTTACATGGTTTTCGCTGTCTTTTTAACTCAGAAAATAATGTAAACTTCTGGTTTGATGTGGCAAGAGAAATTACATCAGTTGACGGGCGGCGAGGGTGTGCATGATCAAAATAAATATATCCAACAATAACTGTTATTTTAATTAACCTCTCTCAAAAGTGGTGACGTAAATGAAAAATTTTGGAAAACTCACCTTTTCTACTACATTAAACGTATTCCATTTGGTGCATACTTACAATTGCTTGTGTCACACTGGCCCTTAGGACTTTGGAACAGTAGTGGCGGTAGAAGTAGTTGTAGTGTTTGTTGTTGTTCCTGCTGTTTTTGTCAAAGTAAAACAGCAATTGACGGCAACAACATCTGAGTGGCTGAAACTTTTTTTAATGACCAATTTGGAGGCTAGTTTAAGGATCGATCTGTTTAGTAGTGGTAGAGGTAGTAGTAGTAATAGTAGTGTTTGTTGTTGTCGCTGTGTATGCTTTTATTATCAAATTAAAACTGTAATTAACTGCAACAACACCTGACTGGCTGAAACTTTGTTTGATGACCAATTTGGAAACAAGTCTAAGGATCTAACTGGTTGATACAAATGTTCTTGGTACAAAGCTTGGGACAATAGTTTGACTCTTCTGTAAGTTAACCCTTTGACCCCCAAGAATGACTCTATCTAATTTCTCCTTACAACATCATCCCTCAATCGAACAGTAAGGTCATGAGAATAAAGGAAATGATCACAACTAACAAAGCTCTTGATCGTTAAACAGATTCTCCTTATCAGCATCGTAGCAAATGTATGGAAAACGGTATGGGGAAAGTATAATAAAGTATAGAGGGTTCAAGAATTGTTAAGATTGTGTTGCCGCCTCATTCTGAAAAATGAACGAGCCAGAAATGTAATAAATCTAGAATCATCTTCTCCGCTGCTCGAGGAACCACAAAAGTAGGACCTGAGATGCGATCATTTAAATGATACCATAAGGCAAGAAAAATCTTGAGGATAGGTTTTCAGTTCAAGTTTATTCATGTTAATCAAAAGCTGCTTAAGTTTTACAAAAAGCATCACACGTACAAAATTCAAATATCAAGTTTATTTTGCATCAATAAGTATAAAAAACTAATGAAGATCTATGATGATCCCTCGCCTCAATTCTCCCGACATTTTCCGCCAACTAAACTGATGTACTGTTAAGCTGAAAGCAAAAGGAGCTCGATGTATCTGGTATGAAACTCGATGTGACTGGTATTAAACTACTAATGATCTTGAAGCTATTGCGTACTTTCCCTGTTGCTCGAAGATAAAAGAAAATGTGCTATTCTGAAACGGAAAATTTATCAAGTGTCCTGTATTCTTACAAGATAAGTGTCAGTAAACTGTTTCCTTGAAAATGAGATGTACATGAGATCAGCTTAAAGGTTATGGTAGGTTGTGCTCGAAATATATTTAAAAGGTTTATCACAGACAGGGGAGGGCATGTTTCAAAGTCCCTTCGGAATAGATTGAAATAAGGCGTGCGTTGAATTTGATTACTGAATTTCTAACTCTGAATATTGCATCTCTAGTGTTCTGATTCCATCTCATATCCAATGCGCACTCTAAAGCGCGCTTAAGCGCGAAACCTGCTCCGCAGCGTTTCGCTGAAAAGTCCAGAACCGATAGTGTTTTTGTGCAAGTGAAAGAAAAAATATACATGAATAATTCAAGAGGCAGGTGTTTTGAAAAGTGGATGAAAAAGGAGCATAATATTTTGACATACATCCATCATTTCGTTGCGCGCTACCATCTCTGTTAGAAATGTGCTCTCTAGTTTTTCTCCTTTATTTTTTTCGATTTTTCGCCGAAAAATGACAGTATTCATTCAAGAGATATAAAGCACCTGGAGTTTTAACAACACGCGCGATACATTATATTTGCAAGGCAATTACATCTAATTTGTATTTTATGCAAATATGTTCGCCCTCTGTCACACCCATTGCAAAGTTCAGCGAACTCGTCGCTTCTGTCAACGCCACTGAAGAGTTACGCCAAAAATCGAGCTCTCATGGCGAAACCTGTCGCCTACACGAAAACCACCGAAGATGGTGACATTCTTCTTAATATGGTGGAGCCATCTTTCCACTCCAAACAGACAGAGACGAAGGGATTGTATTTGGACGACGCAGGATCGAGAAAGAAAATCGACTACGTCCTTGTATACGAGCGTTGTGAGGAGAAAGAAAATAAAGATGAAGAAGCCAAGGAAGAAGCCAATAAACTTGAGGAAATGAGGAGGGCGTATGAAGAAAGTCTTGCAAACGCTGGGTTAATCCTAGAACGGTCAGAGTGTATATCATCTCAGGTTAGTGATGACCTAGCAGATTCATTGCGTACATTTGAAGCGTAGCCAAAACAAACTCAGTGTAGTTAGTCTGACTACCGCTCTATTACATAAGTACTTTCAAACTCTTTGCAAAGAAGTTTTTCGAATGAGTGCCTTTATTTATTTACTTTGTTTGCAGAATATGCAGTGTTATCTCTTATTCTGTACGGGAAAGTTAAAGAAAAGCGTTGAATTCACTAGATTTCTGAGGTTATTTCAGAATTCCATCGGTCAACTCAGTGTCATTCTTCACACGTAAGGGTTGGAGTGAGTTTAATCAAGCAGCAAAACATAATTTTATAACAGAATCAGCCCTCTTGAATGAAATTCTTGAAAATCAACTTTGGTTGTGCTTGGTAACACGCTTGGCAATACATTAACTCTAGATTTGTGGATAAACAATCTCTTCGTCGAGAATTCACGAATATTCTGCGAGAAGATAAATATTCCGCTCCTTTGATTGCTAAATCGAGCGTGTAATTTTAATAATAGCTAGAATTCTTTCGAGCTTTTTCTGAATATTTCATCTAAAATTTGGCGAGGGTTGTTCTTAATGTTTTGCCTTTAGCAGTGAAAAAAATTGAATTCAGAACAAATCGGAATATTTTACCGTCGATTGCTGTTTACAAAGAAAGACAAAGATAAAATCATTTGACTTTCAAAAGCATCCGACTTGATCTGTTATCTAAAAGACTGAGCGATGAAAGCGTTCGGAAAATCATTGCGATCGATTTTTGCAAACTGGGGTACGTGCTTCCTATTGAGGACTTCATTTTCCTAGGGGTTTATTTTCTGTTTGTCCTTCATAGTGGAAAATCCTTCAGGGAATACACGACCCTAGCTAAATTAGCATTCACCGCTGGATGTAAACAGGAAATTTAAATGAAGAGTATTTTACCTTCCCGGATTCGCCATTAATACTGAAACTGAAAATTAAAAGGACTAAAGCAATTCTATTTCCATCTTGTAACAATTACTTAGTAATTTGAAAATTTACTTATCTTCCAAAATTGAATGATATACCTTTGAGAAGCTACTAGCCATAATTTGACATTCTTGAAGTAAAGTTTTGGTCACTATAGACAACGACTTTCACTCTTCTCCTCGATTTGAATCAACCTTATATTTTAATTTAAACATATTTAGAGCATTTTCTCCTAGGAAAACGACTTACTGCCACACAAAAGCACTATTTAACTTTCCCAGTGAGTTATTATTATTCGCTGTAGTTTTCTTGCTTTAGTTGTAAGCACAGTGACGAAATGATAGGTCAGTGTGCAGCATGCAGAGTCCGCTTGTTAGAACAGCACCTTTCTTTAAAACATTATGAAAACATTATGCTCCTGATTGCTGTTAACCGTAGCTAGGGCAAAAGTTGGTATATTTTGAGTTTGAAAATAAAAATTCACTTGTTAGGCGTACTACGTACTCTGCATAGGCCGTGGTAGAGCAGCAGAGAACTTTGAGTAGGTATAACTGCGTACATTCTGCGGGAGAAACGTCATCGACGCACATCGATCGCGAGAACTGACATGTTCAAAACAACTGTCTTTGAAATTTCAAAAACCCTAGAAAGTTCAAAACTCAACTTTTCACGCGTGAGTGATATAGCTTAGCTCATTACAATGTGTTCAATGATGCGAAATCTTTTTAAGGAAACAAAGCACCCGTGCCTGATTTCTTATACAAAATCTTACCTTACGATGAAAGCAATGAGCCGAGAAGCATAAGTTTATCACGCCCATTTATTCTCTAAGCCAAACTGACGCTTTACTGAAGAGCTTACCGAAATACAGGGAACCCAAGATGAAAAATGGATTAAACGGCTATTCCAGATTAAGCCAAGATGAAGAGGATAAAAATGACAATACACAGCTAGAATTAAGGGAGGAATCAGATCGAAGATTGCCGAAAGGAGTATATTTCAGCGACGATGCACAGCCAGCAAAGCGCATCGACTACGTGTTAGTTTATGAAACAAATCAAAAGGACCAAGCTAATTCAAATGACAGTAAGCAATATCAACGGAAAGCTTTTGAAGATTGCTTAAGGAAAGAAGGGCTTAACATAGAATACGATGAGGTCGTCTCTGCACAGGTGGGGCTACCCTCGCTGGTTGTTGTTCTCATAGTTTGCCGAGCTCTGTAATTCATCATGAATTGCCAATTCTCCTTCTTGCTTTGTTTGAACACGCATGATAATGGTGGAAAAGATGATGCTTTTCAATTATATATGTTGCTTGAAATTACCTTGAGAAAAAAACAAAACTGCATGCTTTATCGTAATGATCAATATTGTCAAGCTTCACACAATAATATCATTGATCTAATGCTAATATTTCATTGTCTTTCTCATAAACCCTTCGGAGCAAGTTCAGTTAATGCCAGACTCGAAACGTATAATGGTAGAGGCCAATAAGGGCGTAAAATGTACTTCACGAAATGCTAAAATTGCTAAATTTTATCAAAAGGAAGTTAGAAAAGTTAAAAAAAACTCTTGCTGCTCGCTGAGAGTTTCCTTCCATCCTCATTGAAGGGGCACGATCACGAGTTATGGAAAACTGAGCAGTTAATTACGTAACAATATACAATTGCCATCATCTTCAAATATCATATGACTCTCAATTATTGCCTTATTGAGATAAATCTCGCCCACCTTTTTAAAGTTTATATACTGAACACTACCAGTAAGCGTTCAAACAAACATGTGTTCGTGTGTTATTAAAATCGTCCAAAAATTAAATAGAGAGTTAGCCAATAAATTTAACAAATTTAACTTACCTCTATCAAATACGCTTGGGCCTAGCTTGATTTAGGGCAGGCAAAAATCTTTTATCCACAGACTAGTTTAAAAGCGAGCGATTTATTGAAAAGAGCTTTGTTACGTTTCTGAACGTAGCATCTGTTGATCGAAACTTCTTTAAATTAAATCTTATGTATGTTTTTTCTACCAGGATCCTGAAGTCAAGCGACACTTTGTCCTTATTCATGCTCCGTGGCCCGTACTGGCGAAAAAAGCGGAGGCCATGCGTCTCAAAGTTCCATTTCAAGAAAACGATATTGTGTTCAAATCATGGATGGAGAAGACAATCGGAAGCGAAAGAATGCAGTCACTGCGTCGGAGAAATCCCTTGATTGTGCAAGATTCTACTTTGGAAGAAAAAGGCAGCTTCTTCATGGCTAACTTCAAGGAAGCTGAGGTTACCAAGTTTGTCAATCACCACAACAAGGCGGAGTTCTTCGACAACATTGACCGCATATACATTGTGCAGCAAATTTGCTTCAATGCTCGCTTTGCAGAAGGTCGACATGGTGTTG